GAGCATAGGACATATATTTAATATTTATTCCTCAAAAGGGAATATCTGCCTGTATTTTTGGAAATTCTTCATTTTTTGTAATATGTTGAAAACCACAGTGCCATTACAATATTGATAATCAAGTTTATTGTTTTACAAAATGCTTAAAAACTCATCAAGGTATATTGATTTAGAAATGAAGACACATTTTAAGTTTTGTATCTGTAAAAGAACAGTAAAAAGTTTGTATTGTATTTTCTTTAATAAATAAAAGAATAAGGAAGAAGAAGTAAGACATCAGAAATAAAATATTTGACATTGTTGGCTTAATTATTTACCTTAACATATCCCTATCCATTGCCCAAACCTTTTAATTTGGTACATGCTTTTCAATTTAATAATATTAAGAAGGCATGTACTTGTTATGCCATTTTAATCTTCATCTAAAGACTTAAAGTGGTATGAAAGGCAAGCAAAACTAATAAATCATGACCAAAATAATCTGTGTTTTACTTTACTTATTACAATGGTTAAATTTTTGGTTATGCTCATCAGTTCCAGCTCAGTTCATACCAGGAAGGACGGGTGCTGGACTTCTTATACTGAATGGCTTTACATTCTATATGAAAAATCATCAGGCACATGGAAAGAAGCAGTGGTACTGCTCTTCAAGGGATGTCCATGGCTGCCGTGCTGATGTTATAACATATAAGGGATTAGATGGAAGGGACTACATCTCAATATTCCGTGGACGTCACATACACGAGCCTCCACGTTTACGCCAGTGTCACGATGGAAGATTTATAAGGGAAAAAGACTTTTTTAGTCGCCAGTCACTAAAGTGATTGTGCCTGTTATATTTTTTATTTTTTGTACTTTATACAAAATGACCATTTATTTTTCTGAGATAATTATGATGTACTTACTTGTTTTACCGATCGACATGTTTATCAAATGCATGTTTCTACTGTAGGGACCTGCTAGTTATTAGGTGACCGTCAAATGTTTTTGTAAATAATTTAGAATATATTGTTCTGGTAAACTGATTGTTTTCATTCCAATTCTAATTTAATGTAGATAAGTAAATAATGTTACTATTGGAATGTAAGGATGTAATATTAGTTAAAGAAATTAGTGTGATAATATAAACATAAAATCTGTGCCTTTGAACATGTACAAAAATTTTGAAGATGCTTTTATATTTTCTTGATGAAAAAAATGCTACGTAATACATTTAGAATATATTGACTGTGAAATAATTTGGTTGTTAAAGCTGATGTATCTTAATTCATATTCTCAACTTTTGTTACATATTGTATGTACAATATTTCAACAAGTGTTTCTTTTATTTAGTCTAATATTTCCTCCTCTGGCTGCCTATAAAATTAAATTAATATACATTTAGGCTGCCCTCAATTCTGTACGATTTATTGTCTGTAATTGCGGGTAGTAATAAATTTTTATCATATGTAATATTAAGTAAAGGCTAAAGACACTTCAAAAAGCATGGGTAATAAGTTTTACTATTTTCAGGAATTTATTACCTACCTTCCCACCGAACTGGCAGCATGGTATTGATATTCAAGGACAACAAATATTGGATCAATAACAGATACCAGAACACTATCAATTGGACTTGCAGAGACCGGAAGAGGTTGGGTTGCAACAGCTGTGTGCAGACTACGGTTGAGGGGCGCTATATCAAGCATAAGGGCTTTCATAATCATGCTGATAATTATACAAAGTATAACTTTAATGATTGATGTCAGAGAGACGTATGGCCAGTAATTACATCTGTTGAAAGTTATAATAAGTAACTGGCTATACGCTTAAATCTTGACGACAATTAGTCTGCTTTATCAGTAGACTTTATTTAATCTATTGTGATGTGTGTATAAAATTAATCTTTCCTGACCTTCGAAACTTGTTAGTATTTTGGAGTAGAGAAGTATGTGTTAACTCAGGGTATAACATTATTCAATGCAATACTGCAAATGTTTGTGTATGAATATAATTATACCCTAGGAATGTTAATGTCAGGTTTTGAGTTTTTTTTAATGTAACTAACATTATAAGAACTCAAGGTGTAACATTAAATTATATATTATTATATTAACATTCTCAAGAATTGCTACCAGTGTTTCGCAATAGATTTTTAAAATATGAATGTGTGTGAAAATATAAAGGACAGACATGCTGATTCATGATTCTTGTCAAATCAAAATAGATTTACTTTACATTGCATGACTTACGCCTGGTTTCTGAAACAGTGATCATCGTAGATGTCAAATCTTTGAATTGATAAAAAAGAAGATCATTTTGATCAATTCAGAAAGTTTAACCATCCTTTTGGCAACTCAAATAACATTTGAAAAGCCATTTGATTATAGCTTAGATTAGTTGACATCTATGATGATCAGTGTTTCAGTAACCGGGCATAAGTATAATCATAACATATTTATTTTCTCTACTTGCAATTTAACCTTATGGATAATAATTGGTATAAAAGTTATTGGAGTTTTAATTGAAAGCAGCTTAAGATTACTCTAAAAATAACTGTAAATATTTAATTTTGTTTCTCATTGTCATATATTTAATTGTACTTTTATCATCCATTTCAGATTATTTTATTTAAAAAAAAACTTTCAAACACTGCCATTTTTAAGACTTAACTTTTGTTACATCAATATCATGAAATATATTAGGTTTGTTGAATATTGTGGCTTTTAAATTAAGTCAAAATTTAAATGACTAAAAAATGTAAATTAAAAGACATTCATGACAAGCAATAATATTCTTGTGCTTTTTCTTGGACATTTTATACATTTTTAATATAAGTCATATGTAAAGTAGTAATTTTTAACATTTCTTAATTAAAAGATCATAGACGGCAAGTAATTTTGTGTACATTATGCCAATTAAATGTTAAGGGCAGACTGCTTAGCTCCTTGATGAAAATAAATTGGATGTTATAAGCCCACAGTATACATAATATATCTTTTTCAGAATTTTATTCTTTAGTGAATTAGTGACTTGTATGAATATATCTCATAGGCTTGGCATTAATTGCCTTGATCAGTATGTAATGAAACTTTTAATATGTCATTACTATGTGTAATAAATTACAGTAATGCGAGTTGTATCCTTATGTAGTTACTTGAGAGTAAGAAATAGTGCTGTGAAATTACTTAAATAATTGCCCTAGGAATTCAATATTTCATTTAGCAATGTACGTAAATTTATAGCTTAATAAGTCTTAATGTATTTGGATAATAGTGAGACATGAGTAGTATATAATTTTTTATGCTTTACATAGGTGTAGATGAAACCATTTTATTTATGAAAAAATGAGCACACAATATAAACTATCTACATATTGTTTTTTTTTTTTGGTATAAATGAAACGTAAGTAGTTTTTACATTTATTCAGGGATTATGCTTTCGGCTGTTAAAAAAAATTGTTTAGAACAAAACAAGCAAATAATTTATAGCCTAAATATATTATAAATTATTTAAATTTTTGCCGTTATCGCTCAATTTTAATACTAACAACAGTTCTTTGAATATTTATGTAAAGGAAAATAATATAGGTATAAGTGTCGTGTTGAATTTCATTGCCAACAGATGGCGTTAGTCGTTCCGTGAAAGTTATTAAAATACTTATTAAACAATAATATAAGTTAATCAAAATGTAATTTATGATATGAAAATGTAGCGGTTTTAAATAATGTTTAAAATTAATCACATTTTCTTCTAATGTATCAGTTTTAATTTGCTCAAAGTTTTCGAAAAGGGAGACTTGACAGGTTGGGCTTTGTGTAGTCGTAATTTGACCTAGTCAATCATATTGTTTTCTTCATACTTGTGCCAAATCGTATAATTATTGTGGTTTTAAGGTCATGCATTTTATGGATATCCCTTGTTGTAAAATGTTTTTATTTTCAATGCACGTGTTGTTTCATTCCTAATTAAAGACATACAATGTAATTGTTCAATTATTTTAGACGTGTTAGAGGGATAAGAGTGTTCCTATATAAAAGTGTTATCTCAGATATAAATTTTATATAGATCGTAAGTAAGTAAAATTGATGTAGGACTTGAGAGATCAGCACATTATACGACACGCTGACACAGACATCATACAAAAAATGTATTTGGTTTGTGTTTCGAAACATACGTTTTGACAAAGGTTTTAATACGCTTGGCATGTATAGAGAGCTTACATTTATTTTAATATATCGAACTTCCAATAATCGTCTACTTGTAAACTGACAGCACAATTCCTATAATATTCAGGTGTTTATGTGTGTTTATGTGTTTTAAATGTCCATGGGCGGGCGGTTATAACTTGACATCAGGTGAATTGCCCGCTCGCTTGACAACTTTCACATAAAAAAACTTGGAAGACTACTTTGTGCCATAATTGTTTGATAAGCGTATCAGATGGACGCGAAGTGGATAAGAAGCCCCTTATATTCAATTGGAATGGAATATAATCAATTGATTCAGATATTGTCAATAGGATACACTCAATATTGTCATCTGCGATGTGGATTTTTGATCGTATGATGTATTTTCTTCATTAAGTCTTATTGTTGGGGCTAACTCCTAATACCGGCTTTGATATTAGCCGGTATTACATCAATAAATGATAATAGAATTTATTAGAACACTTACAAAATTGATATAGTTACAATGATACACTATGATATGATGTGATAATTAGGTATGATAGTTTACGCGTGGTTCGCTTGATGACCGAACGTGAACTGCCTGTCGCACTATATTTTAATGCTTACTACATATTGGCGGACTTTAGGTAAAAATTGCAAACAAAAGTGTTCTGTTCAACGATGAACCGAACACTTATTGACGTAAATGTCGATGACATGTCGTCGGCGACATTTACGCCTCTCATCGTCGCACTAGTCTCCTCCAGCCCTCTTTATTCCATTGGAATATATTTAAACAGCTGACGGCAACCGACTAGTGTTATTCAGAAATTACACTTATCGAAAGCAATGTTCAGCGGCGGACTCCACAAGGGTGATATGATAATGAAAGCGCTAGGTGGTGAAGGGTGGTACGCGCTCCAAGAATACAGCGAACTGCTTGCTCAAAGTAAGCCGTCAAAGTGTAACGAGGAACACATTCACGTATTGATCCAGTAAGTACTTTGCTAGGGCCACGCAGTCGCTTCTGCTGTTGCAGGAATAGGCAGACTCGTACGTGGAAGTAGCACGGCCTCACAGAAGACCGCCGTGAGGGGGAAGTGTTGCACTTTTGCGTTTCGTCCGGTGAGTGAGGTAACACGGGCCCAATGTTTTAAAGGTTAGCAACGCATCTGCAACCTGACAAGCGTCGTAGACGTCCGTGGGCGGCGGTAATCGCTTATTTCTCTTGCCGCCATAACAGATTTTTTGCCGTTTTTATAGATAATTGCACGGAACCTTTCGTGAGTCCGACACGCGCTTGGCCGGTTTTTTAAAGATCAATCTATCCTCAACATTTTTTGAGCTTCAGGACATATAATGTTGGACTACCGGATGCAAGGTCCGAAATTTCAAGGTATGCATAGAGTACATCCTTACTTAATATTATAAACGCGAAAGTTTGTATGTATGGATGGATGTTTGTTACTCTTTCACGTAAATACTACTGAATGGATTCTAAAGAAACTTTACAATAATATAGCTAATACATCAGAATAACACATAGGCTATAATTTATATACATATCTTTATGTATATCTGTCTTTCTGTCTGAATGTTACGCCTTCAGCCTATTCTACGCAGACGTAGTCGCAGGCAGCACCTAGTACTATATGTATTGAAAAATTGGATCGGTAATTTAGTGCGAATTCTATTTTTACTGGCCTACAAATTCTTATCCCGTGTAGGAATTAAATTCAATTGGATGTGTAATCGCGTTTGGCAAGGTGGCCTCAACCACCCATGCAGAAAAAATGTTTATAGAACCACTTAAAATTTCTGATAAAATATTTCTGATAAACGTTTTAAGTGCTTCTAAAACTGTTAAAATTAGAGGCACTACTAATGGCTAAAAGTCGGGCAATGTTCCAAATATTTTTATAACTAATATATCACTGTGCTCTTGATGCAGCATAACGACAAGACATAAAATGAGTTCAACAGAATCTGTTTGAAGAGACCGTCGATAATAAAAAAAAATGCCCCAGCTCAATCGCATCCGTACCGTAGTCTCACTGAGCGCTCGTCTTTTCCAGTGAAATTCATTCGTACCACCAACGGCAACCGCCTGGCGCTGTTCAGGAGCTACACCTACTGCAAGCACTACGTGGTGAGGGACGGCGCACGCTGGAAGTGCTCTAGGCAGTTCTCGAAGAGCTGCAACGCGTACCTGCTCATAAACGACCAGGGCGCGATCCTCAAGGCGAACGAGTTGCACACCCACGAACCGTTCAAGTACCACTGCAACTTGGACGGCACCTACGTCAGAATCTAGCGCCCTAACGCGTCGATACCGTAGGGCTCTGTGCGTAGGGTTGCCAACTGTTTTTGAGGAAAATAAAGTATCTCATTTGCAAGTAGAGAAAAAGGAAAAATAAAGTAATTTCGAAATCTTATTTATTTCTCCCCTTGAAGATATACTTTTGAATTGCTTCTAAGCACACGCTCAGTTCTTCACTATACTAAAATTTTTGGAAGCCATGACATATTAACAAATTATTATGATACAAAAAAAAAAGATAGAATTTGAATTTGAAAGATAGAATGTGAATGTTTTTGTTTAATCATATCATATAATTAACAGCAAAAGCTTATAAGTACAAAGTGTTCTATTTCAACTTAGTAAAAAGTTCAACAGTTATCCATATAAGTTTTATTTTATTGATCACAGTAAAGATTGAAAATAGAGTATTTTCGCATACTTTATGCAAAAGTATAAAGTATAATTTACCAAAAATAAATTAGAATACGTTATTACAAATATGGTTGGCAATCCTATTTTATGTAGTTTAAGTCGGCAACGCAATGTTCCGCTACTCGAGGGAAAATGCCTTAAGTCATTTAGTAATAGGGCCTAGATTAGACATGATCAAACATGTCAATCATTGATCGATATGTATTTAGTACAAATCAGCGGATGTACTTCCACAAGTGTCTTACCCGATTGTTATTTCTTTGTATTACATAAGTTTTACAGAGGGGATTGTTGTCAATAAATTGTTTTAATTAACTTCTATCGTAAATAGACTATAATTAGACTATAATAAACAATCGTTTATGATGTACTTTTACTTTCTCTTTTTATTCCCAATTGTAAACCCAATGATTTTCACAGTTTTACCAACGATTCTTATACGATAGTGGACAGAGAAGACATCTAGTATTATATTAATTTGAACGTAATTTAACTGTTTAAGCAATAGAGATGAGTCCTAGGCTTAGCTCTGGTATTATGGTCAGTTAGTTCCTCATAATCTTAGCTTGCTGTAGCTGGGATGATGTGGGACTAATAATAAAATTAATCATACTTACAGCGAACAAGACAGATGAGGTGGCGGAAGAAGTACTAAGAGTAAAATTGCTTCTAGGTTCTATTACCTACTTCTTGGTTTTTTTTAACCGGAAAAAGAGCCTGTCTATTAAACATTTTAATAACCATCTAAGACCAGTGTAAAGGACAGCATGCATAATATTCCAAAACCCTGGCGTCGAATCTATTTGCAGCTTCCACGGTAACAGTTTAAAAAACAGGCAATTGGCTAACTATACACATTGGTGTGAGTATTTTTATACAGAAATAGCGATGGATGATATTGTCACCATTTACTAATTGTAACCGTTTTAATTCTTCCGCAGAAGCAGTAAGTAGTAACTATAAGAGAATTATGCGTCTAAGAACATTTTTCCTTGGTGCTAGCTGTTACTCGATTTAGCGCTATGTCTTCCCGTCGAGTTGTCCTCCGAGTCGGCCCCGAGCGTACCTTCAGGTGTAATTTTTTTTTATTAACCTTGTTATTTATTTCGTTAATTCGTATCGTCGCTAATTTACAGTGAAATACATACGGACGGACAGCGGGACATGTCTGCTAATGCTCGGTGACTTTACGTACAGTAAGCAATCCATCTCCAGCACTGGCGTCAGGTGGAAGTGCTCCAGGCAAGTGTCGAGGAAATGCAACGCCTACGTGGTGGTGGATGGCCACGGGCGTATTTTGAAGATGAACGACAAGCACATGCATGAGCCATGTAGGTACCACCGCAACGCTGTCGGCACCTATACGAAGATATGAGCATTATAAACCAGATATAGGATAGGACACACTTACTTACATTGAATCAAACAATCTGTTTTGTATGTTGTTTACGCTTTCACTTTTAACGTTTGTTTTGTGTGAAATAAAGTTGTGAAAACAATGTGGGTTCGTTTTTTTTTTGAGCTTGCACTGTAAAGTATATTCTTTATGGAAACTTCACAATAGTTGGAAAGTTGTAAGACAAGAGAGCGTTTTAATTGAAGATCATCGGATGAACAGTCCGTAATGGTGCTCTCAGGGTAAAAAATGCACGAGTGTTTTCTTAGATTAAAATGAGAAGAGAACCGTGGTCCTTTTAAAGCGGCTAGTGGACTAAAACCGTCGTTTAAACTGCCCATTAGACGGGTGATGTTTTTCGACATTACTTATGTTCTGAGTTCTATTTCTTTGGCATTCTCTTCTTAAACTGCTTGACTGATTTCAACATTCTACAAATATATTAATACGTGAGTAATAACTTCGTACCCCTTTTTACGAAAATTTAGGGGTGGACTACGCTTAACATTTAGGGGGATGAAAAATAGATGTTGGCCGATTCTCCACCTTGGCCGACAATCACGCTAAGGATCACAAAAATCGGTCGAGCCGTTTCGGAGGAATTCAAGTTCGAACCCCGTGACACGAGATTTTATATATTAGACTTTCTAAGTTCTGTATGTATCCATTGTGAATAGACCGTGAGTAAACGTTTCATCTTCTTCTTCTTCTTATTCAACTTGACATTCGTATTTACGTAACAACGGATACTGAACTGTAACGGTGTGCTTCGGATTATTCCAGTGAATTATATTCGAACCAGCAACGGGTTCCGCTTACTGATGCACGAGTACTATACATATAACCTGCAGTATAAGACGCACATTGGCGTCAGATGGAAGTGCTCCAGGCAATCGTCGAAAAAGTGCAACGCCTTCGTCCTGGTCACGCCTACCGACCGCATCCTTGACAAGTGCACAGAGCACACTCACCAACCCTGGAGATACCACCGCAACGCAGACGGGACTTACTCGAGAACTTCTTTCACTCGTTTCGAATAAAGCCTATATACCTACATGTAATTATATTAAATTGTGGCGTTTATTGTTTCGTGAGATCTCGTCATTTTGATTCGTAATGTTTGCTATTATTGGTGCTATAAGCAACGCTCAAAATTTCCACATTTCAACGGAACAGTTGTTCTGTTTCGTTTTCTATAATGTCAAGCTATTTTACATTCGAGTCATTTAGAATATCATTTATTCAAATAGTAATATTTTCCGTTATGTAATATATTTGTAAAAATCCAAAGGAAAAATTTAAAATGCTACGCTTTTATGGCAACTAGCGTAATTGTGTCAACATACAATTTATAATTTGGGAAATGTTATATAATTTAGATCTCTTATGCGATGGGAGATCAGAATTATTTTTTAAGAGCCAAGGATAGGTTAGGATGGATATAGTCAATATTAGGTTTGAATAATAAAAAAGGTTTGTAAAATATCTTGTTAAACGCAATTGTTTGTACCGATCAGTCTACGTAATATTCATGTACCTACATTTTTCGGTACTTAAGTTGGAAAACAGAAAGATGTTTTTTATATTATCTATAATGTTACCATATATTTTTTTTTTAAATCTATCACTGTTTTATTTTTTTTCACTTTCACTATTTTATTTATTCTGTTCATAAAATGTGTTTATGATTTATCTCTAAAATAATAGACATTTGATATTTTACTCTAGAAAGGCTCACGTGTTCCTATCTAGAAACAACACAGTCCTTTCGCTATTATAAAAGATTTCGATATTTGTCTCGTTATTGAAACAAAACCGTAAAAATATCTAACTCTACTGGACCATTGCGTATTTATTTATTAAACTCTACTACTCGATAAGATTACCCCATTTCTAGACGTTCCCGTGTACCATTTTCCGGCGGTGTACAGGTTTGTGTACGCTCGAATTACTTTTCCAGTTCGCTTCATTCGCACGAGCAAGAAGAGACTGCTGGCGATGCTCAACGGTTTCACGTACTTCAGGCACTACGCCCTGAAGAGCGGCGTGCGTTGGCAGTGCACGAAACACTACTCGCAGAACTGCAACTCCTACCTGATAGTAGACACCGGCGGCACTATATTGCGCTTGAACGAGAACCACACTCACGCACCTTCCAATTACCTATGCAACAAAGACGGTTTATACATAAAAGTGTAACGCGGCACTAATTGTACAACCAAAGTAGAGTGAATAGCAATGAAGTGTAGCATAGCAGTAGGTATACCACACCCGTAATACGATGTGACGCAATGACGCTGTAATGAACATGACGCATGTCCATACTGCGCGGCTTTTCCAAAAATTGTTCCGCTTTTTATCTTATGACATGTCAATGTGCAACATGATATAGAACGTATGATACGGAAAGAGGTACGTAATTTGAGTGCCTCAGTTTCAGTGTCATTGTCATCAGTTTTATAGTGTCATATCTGCCTCGTATTTGTATATATACAGCGTGTCATTACCATCGCGACAATTAATGAACACACGTCTAACGTTACTTGCCAATAATCATAAAAAAATATTAACGTTTAACATAATCCATAATAAAAAAAATATTTTTCAAACTAATTAATTAAAAAAGAAACAAAATTTGTAACATCCTATACAACTCGCGGCACAGCGTCGCATTACAAGCCTCTCCTTCTAACAGTATGTTTTGTCTCTTTTAAATTCATTCAACCCATTCATATGCTTTGTGACCTTTACAAATGAACTTTACGTTACGCTTTTATAAGTAAGGATGTTCTAAAATTATTTGTTTTGGAAAATTTAATAACTCTGTAAATATTGATGTTTAAAGAATGTAAATGTTTAATACAATTTTAAAAAGTTATCCCCTATATGTGTGCTCAATTATTGTCGCGATTGTAAAGACACGCTGTATATAATTCATTCTTGCATGTCGTTAATACTTTTATCTTATCCTTTAAACGAGCAATTCTTGTATATATATAATCGGAATCTCGGAAACGTTCATGTCACGATAATTTACACACTCTTTTTTTTACTTTTTTTTCGATTCCACACCATTGCTTTCTTTATTTTTCGTCCATCTAGATGATTTTGTTTTTGTTTTCCCTTTTTTTAAAGTTGTTTCTTTTGTGTAAAACACCATTTCATATTTTCTTATTATTAGGTTGCTAAGATCGAAAAATATTATGCATATTTCATTACTCAGTAATTTGTATCTAAATGTAATTTCCAAAATACACGATTTAAAAAATAAAAAAACAAACCGATTTTTTTTTGGGCTGGATGAGCCACTGTTGGCCTTAGGGGCCTTTACACTTCCGACGGGCTTGAGGTGGCCTAGCGCACGAGGCGCCTAGCCTGAACCTCGGCGTATTATTATTACGCGTTATGGTGACTAAGCTCGAGGGCTCCCGGGGGAGCCTCGGCTCGGGCCGTCGCGCTATTAAATAAACCGAGCAAAGCTCGGTCCTCCAGGTACTTTATTTTAATTGAAGATTGTAAACATTGTTTGATTTTCTTTTTATATTGACGAACTTCGTACGAGTTTCGTGATGAATTATGTAAATTGCGTAGTTTGTAAAAAATATGTGTTAATGAGTCTATTAATAAGTGTATCTTGTATTGGTAAATTCACCGTAACTGTAATACCATGAGCTATATATTTTGTAGTCTAAACGGGTTATGACGAGAATCGACACTGTCATTGTGCCGGTTCTGGGTGTTTGTTCTCAATGAGGGTTGCCGACAAGCAGGAACTAGTAGTAAAAAAACTAGCAAATACCTTAAACGACATGATTCACATTTTGTGCCGACCCCATCTAGGTTTAAGGTAGCAGAGAAAAGAAGACTTGTAAGAGTTTAACGTAAGTTGTAAACACTAGAGCAGGGGTGAGCAACCTTTTTAATCAATGGGCCAATTTAAATTTAAATTTTTTTGGCGGGCCGCACATAATAATTTACGAAACTTTATTTATAATAAATATAAGAATAAAAAAATATAAAATTAAAAAAAGCAAAGATTTCATATACAAATTTTAATGCAAGGTAAACACAATCAAGAAAAGAACAGAAAAACGAACAAAAAATATTTCGGTTCAGTATGTACTACCATTTTATTATAATTAATTTTATAACAATATATTGATGGGAGAAATTCGATAAAATAATTCAATTTTAGAAATGCTTGGCGGGGCGCATAAACATGTTAAGGGGCCGCAAGCGGCCCGCGGGCCGCGCGTAGCTTATCCTTGCACTAGAGGATTGAATACGTAGACTATTTTTTATGTACTAAGACATTGGTTAATGTATCATGTCAGCTGTAAAATCAGTAAGCACTGAACAGTTTGTTTCTTATTTATAGCCTAGATTAATTTTCAAAACAGTTGGAAGTTCACTAAGACGGTTTAGTATGCAGACTCCGATCAACCATATCTATTTTAATTAATATGTAATTAGTGTAACTCTTTACTCGGAATAACACGTTGTTTACTGTTTAGAGTGGCAGCTTAAATAAAAAAATGTGCTTAATAATGAAGGTAAAAGTTATGCATTGATTTCTTGATTTTACGCAAATAATATACATATTAAATGAAAGTAGTTTACGGATTTTATCGCGTTTTAATTTAGATTTTTAATTCGTAATGTGGGCTCTCTTGTATTGACAAATTTAATGATCGATAATGACCAGAATAAAAGAACTAATAGCTGACGTGACGCACCGACGGTTGAAGGATTGAAGTTTGTGATTATATTTTAAACCGCGTCAACGACTACATTAATTAGATTTAATAAACCGCAAAATCCTCGCAAAAAGAACACCGATAGCTGCCAAGGATGATCCGCGAGACTATTGAAATAAAGAAACATCCTAATTTCAATAGAGAAGATGGCTGGTGTTTATTATCTGCTTGGGATTTCATAATTTATAAAATAAAATAAATGATAAACTCCTTTTGTGTGGATTGGAATAAAAAAAAAATTAAAAAGACAATTGACGGTGGCCAGGATCTAGTTTGACATCAAGACGTATAACTCTGTCCCACGACCTGAAAAGGGTTCGAAACGTCGGGAATTAAAAATCTGTAAACTAGTTTCATTTAATAAAAGTTATGTGTTTTTTAAAAGTTTCCTATATTAATTTAGGTCTGCAAATACTACATTTTATCTGTAGAACGTAATATGTCAAAATATTATATACTCGATAATTTAAGTGTGTGTAGCAAATATTGTCCTTTCGTATCGGGTCGTACATGTTATATGCTGGTTAACTCGATCGCGAAAAATCTATTATCGATATTATTGTATTTAAATGTAAGTGTATTTTTCAATGTACAACATCCATTAATAAATGTTATTATATATAATAAATGTTATGTCCAACATTCATCCGATATATTGATCTAAACAGGTAACAGGCCAACGCGATGGAATAGAACGTTATTTTTTACGTTTCGATCTTAGCAAATAATTAGAGGTATAAAAGAGTTATTAAGTATTAGACTGAAGCGAAGGGTACAATGTTCTTCAAATTAAGAAGAAATTCAATAAAATTCTTAAATGAGCTCATTTTTAACCGACTTCAAAAGGAGGAGGTTTTCAATTCGACTTCGATTCGTATTTTTTTATGTTTGTTACATATTACTTTTGATTGAGTGGATCGATTTTGATGATTCTTTTCTTTATTTGAAAGCTGGTGCTTCCCATGTGGTCCCATAATAATTTCATTGGTATTGGAACTCCTGAAAATCAATTATAAAATGAATACAGAGCAAGATATCAGAAGTCGGTATTGTTTTATGATAGTAAAAAAATGGTTATAATGTATCCTTCGCCAAGGGTGAGCTTTATGTACCCCCGAAGTATCGCGAGACCTTCTTGAATGAGCTGGGGACGAGACTCCACCGTTCTCCTCTCAAGTGACTTTGATGGTGCTTTCTCTTCCAGTCAAATTCATAACGACACTGGGCGGGCGGAAGCTGGCGCTCTTCAACGGGTACACATATTTCAAGCACGTGAAGTTGGCAACGGGTGTCCGTTGGACCTGCTCAAGCCACTCGTCTAAAAAGTGCAGGGGCGCGCTAATACTGGACGAGGGGGGCTCCGTGATTAGAAGCAACCCGCTGCACACGCACGAACCAAGCCACTACCACTGCTTGAGGGATGGCGTCTACTACAAGCTATGAGCTCGCTCCTGTCTTATATTTATAATCGACATTTGCAACTGATACGGTCGTAGAGCCACGCAACACTTGCACGAATGGGCAGGTCCGTCCGGATAAGTACCACGACCTCACAGAAGACCGGCGTAAAGTAGAAGTGTTATACATTTGCGTTTCGTCTGGTGAGTGAAGTAGCAGGGGCCCGTATTTAAAGGTAGTTATCACGTAACATCAGGTGAACCAGCCCGTTTGTACTTTCTCAAATTAAAAAAAAAAGATCGGGTGGTTCCGTCTGTTCGGTAGCTCATGCTGAGGATATTTGATCACGTGCCCCCGGTGCTATCGATTTCAGTTTGGTGCAGTGAGATTTTATCAGAGACATATTAGCTAAAAGCTGGTTACTTCGGTTCATAGGCAGTTTCAATGATTTGTGGATAAGGAACAATTAAATATTCTTGACTTTCTGACCTCCCCCTACTGTATCATCTATCTGTATATTAACAAGTTTTTGTTTCACTATTTGGAATCGTTAAATTTGACCCACTTTCCAGTGTCCAAATAAGCTAACAATGCATTGTCCAAATAAGGTGTTCGTGACAATGCATGGTTACCGCCATTTTCAATTAAATATGGCGGTCGCCGCAAAGTGGCTATTTATAGTTTAAACATTAACCCCAATGATATGCGTATCAAATGAAAGGACTGGTTTTTATTATCAAGTAATAAAATATTGTTTTATTTTTATTTTAAGCTTGTTTTATTTTCAATGCGAAATACTCATCGTGTAAAAGTGTTCGTATATTGCTATTTCATTATAATAGTTGAACGGCTAACGGGTTTACTACATTCAGCCTATTCATTATTACAAGTGTATAAATAATCTTACCTTTCATATGATAATTATTAGTCTTATTTCGATATCTTTGAAAAAGAGCAACTGTTGAGTTTCTTACCGGTCTCTTCTCAACAGAAACTGCTTTCCGAACCGGTGGTACCTTACGAACCTCTATGTATAATTTTTTATGTAAAATTTGACGATTCATAAGAACGCGCAAGCGTCTATTTGAATAAAGATGTTTTGATTGAAAAAAAAAATAATAATTATTCTATAATAGTCAATTACTTAGGGATCTCTTTTTTATATTTGTCAACTGAGATTTTAATGAAATAAATTTTCAATTTTTGTTGTATTTTAATTATTATATTTTTGACAGCACTGTGACAGGTGATATGTGAACGATATTTTTAAAAATGACAGAACAAAAAGACAATACAAGTGTATTATAACGTTATACAATGATCTTACAGATGATTCGCAGCACTAGATTAATTAACTGAACTGTTTAAAAAATATTCTATTAACTTGATATTTATTTTATGCGAAAACCAGATTTTAAAAAAATCACCAGAATTATTTCGTGTAATCCCCACTTTAATTTGCTTTCCATATTTCATCCGAAAGAAAAATGTGATTTGAACTGTGACATGAGATTGCTGTTAAGATATCTATATACACGGAAAGATTCACTAACGCACGGTACACTGTTTCAAATTTTATTTGTTTCCATTTTGTACTTCGAACATAGCGATGCTTTAGCGAACAACGGTCCTATACATGCATAATTTGATGCGTGCCATAGGAAGGGTTGGATAGAAAATATTGCGAAGTAATAAATCGGCTACTCCGAGTGTTTCATCGATAGATTATAATGAATCCGTAGAAACTAGACAGCGTCTCGTCGATATCCGGTAATACGTGAACGATTTTCCAGTGCTAATGGTGAAAGGGCGCAACGGGAAGGACCTGTTAATGCTTAACGGATACACTTACTACCAACACAAGAATCTGCGCGACGGCCACCGCTGGAGCTGCACCCAGATGGCCTCGAGGTCCTGCAGGGGCTTTCTCCACGTGACGAAGGACATGCTTGTGGTCAGGGCCCAGACGGAGCACACGCACCCACCCTCCACTTACCACTTGGAGAACATCAAGGGCAAGGATGGCGACGTGAGTGAAGCTCTATGCTCTTATCCCCTTCATCATGAATCATGCTGTAAGCGGTTTCGGCTACGGTTTTTACTCACGTCAACCCTCCTTGGGAAACATTATCCAGATCGTGAACAATTTTTTGTGGGTCTTACATATACTTGTCCCGTGTGGGAATCGATCCCACGATCCCCGACATCGACGGCATTAGCTTGACAACGGCACCACCGAATCAATTTCCCGTTTCACGTTTGTATTTTTGTCTATGTTGTGAAAATTTACTTTCGAATTTAAACGAAGTTTCTATGAGCAAGATATTTCCGTAACTTCAGAAACATAGATCAGAACGAGAGGACACTGAAATATAATCACGTCTTATTTTCTGTTTGTCCTGTAGTTCCATACTACTGCAATAGATTCATTATTTTCCATTTTTTTTTCTGTAGTATATATATTTTGGTAGCCTGTTAATTATTCTTAACTTTTATTTATTATTCTTCTTTAAAAAAACACTACACCTATTCGATGTTGAGCTACAGAGCTACACCTATTATACCGAACTATAGAAATTCGATGCAATCCATTCCGTATGAGGTTAGGCCACGCAAAAATTATTGTTGTTATAAATTTTTTAATCTATAATTTCGTTTCAAAAGATAATTATTTAAATTATTCAAAAATAATTTAAAAATTGTATTTCTTTTACAGGTAAAGAAAAACTACACAAGAGATGATCTAAATATGTTATCAAAGAATGAAAAAGTTCATGGGCGCTCTGGGTTTTAGAGAATCAATCAATCTGGTGCCTTTGAAATTATTCCGCGATTATCTTAGTTTATAAGAAAACATTGTAAAACTCTTAATTAGTTGCGTTAAGCATATGTTATTTAAGTAACAATTATGTTAGGCTAATGTTAATATTAGATCCTTTTACAGAACGATACTGGACAAACATGCGCATGATTTCAGCGACCGATTTAACAATTACATTGGATTTGTTGAAGTGCAATCTGTTGTAGATCTAGCGCGAGTCATGCGTTGCGACGTCCTAGTCTTCTTGAAAATTGTTAAAGGATAATCATTTTCTATTTTGTCAATTTCTAACTTAGAGGTTTATTGTAAACATAATATATTACTTAAAGATCGCTCACAACATCCTATGCGTTTTCCATTTACTTTCCTCTTATTATAAGTATTTAGCTAAGGCAAATTGGCGATATATATACATATGCCTTATAATTTTCACTATGTAGATCATAATGGCCTCGATCGGCCTCTGGTGAGCAGTGAGTTCAGACATGCTTATTCGTCTTAACCTCTGACCACTTTGGGTAGGTCTAGGTTTCTCTATTACTCTTATGTATCACGACAAGGGTAACTGCGTTTTATCCGCTGAACAACATCGGATGTAAACGCAGTTCCTCTCATCAATAGCTCTAATTGATAGCAACCTTGCCTTGTTCAGTATCTGATGTGACGCTTTCGTTCCGCACAGTCGAGTTCTACTTGCGCCCGAGCGGCAGGATCAATCTGCGCTTGAACAACTTCACCTTCTACAAGCACTTGAAGGCGAGGACCAACGCTCACCGCTGGAGCTGCACCGCGTACGGCTCCAAGTGGAAGTGTAAGGCCCACCTCATCATCACGGACAAGCTCGAAGTGCTCAAAGCGAACCTCGCGCACAGCCACCCGCCTAGCGCCAGAAGGGATTCCCTCAAGCCCATGTACCAAGCGGCGAACGGCGTGGGCGTGCCCAGCCCTCGGATAGACCACGTCCACCCGGTCTCCTCTTTACACGACTACTTCATGGCACACAGCGTCTTCAACAACTTTTAGAAGTAAAAATATTGTTAAAAAAAACCGACTTCAAACAGGAAACTAAAAGCATTGTCAACATAACCTTTGAGGATTGCCCTTGCTTTCTCTGGGATGCCATCATCAGATCTGGATTCCTTATCATGGTACCACCCTTGGATATCTCCTTTCCGATAAAAAAAGAATCATCAAAATTGGATCATAAACGACGAAGTTATCCACGAACACACATAAAACAAAATAAAAATTTATACGGTCGAATTGAGAAACCTCCTCCTCTTTTGAAGTCGGTTTAAAAAGACTCGAAACGTTTCCCTTTATAGTTTTCGATTTAGCCCATCCGCTGAGCTATTTTGTATAATGATCGATTGGATAGTATAGTTGTTTTTTTTTAAGATAGGGTTATTCCACATATCACTTAATCAAATCACAACGCAACAAGCTGTTGGCATGAACGCACAGTTATGGAAAGTAATTTCTTTGCTTGAGAGGGAATAGTTCTGTTGTAATACGTTCCTTAAAAAGATTATCGGTTAGATATTTTGTGATCATAGTAATCATATTTTGTATGAATCCGATTTTCAACAATAAAGTGCCTTCGTAAAAATTACGTGTCTTTAGTAGGATAAGTTTTTGTATCACTATAATTATAACATCGATGTGTAGAAATTAAGTTGTAATAGTTATTTAATCGTGGTGTGATAAAAGCATTTTGTGACGTGTCCAGTATTAAATTTGTGATTTAAAAATGATTTTAAAATTAAGACTGCCTGTATCATGTACTTGATAGTATAGTATCTCACATGATCGGATATATTCTACACTCTTATATTTTACGTTTTTTTTACTACGATGATTTAATGCATTATGTCTTGCACTTTTCATCGCGATTTTATATTTGTGTGGCTACCTGTAGATGTAATGGTATCTTATCTATTTTTATTGTATTCACTTCATTTAATTTCTTGAAATATACGTTTAGTAACATCAAATTCACTCTTCTAGTCGTGTTTCATTATTGTTTCTGTAATTGCCTACACCACTTTTATATTACGTTAATCCAAATTGTATGTTAAAGCGATTCTGGTGACTGGAAAAGATTTTTGCAGTTGTACAAAACAAAACTTCTAATTTTACAGCGTTTTTATTTTTAGTTACAGATTTCTTCAGCCTAATGGTTTCATGTATTTACGCGAATACTGCACATGGTTCAATTAAATTACTAATAACATAAAACGCGATAAAATCGAAGAGTACTTTTATTTAATAATGGCTAACGCGTGGTATAGCGACATTCAAAATATGCAATTTATTCCTTCAGGACCTTTATCAGAGTTCTAAACATACTTTGGTATTATTGTAATTAAAACTTCTCCACGGCTTATATCGCCTTTGTTTTCTTTTTTTTATTTACAGAATTCACAGTCACGAGAAGGATCCCGAGCTGCTGATGATACGGAAAAAATATAAAGCGATCAAACGTATATTATTTCGACTGAGATACTGTTTATATGAAAAGGTGGCAAGTGAGCACACAGATGTGAAGCCACGCTATAGATTAAAGATTTGTAGTCTTACTTTAAAATGTTGGGTCCTGGCCACCTCACTCTTTTAGATAAGACGCAAAAATAAAATTCTTCCATTTCACCCTGCTCTCTTACGAGACCGCGCAACTTCTTTAGGCGAATTTGCTCAACGTGCAACAATATATACTAGATGCTGTTGAGTGGACCTACCATGGTTAAATCGTATAATCATATGTATCAAGAACGTTTTAATGATTTATGATACATATGATTTCCCTTATTCTTCGAAGGTGCATCGACCAGATATATATAGATCTATTTGAATAATATCACTAATGATAACTAGTAACATTTTAAGTGACATGAGGACTCTAGTTTTAGAGGCTTGCAACAATGCATTGTCTTCGGAACTTTGGGTCGCTAAAAACCCACTGCCTTGTTTACAAGTCAAAACGTCCCATGCTTACGTTTCCTTAAGCTTCGCCGTTTTCGCAACGAGGACAGCATAATCTAGCTATCTCTTTTTGAGATTATGATGCTAAGCTAAGGAAACACTTGAACGTGTGAACTATTAGTGTTATTTCAATCGTAGGCCTAAAACGGTGTAGTTACTTTCGGTATAACCACGATAATAAGTTCATATTGTTGTGTAATCACGCAGGTCGGCTGATCCAATATGTGAACGGTCGATTCGTCTATCTCCTGCACGGGTTCACGTACTACAAACGGAAACCGATTCAAGGTGGTTCAGCGACACGCTGGTCCTGCACGAGATGCCAAGTATACATACATTTAAACAATAAAATGGAGATTATATATGGGCCTACGGCGTTACACAACCATCCCAAGCCCGCACTGCACCGAGCCAGAGATGGAAAATATGTAAAAATATAAACCGATTTTATGCATCTAAATATATTGAATAAACATTATAAAATGTTTTCTTTATACCGTAGATAATCACTTACACCCGGTTTCTGAAACACTGGTCATCGTAGAAGTCAACTAATCAGCTGTCAAATGGCGTTTAAAATGTTATTTGTGTTGACAAAAGGATTTTTAAACTCTCTGAATTGATCAGAACGATCTTCTTAATGATCATTTTTTTTTGTATTTACGCGATTACATATTACAAATGTAACTAATTTTACGGATTTATCGCGTTTATTTTTAATTTGAATTCCCGACGTTTCGAACCCTTTACAGCGTTAACTATTGAATGTTTATCAAGTCCTCACGAATAGAAGTGTTTCTCTATTAAGATTTTACGTTAAAGAGAAGGGTTCTGAAGTATCGAGATGGGCATGCAACATGTCGTATATGTGCACGGCGTATCTTCATATCAACAACCATAATAATGTATTGAAGTCATCAGATTCAGGGTACATGCATCGCCTACCATTGCTCCGTAGGACTGAAGAAGACACTTATATTAAATATTGACTTAACAATCAGTGTTCTAAATTAAAAACAAAAATGCCTTGACGTTACTTACAATTTTCACTAACACCTTGTTTTATCTATTCCTGTAGTCGCAGTTTTGTCAAATTTGGCATTAAACTATGATTTATATTAAGTAACTGATTCGAAATGTTCACTTTTCAGGTGATTTGATAACACTATCTAACGGGAAAAAGTTGATAATGTTCAAGAAATACACTTACAAGAACAAAGGCCTGTCAAACGGGAAATTTAGATGGTATTGCACCAAACCAGACTGCAAGTCCTATCTGCTGGTATCAGACAACTTAGATATAGAGAAAGTAGTCGAGAGACACGATCACGAGCCTCCGAAATACAAAAGAACCTCAAAAGGAATTTACATTGATATGAAATAAAGATCCAAGTGAATTATTTGAATCAGTGCAGCATAAAAAGTATTTATAGCCTTTCTCTTTTCACTATTGTAATTGGTGATTTTTTTATTAAAGTATTGAACAAATAAAGGGTCAAAATTTCTGAATGTTACCAAAAACAATTTCTTGCAACCTGAATTTGTTTCCTCTTTCGAAAGATACGATGCAAGTTTATTTCCTTCTTTTTTCAGCCTCTCCATCTGTTATCATGCCACTTGAATTTAAAATTTATTATCATTACCATTGCTACTGGTGTCCTTTAGTCTGCCTGCCTATTTTCAACTTAATTGGTATCAAAGTCCCTTGTGTATCCCATTAAGGTGAAATCATAAAATAGTCTTGAGCTTTTCCTATTTCTGAGTAGCTTTTCCAAAACCGACTGCGTTGATAGAGATGTTGTTGTCAATTTACAGTCAACATATTCATGACGGCACGCGGCAAGGAGCGGCTCGTGTTCCATGACTTTACTTACTACAAGCAGAGCCGCACCAAAAGCGGCTTTCGATGGGGTTGCACGAAAAACCGGTGGCACAAGTGCAAGGCCTACCTCCACCTGGCCGACGACCTGACTATCGTCAGGAGTAACATGGAGCACACACACAGCCCTTTCGGGACGCCCTCGCGAAAGCAAGCACGCCGATGAGCTCAACTGTCCGTCTGTTATATCACGCTTCTTTTAGTCATTTCATATCTATTACTTACTACTTTACATTAATACCAAACAGTTTTTAATGCATGTTCAAGTCGAACGCAGTCTTGAGAGATATGTTACAGATTTTATGACCGCTGAAACAGTTTTTTATTGCTTTTGCTGTGATCACGGTATTAGATTTAAAGGATTATTAGATAATTAGGCGTATTCCATTCTAGTCCAATTGTGATGTGTAAGTGGTATTAGAATATACGTAAAGATTATATATGCTAATACTATTTATATTAGCAATATTTTTGCAAATGCTTTTAAGGCAGTTTTGTAAGCGAGAACACAAATTACCAGGATTAATAAAGATGTCATTTAAAAAAAAAGATTGTTATAATAATATCTGTTTAGTTATAGTTTGTTCACGTTTTTTTATATTAGCAGGAATAAAAAAATGAAACATGAAGAAGAAATGCTAAACCAGTAAATTTTAGTTAACAGCTTTATGGAGAATGTATTGATTACTGTGATTGACTGTTTAAATAATTTATCTTTAAATTATGATATATCTAACTTTGACTCTCTCTCAAAAAGATCTCAATAATAGTTGAAATTAGTTCGACATTCCAAATATGTTTTTTATTTGTTTAATAAAGGAAAATTACTTTAATTTGTTACTATTAAATATTTGTTTTGTTATTATGTTCTCAGGTTCTATGTTGTTAAATTTAATAAAGGTTTCATAAAATAATTTTTAATTATTGGTGTGTGTTATTTGTAAGTTTTGGAACTGCCTTCTTCCGCGACTTTAGAAGTTTGAAATATTTTTAGACAAAGGTGTCTATTTCAAAATAGCTTTCCAATGTGACCTTGTTTTTGCAAACCAATTTTTTTTTTGTTTTTTTTTTGTAATAAGTCTTCTATCAATAGAAATGCGTTAAAAATAAACGATGACTGAGGTGGAAACACACCGAGCTTTTCGCAAAAGCTGTTGCGGCAATCAACCCTTTTCAGCTTCGTAATAGACAATCGAGATGTATTTAGAAGTTCGACGATTTTAGATGTGGATATGAAGTTTCTATGTGAATGATGTAATCCATGTACGCACTCTTCTAGTGCAGTTTTACTATGACCTGAGACCTTCTTACAATACAAAGCTTGCGAAAATCTGTGTATTACATCGTACCCTGGAAATTTCTTTTGGTGATGTCTGTTCAGACAAAAAAATCGAGGTCAATGATGTAACAAACGTAACCGATCATTCATACGTCGATTGCGAAACGATCACATCAAGACGATGGTAATTGTGGACGAGGACTATCGCCACCTGACGGAGGTCCGGATCGATATCCGTCCCATTTAAGTTGACCGCACGGACATCTGCTGGATAGTGACATACTCCGAACCGCTTTTCAACTTTTCAATTGTACTTTTGATATTGTCTGCAAAACAAGAAATTATTGTTGTAGTCAAATAGTCTTATGTGGCCTTACGAAAATAGAAAAGTTCTTTTATTGTTTTCTGGACAAAAGAAGATTGGAGACCTTTTGCATTTTAAGATCGTGGATTTTAATTTCAACCGCGTACTCCGACTACTACAATAATCGCTCCTAACATTCTTGCCCGGTATCCAGTTAGATCGGCAATAGCCAATGTTTAAAAGTTATACTGCCTGTTCTATATTGATTATATAACCCCTACGGCTTTAGTAAATGATTACAGAGATTATGGTATTCAAAAGATTTGCGAAAGTGTTTTGACGTTTTAACTTCACCAAATGAAGCTTCTTCCCGAGGCTTTGTTTTTTAAGTATTCAACGTAATTTGTGTTGAATTCAATTTAAATTATCCGATCGGATTATCTAATTTTTGTTTCAGTGTAGAATTAAAGAGGAAAAAATGTTTTTAAATCTAATCTAGTGAAAGAATGTAAAGTAAACAGCCTGTATATGTTCCACTGCTGGATAAAAGCCTCTTCTAACCCCTCGCGTTATTAGGGCATAGTCCACCACGCGACCCCACCGCAGAGTTTAAAATTTCAAATATCTTCGAAATATGTTTTTTCTTATTATTGTTATTTCCAAAATATGCAGGTTTCCACACAGTAATTTCTGGGTAATCCAGATTAGTAGCAAATATATCTATTACTCCTATTTATATGACAGACTGTAACTTGAATTTCTGTTTGTCTGTATGCATTTATTCATTTTGAATGTTACAGCTAACTTTATCTACACGACGAGGGGCCAGAAACTTCTGATGTACGACAAGTTCACGTTCTTCAGAAGCGGCTGGGTCAGGAACGGCGGCTCGAGGTACTCTTGTTCTCACTCAGTGACCAAGCGATGCAAAGCCCACATCCACGTGCACAAGGACTGCGTCATTCTCATGACGCAGTCCTTACCGTACACAACCACGACCCTGACAAGTACGTGAAAACCAATGCGGGATACTATGTGAAAGTTTAGGTAACGCTCGTGCAGATCGCACTGAATATGGCAAGCCAGACAATTTATATGCAATGCGTTATGTATTAGGAGAAAAAATTTATGCAGCGAAAAATCTCACTTCCTTAGTCCCCAAATGGACTATTTATTATGTGATTAAGATTTTCTTAATACTCATGAAGTTGTACGAAATATTTACATCGTTTCCTTAAGTAGTTTGTTCTCGTGAGGTGCCTTCCTTATTATATGGATTGATTTTTTTCTTACTGTGGTAGGACGATGCAATAGTGTTCGCTGTTGTTTGAATGGGCAGGTCCGTCCGGGTAAGTACCACGACCTCACAGAAGATCGGCATAAAGTGGTGTCATGCTTCTGCGTTTCGTATGGTGAGTGAGGTAGCCGGGGTCCACTTTATTAAAAGGTGGCCACTCATCTGCAACCCTACGGGTGTTGCAAATGTCCATGGACAGCGGTTATCACTTAACATCAGGTGAACCGCCAGCTCGTTCGCCGCTTTCTCACATAAAAAAAAAATTCCAATTACTGACAATTTGAAACAATTATGTTGGCGTCGCACCACATCCGCAATTTTGGAATACTTTTGTTTAACAAATAAAAATAGCACAACTACACAACGTTTATAGTCCTAAACCCAGCAAAGCTTGGTACTACGTAGTACCTTAATAGTATGGATACGTACGTTAATACTAGATAACTGATTACTTTTTTTTTGTAAAAAAATACATATAGATATTATAAACACCTAGATACTAGGAAAATATTATGTTCATCATACATAATTTTTACAATAGTGGTGATCGGACCCACACCCTCTGGCGCAAGAGACAGGTCCACTATCCACTACGCGTATCGGGGCGTACTATAGCAGTATGGTTTTTATGGTTGCGAATTCTTATAATTATTAAAAAACTACTCACACTCGGTTTCTGAAACACTGATCATCGTAGAAATTAACTAATCAGCTGTCAAAGAGCTTTGCAAATGCCTTTTGAATTGTCAAAAGGATGGGTAAACTCTTTGAATTGATCATTTTGATCATTAAGAAGATCATTTTTATCTTAATAGTATTGTGTGCTTATTATAGAGTTCAATTTAAATAATAATAAAGTAGTGTGCTGAGATCGTAAATAAAAGGCCTGCAAAAAATGAAATATGCCTAAGGCGAGGCAAACCCCTTGTGCCTTTCTCTTACTCGACCGACATAAAGCTTCAGCGCCCCACTTTCGGTCAGTCGATCCCTTGTGAATAAAGGTCAAGTGTCCGGGGGTCATGTTCGACGCAAATATGTCGATAGATGATGTCAGAAACATCGCGTACTGTTCTGCCCGTCTCAACCATCTCCCGTGATGTTTGTTCAATGTATACTTATCAAACCATCCCCTTGTAAACTAAGCTCACGTAAGGCCGATGGATGTTGTACCTGCAACGTCGTTTGGTTCATTACACATTAGTTCATCTAGAAACTAGTCGACGGTGAGTAAGTCAACTTAACGTCGACTTGCTTACCTGTTGCACGTAAACGCGGATTTTAATGAAAAGTTGGGAGAGGTGCGAGATTGAAGTTTCGAAGGCGCATTTAGGACATATCTTTACTAAATTATAAAAAATAGCTTTCTTAGTTAAACGAATTATATTATTATTTATTTATTATTACCGCATTATGGTCAGTTCATGATAGGAAAAATATAAGAATTGAGTAAGGAACGAAGTTGAACTTATCAAAAGATTACACAACGAACGTTACAGTTTTTGAGAGGGTCATGGCCCCTAAATCCCCACTCGATATTAAATTCCGACGCTATGCTATATATGTAAAAGCGACCCGCGTACTGATGGGCCACTTCGAAATTCGACAGTAAACGACCTAAATCGATCCGCAAACGATCTTGTAGAGCAGAGACCCCTGTTTTCATCTAAAGGCTGACGTGTTTTAATACAGATAGTTTTACTAAATTTTACGACTTGATAGTGTAACTACTGTTCCAGACACTTCTTCCATTCATTAAAAATAATATTCAGAATTTTATAGCAATAATTTTACATGAAAGTGAGCTTTGAAATTTCTGGTTAACTGTACATGAAATATCTGGTTAACACTTTCAATTAACACTTAACACTTTCACAGCACAAGTTAACACTTTCAATTTTACATGAAAGTGAGCTTTGAAATTTCTGGTTAACTGTACATGAAATATCTGGTTAACACTTTCTAATACATTTCAATTCTCATCTTCGTTAGTTCACAATAATTATGGCTCGTGTTTCTAGCGGTTTCTGTTATGTACATACATCAATTCGTTTTAATCTTGCAGCCATGTTTAACCACAGGACCAGGTGACAGAAGCTCCTAATGTACGGCAAATATTCTTTCTCTAGGAGCGGACCAGACCCCGTCTTTACCAATTCTTGTTACCTTCCAGTGAAGTACAAAACTTTTATTTATGTGATAAAGTTGTCAAACGAGCAGACGGTTCACCTGATGTTAAGTGGAGACCGCCACCCATGGACATTTACAACACCTGAGGGCTTGCAGATGAAAATTGGGCAGCGCTTACGCGCACTACTTCACGTTGATCTTTTGTGAGGCCGCGGTAGTTCCCCGGATGAACCCCGTACCTGGCCTGTACCTCAGTTTTATGAAAGGGGAAGTTAAATTTTTGTCTACAATTTGGATTACATAATGTGTATATTTGATGACCTGCAAATAATGTACTTTCAATGCCACTTCATTTATTTATCGCAAAAACACCAACGTACTATATAAATGGTCGCTGCTTTTATAAACTTATATTGAAGCTAGTCTTCCGGAAATTTTATAAACAAAGACATATCACACCAGCACTCTGCTTACTTAACATTAAATTTTTAGAAATGCTCTATGCGAATCCAAACTTGGCGGCGGTGCGAAATAATTGTCCGATTTTTTTTCTATAATATATAATCATCATTATCATCGTCCTTCTGCCCTTACCTAGGTGGGCTAGGTGAGGTCGGCACAACGTGTGAATAATGTTGTAAGTGCTTTTGTCTATGTTTTTTAAGACCGGGCGTTTGCATGACGTCAACCCTCTTTGGGAAACAAACACTCAGACAAGGAAAAATTGTCTGTGGGCCACACAAATACTTTTTCCGTGTTCCCACACCGAACCCACGACCCCCGACGCCGAATCATCAATAATTATTATTGTCAATGTATGTAATGTAAAAATGTATTTAATGAGAAAATAAATAAATATCCCCAATAATAACCAAAATGTTATTATTTGTTGACTTAATATTTTACAATTATTGTAAGTTAAAACCAGTTTATGATAATTTATTATTTGATAAATTATTTTAAATAATTTATTGTGATTGTGTTTATGTATAAAATTTTTGCTTCTTAAATGTATTAAAGTATATTAAAATAATAATAAAAAAAGTTTAATTTCATCATTTGATAACTGTTATAATTTTAAGTTATATTTGTATAAATTTTATAATATAATGATAAAAATTAAAAATGATTTAATTAAACTTTGGTACTTCTAAATTAATAAAGATGAGTACGTAAGTATATTATTCAATTAATTATTGATTGATTTTTCAGGTCCAGCTGTAGAAGGAGTTTGTAAATTATTACATAGTCACGCAGAAAGAAATGGACGAAAACCTTTGAAAGTTAATGAAACGTTTACTTCGTACGAAGACTTAGAAAAAAGAGTTAATGAATATCAAGATTTTTCTTTCTGTTGTTTTTATAAAAGACATTGTGTTACAATAGAAAAGTGTAGAAAAACATGGCGTGAAAAGACATATCGATGCAAAATTACGTTATTATTCTATTAGATATTGCTGTATCAACGGGGGAAAAAAATTTCTATCAAAGGGAACAGGACAAAGATCGTCAAACACATTTCAAAGAGAATGTCCAGCTTCGTTTACAGTAAATGTTTCAGGAGACGGTCACACTTTATACGTTTCATCTGTTGATTTGATACATAATCATGATTTAACAAAAGCACTCTATGAACATCTTACTCAAGCAAGACGAATGACACCGATAGTAAAAAAAAGAAAGTAAAAGGCTTATTTAAATTGAATTAATACTAACCGAAAAAAGCATTGTTAATACTAAAAGACTTACACAATTTAAACTATTAGAGGTAAACTATTATTAGAGGAAAAAAAATAGCTTAGAAGTAGTAGTAGAAAATTAATAGCAATTAAAAGTAAAATACAAAATGCAAATAAAAGATTGAAAAAATAACCGAAAAAAAAATATTGTTAATTGTAAAAAGACTTACATGATTTGAATTATTAAGGAGGAAGAAAAAACTAGTTTAGAATAGAAGTAGAAAATAAAAGTAAATCCAAAATGCAAATAAAAGATTGAAAAATAAACCGAAAAAAAATCATTTTTAATTCTTAGGCAGACGATTTAAATTATTAAGGAGGAAGAAAAAAGTAGTTTAGAATAGAAGTAGAAAATTAATAGAAAATGAAAGTAGAATACAAAATGCAAGTAAAAGATGGAAAAATAAACCGAAAAAAAAGCATTGTTAATTGTAAAAGACTGACATGATTTAAATTATTAAGGAGGAAGAAAAAAATAGTTTAGAAGTAGAAGTAGAAAATTAAAACCAAATAAAAGTATAATCCAAAATGCAAATGAAAGATTGAAAAATAAACCGAAAAAAATACTGTTAATGTTAAAAGACACAATTTAAACTATTAAGTAGGAAGAAAAAATAGTTTAGAAATAGAAGTAGACAATTAAAAGCAATTAAAAGTAAAATCCAAAATATAAAAAAAGATTGAAAAATGAACCAAAAAAAACTTTATTTTAAAAGACTTAGACAATTTAAACTATTAAGACGGAAGATAAAATAGTTTAGAAGGAGTAGAGAAGATTTTGAGATTATTATTATTAAAGGTCCTTTTTTGACACTCCAGCAATGAAATCTGCTATGAAGTCCAAGGCAGATAAAGAATACCCAGAATACGTCGGAGTAGACGGTACATTAAAATTACTTAATATTCGTGCAGCCGTGTATTTATTAATAGTAGAAGACCCTAATAGCGGTATAGAAATTGTTGGGGTGAAACAAAAATGACAGTAAATTGAAGCGGTACATAATAAAAATGACATTAAGTTTACACGTAACATTTTTTCTCTACATAATAGTATATATAGTAACAATAATCTTTAGTCATAGCGGTCTATCGTAAGCGAAGGAAAGTTTTCTGCAGATATTTTAACTTTTAATAATGCGTACAAAATGTACGCAAGCTTGCACAAGAATGCTATGTTATCAGAGGCAACTTTAAAAGCATTAAAGTTTTTTTTTAATCGATTGCTGCGTAAGAAGGAATTTGTTTTGTTTTAAAAGCAATGATAAATGTGTAAGAGGCCGGATTCCGTCTTCACCGAAGCCTATAAACTTCCAGTGAAGTACATAGCTCTCAGGGCACTAGACTCGCCTTGGTCAACGGCTACACGTATTTCAAGATCGGCAGTATCCTTGCCGGTGGTTCAAGGTACACACAACCCCCAGCGTTCACAAAGGCTGCAAGGCCAATTTGCACATAGACAAGGACGATATCATCACTCTCGCCGCCACCCAACACAATCACCTGCCGAGAAATTACGTCCGTACTAAGTCCGGACTATACATGAAAGGACTATATATAAGTGTGAGTGAGTCGGTGTGGCGGAACTAACAACCGTTATCTAGTCATGTCTCAGTCATTTGTATTACATATATTTAACAACTTGCTAATAAAATGTGAATAATGTACTTTCAATGCCTCTTCATTTAATCATCGCGACAATACACCAACGCACAATATAAATGGTCGCTGCTTTTATAAACTTATACTGAAACAAGTCCAGAAATTTTATAAACAAAGACATATCACTCCACCCTTCTTCTTGCTTGATGCTTTATGCGAATCTAAACTAAGCGGCGTCGGGAAATAATTGCGTGTTTTTTTTTTCTCAAATATATAATCATCATCATTCTTCTGCCCTTATCCCACCTAGGCGAGGTCGGCACTACGTGTGAATCATGTTGATAAGTGGTTTTGACTATGTTTTTTATGACCGCTTGCATGACGTCAACCCTCCTTGGTAAACAAACACCCAGATCCGGAACAATTATCTTTGGGCCACACAAATACTTTTCCCGTGTGGGAATCGAACCCACGACCTCGACGCCGAAACCAATAGCTTGGCAACGGTGCCACCGAGTCATCAATTATTATTATTGTTCTAATACATTTTAATTCTCATCTATTGACTCACGAAAACTATGGATTGCGTTTCTAGCTAAGTCAATTTCTGTTTGTACAACGATTTGTTTTCAAATTTGCAGCCATGTTTATCCACACGACCAGGGGACAGAAGCTCCTGATGTACGGCAAATACTCTTTCTATAGGAGCGGCCCGATAAGGAATGGAGGCTCGAGGTACTCGTGCTCCCGCTTGAGCAGCCAGCAGTGCAAAGCCCACATCCACTTGAGCAAGGATGATGACATACTGATGGTGCAAGCCGCACACAATCACGATCCCGACACCTACTTGAAAACCAAAGCGGGACTCTACTTAAAAGTTTATCTTAATAAAGAGCCGAAGCGAATCGTTTAAGACTGCTGTATTTTTGTGTTCAGATCGCAACCTCTATGGTTGACTGTCAGAATTATTATTATATTCCCTGTCTTAAACGATCCTTTCTTACCGTCACATCTTTAGGCTAAAATTCAGTATCTTTGTTTAAAATTTATATAATTATTCCTCCCCCCTTCAACGGCATCTTGAGGAATTCTTTCAAAATTGAGGCTTTATTCCTTGATCGCTAACAAGGGACAAGGACCCAGTGAATTCTGTTATAAAAGATTTTTCGATGTTCCCAAATGTTATTCATATTCTTCCGTTAACTGTTTGTAAGACTGCGCGTATAATAGGAGTATACTCGTAAAAACAGGTTCGTTAAGTATTTCTTTGTTATATCTGTTGTTCGTTTCGTTATCTTTGTTATTCGTTTATATTTTAATCCGTCTATATAATATCCCCATAATATAGGGCAGCTGTTAGGCAATGCTTACAGACAGTAACTCAACAAAAAGGTGCTATAAACACAAAACGTGCTATATAGTTAAACGAAAGGAATGAAAGAAAACATTTTCGTCGCATTTATGTTCTAAATTGTGTGTAAACAAACTTGTTGTAAATTATACAGTTAACAATAAGAATAGTTATTTGGAGTGTGTATATGGCCGTGGAGATTTCTTTCGTATGTTCTAAGTGGAACCAGAATGGATCAGGGGAGTTTCTGTGAAAAACTTTCTAAGACGACGGCTAGACTTATCGATCGGACTTCCTTAGTTTGAGAAGTCTCAGATATCAGGCCAAATAAAAAAGAAAAAATACCTCAATGTTTGAAGACTAAAGTCTTCAATCAATGTGTGTTGCCAGACCTACGGAACCGAGACGTGGTCCTTCACTGCTGGCCGTATGAGGAAGCTCAAAGTCGCTCAGCAAGCTATGGAGCGGGCTATGCTCCTGATTTTGCTTGCCTGACAGAGTTCGTAACGAAGACACCCGCGGTAGAACCAAGATAACCGAAATAGCTCAGAAGATCAGCAAGCTGAAGTGGCGATGGGCCGGCCATATAGCTCGTAGAACCGATAACCGTTGGGGAAGAAAGGTTCTCGAGTGGCAGCCTCGTACGGGCCATCGCAGTGTAAGACAACCCTCCCGCTAGATGGAGTGACGACCTGTGCAAATGTGCGGGAAGTCGATGGATGCTGGTGGCTCAGGATCGTACTTCATGGCAGTCTATGGGGGAGCAGTGGACTCAATCAGGCTGAAATTATGATGATGATGAAAATAGAAAATTATTGGCCTAGATATGCTTTAGCTTTCTTTAATAAACAATATTCTTTAATCAAAGCGGTCTGTCGAAAGCGAGAGAAATATTTTTCCAGACATTTGAACTTTCAGTAATACGTTGAAATTAATGTGAAGCGTGTACAGAAGAAGTTTATATGAATCGATGATTGCTGCACAAGAAGGCAAATCAAATTAATTGATTTAAAAGGAATGATAAACATATAAGGGACCCCGTCTTCACCAATTCTTGTTACATTCCAGTGAAGTACATAACTCTCGTGAAGGGCACTAGACTCGCAATGGTCAACGGCTACGCGTATTTCAAGACCGGCAGTGTCCGCGCCGGTGGTTCAAGGTACACCTGCCCCGGCGTGCACAAAGGCTGCAAGGCGCATCTGCACATAGACAAGGACGATATCATCACTCTCGCCTCCACCCAACACAATCACCTACCGAGAAATTACGTCCGTACAAAGTCCGGACTGTACATGAAAGTATGAGAACACAGTCACACTTTCATTTATATTTCATACGTTGATCTTTTGTGAGGCCGCGGTAATTCCCCGGATGAACCCGTACCTGACCTTTACCTCAGTTTTATTTAAAGGGAAGTTAAATTTTTGTCTTGCAACTTGAATTACGTAATGTGTATATTTGATGATCTGCAAATAATGTACTTTCAAGGCCACTTCATTTGCATTTAAATGATGGCTGCTTTTTTAAACTTATACTAAAGCTAGTCTTTCAGAAATTTTATAAACTAAGACATGCCCCCCCAGCACTCTGCTTAATTAAGATTAAATTTTTAGAAATGCTCTATGTGAATCTAAACTTGGCGGGGGTGCGAAATAATTGCACGATTTTTTTTCTCTAATACATAGTCATCATTATCATCATCCTTCTGCCCTTACACCACCTAGGTGTGGTTTTGGCTGTTTTTTATGACCGGTTTGCATCGTCAACCCTCCTAAAGAGAGAAACAAACACCCAAATCCGGAAAAATTGTCTGCCCACAGACAATACACACTAATACTTTTACGTGTGGGAACCGAACCCACGACCCCCGACGCCGAAGCCAAGCTTAGCAACGTTGCCACCGAGTCTACAATAATTATTATTGTCAATGTATGTACTGTAAAATGTATGTAATGAGAAAATAAACAAATATACACAAATTAAAACCAGTTTATGATAATTTATTATTAGATATAAATTATTTTAAATAATTTATTGTGATTGTGTTTATGTAGAACATGCTACATTACTGTAGCTATAAACATTTTTTGTTTCTTAAATATATTAAAGTATATTAAAATAATAATAAAAAAAGTTTAATTTCATCATTTGATAACTGTTATAATTTTAAGTTATATTTGTATAAATTTTATAATATAATGATAAAAATTAAAAATGATTTAATTAAACTTTGGTACTTCTAAATTAATAAAGATGAGTACGTAAGTATATTATTCAATTAATTATTGATTGATTTTTCAGGTCCAGCTGTAGAAGGAGTTTGTAAATTATTACATAGTCACGCAGAAAGAAATGGAAGAAAACCTTTGAAAGTTAATGAAACGTTTACTTCGTACGAAGACTTAGAAAAAAGAGTTAATGAATATCAAGATTTTTCTTTCTGTTGTTTTTATAAAAGACATTGTGTTACAATAGAAAAGTGTAGAAAACATGGCGTGAAAAGACATATCGATGCAAAATTACGTTATTATTCTATTAGATATTGCTGTATCAACGGGGGAAAAAAATTTCTATCAAAGGGAACAGGACAAAGATCGTCAAACACATTTCAAAGAGAATGCCCAGCTTCATTTACAGTAAATGTTTCAGGAGACGGTCACACTTTATACGTTTCATCTGTTGATTTGATACATAATCATGATTTAACAAAAGCACTCTATGAACATCTTACTCAAGCAAGACGAACGACAACAATAATGAAAAAAAAAAGAAAATAAAAGGCCTAAATTATATGCAAATAAAAGTAAAATCAGAAATGCAAATAAATGATTGAAAAATAAACCGAAGAAAAAGCATTATAAATTCTAAAAGATTTACCTATATGATTTAAATTATTAAGGAGGAAGAAAAAAATAGTTTAGAATAGAAGTAGAAAATTAAAAGCAAATAAAAGTAAATACAAAATGCAAATAAAAGATTTAAAAATAAACCGAAAAAAAACATTGTTAACTCTAAAAGACTTTTACGATTTAAATTATTAAGGAGGAAGAAAAAATTAGTTTAGTATAGAAGTAGAAAATTAAAAGCAAATACAAGTAAAATACAAATAAAAGATCGAAAATAAACCGGTAAAAAAAAGCATTGTTAATTGTAAAAGACTTAAAACCACAATTAAAACTAATAAGAATGAAGAAAAAATAGTTTAGAAGTAGTAGAGAAGATTTTAAGATTAATATTATTAAAGGTCTTTTTTTGCCACTACAGCAATGAAATCTGCTATAAAGTCAAAGGCAGATTAAGAATACCCAGAATAAGTCGGAGTAGATGGTACATTAAAATTACGTTATAATCTTGAACCCGTGTATTTGTTAATAGTAGAAGACCCTAATGGTGGCGGTAAAGAAATTGTTGGGGTGAAACAAAAGTAACAGTAAATTGGAGTGTCACATAATAAAAGCTTACACGTAGCAATTTTATTTACATGTACAAATTTATAGTAAACTAGCTGACCCGGCAAACTTGTTTTGCCATATAAATTATTTGTAGGGTAGAAAAAAAATTTTTGGACCACCCTTAACATTTAGGGGGATGAAAAATAGATGTCGTCCGATTCTCCACCCTGGCCGATATGCACACTAAATTTCACGAAAATCGGTCGAGCTGCTTCGGAGGAGTTTAATTACAAACACCGTGATACGAGATTTTAAATACCTATATAGTAAACATAGCAACAATAATCTTTAGTCAAAGCGGTCTATCGCAACCGAAGGAAAGTTTTCTTTAGACATTTTAACTTTTAGTATACGTACAAAATGTACGCAAGCTTACACAAGAATGCTAAATTATCACAGGCAACTTTAAAAACATTAATGTTTTTTTAATCGATTGCTGCATAAGAAGGCATTAGATTTGAATTGAATGTTTAAATGGAATGATAAACGTATAAGAGACCGGATCCTGTGTTCACCGATACTTGTTAGCTTCCAGTGAAGTACATAAATCTCGTCAGGGACACTAGACTCGCGATGACTCAACAGCTACACGTATTTCAATACTGGCAGTGTCCTCGCCGGTGGTTCAAGGTACACCTGCCCCAGCGTTCACAAAGGCTGCAAGGCCAATTTGCACATAGACAAGGACGATATCATCACTCTTGCCTCCACCCAACACAATCACCCGCCGAGAAATTACCTCCAGATTATAAATGAAAGTGTGTGTTTCGGTGCGGCGGAACTAACAACCCTTATCTAGTCATGTCTCAGTCATTAGTATTACATATCTTTAATAACTTGCTAATAAAATGTGAATAATGTACTTTCAATGCCTCTTCATTTATTCATTGCGACAATACACCAACGTACAATATAAATGTTTGCTGTTTTAAAAGTGTGTTAATCGTAAAACAGAAATTTAATGGCAACCTTATTTATTTTATTTATTTAAAAACTTTATGCACAATGACGTACAATGGTGGCTTAACACCTTTAAGTTTCCTCTACCAGTCAACCGACAAGTAAACAGAGAGAAAAAGGAGGTGCGAAAGAGAGAATATTACGTACTTATAAATATGCACGTATACTAATATTTATGTAAATGGTATATAAAAAATACATATACACATATACATACACAAATATATACATGCCTACATAGTATTAGATAATTATGTCAAGGAAGTTGTCATTTACTTAGTGTTAGGAATATAACTGGTTTAAAAACATATAAAGGCGTGACGCGAACAAATTAATAATAAAGAAAGCATCTGTAACAACGCATATGGAATCATCTTTTGGAGTACTCTATTGCAAGTCGGGGTCATATTTTCAAACATTAATATGTAGACGATGCCTCATAGAATAATGTCACAAATGCCTCATAGAAAAATGTCATCGAAAAATGTCATTGTCGTTGATAAAAATAGTTCAATACTACACACGCCTCCAAGTTGTATCTCAAGCGAAGGAAAGTTTCTCTCATTTCAGCCAAATACATCACGACCACGAAAGGCACCAGACTCCTAATGCTCGGCGAGTACACGTACTGTAGAGGTGGGGTTAGGTGCGGGGGTGGCACGCGCTACCGCTGCCCCAACGTGAATAAGGGTTGCAAGGCGCGGGTGCACGTGGACGAGGCGGGCTTAATTGTCCTGGCCGTCGCCCAGCACAATCATCCCCCGCATAAGTACATGAAGATCAGGAACGGGCTTTACATGAAGTTTTAGTTCGGCTTGTTTACATTTCCGTTACCGTTCTTATAACTATGACTTTAAATTCAAATTTAGACTTGATGTTGCGCATTAAAATAATGACTTGATCATCAAAATACCCTGTCACCTCAGGAACTGAGGGTAGTTCGGGATTTGTACTCACTTCAGGGTTCTTTTCAACCGATTATAGTTTATCATCGGCATACAAATATTTTTCAGTAAGCTCTTTTAGCCAAAAGTACTAAACATCCTCAATATCTTCATCAATGTGCAATTTGATGAAACAATTTATACGCGGTAAGATGATGACTTAAATGTGACAAAAATCTGTTTTGCTTCATTTGTACATTAATTTTAGTCCTCAGAAGTAATATCATAAATCCTTAGCGAATTTGGAGAGCCGCAGCTCAGTGTTTGAAAATGTATGGTCGCGCTATTAACCTTAGGCCTTTTTCTTCATCTTGCCTGTAATAAAACTTCTTTAACTGACACCTCAATAGTGAGGTAACCAAATTGCACATCGACACACAATATTTTACAGCATCTCTAACTGTGAATTCTGCACGTTGTTCTGAACTTAGCTACTGTTACCCTAGCAGCTTCTGCTGTTGCAAAATTGGGCAGGCTCATTCAGGGATTTACCAGTCTCTCAAAGACCAGCGTGCAGTGTAAATGTTATACTTTTATTATTCCACAGCTTTACAACGCAACTGTACGTTGGTGTATCTTACTCTTAGATGTCCATGTGTGGCGGTTATCACTTAAGAACGACCTATTCTAGTTCTATTGTGAACTTTTCCCGATGACAAAATGTTTAATTAATCGGTTGATCGTTTACAAATTTCACTGTCATCAAACTGAATTAATGTCACTAATGAACTGCATCATTAGAATGGATTACAAAAATGACAACTTACATTTCCCCAAGTGTTTGGAATTGCTATTTGGATCATAAACTAAATCTTTTCAGTACAGAAAGCTAAAAATCCTAAATTTATGGGATGATCTTCACTTTTTGCCATGTCTGTTACTCAATGGCTGTACGATTATTTTGATCTTTCTTAACTTGTGTCTTGATTGCTTTTCAATATGTTATAACTATTCATTGTTTCAATAGCAGAATGATTCTGACTGAAAGTTCATATTGAGCCACGTATTGGCGAAGCTTAATGTTAAATATAGGATAAATATGTTTTATCTTTTTACTACTACCATATTTTCAACTAGGCACACACAGTGTACAGTTTTCAAAACGGTCCTTATCTTATTCTCATTTAATTTCATAGAACAGCTACTGTTCTACATATAACTTGCTACGATAAATTTTCTGTATTTTTATCTATTCACATTATTCGATGTATTGCATTACATATATTTAAAAAAGTTTTGTATAAAAAGTTGTAACAAAAAGTGTGGGATACATACGTGGGTGTGTAATGTTTTGACTTGTACTTTTTGCAAATAAAACAAAAATCTACAGTGACTCTTTCATTCACGAGTAGATTTCATCACATTTTTTATTATCATAATAAAAAAAATTGGAGTGATTGTTGTAAAGTCGCGGTTCCCGTACTGAAATATTATCAACCTTGTTTATATATTCTGTACTATATAAAGTTTAATTTTTTTAGAACGTAAACCTACATCAAGACGCGCGACGCCTTTATTTCAGTACTTATTTTTAATTTTATTGCACATTTAATAAAAAAAATGATGAAGAAAGCATATTAATAACGAATGGGAGGGATTCTTATAAATAATTGTTACAATGATTATTGAACCAAATATTCTTAGAACATAGGTTTGTGCATGCTCTGTAACCTTGAACTAACACCACAGGATAAAAACCATATAATAAGATAACAAAAAGAAAGAAGACGTGGAGGTTTATAAGTATCATGGATTCCTAAACAATAGAATCCTATACAATATACTACTAATTCCTAAACAAATGTAATAATAATAATGATCATTGGATATTGTAATTAATCTAATATATATATTTTTGCTCCAGCCCGATTTGTGCAGACACTGAATGGCTCGCGCCTACTGCTGTACAACCAGTATCCGTTTAGCAAGAACGGCAGGAAAAAGAGACACTGGCAAACGTACGCTTGCTGCAAGCGACTGTCCTTAAAGTGCGCGGCCTTCATCAACATATCTATGGAGAATCAGATTCTCAAAGCCTGCACGGAACACAACCACCCGCCACCCGCGTACGTCATCTCTAAGGAGGGCTATTATATAAAAACCTAACCCTGTCTTTGCTAATAATGTTCAAAGTCAAACGTCCATATAAATAATAAAGCGCTTAACCGGCGCGCCTGTTTTAATATTCTATCTTTTTTATGTGAAGAGTTTGGCAACTTTAGCCGCAGCCCATGGACATCTGCTACACCCGAGGGTTGCAAATGCGTTGACAACCTTTTGAAAATTGGGCTCCGGCCACCGCACCGACCAGACGAAACGCGAAAGTATTATACTTCCACTTTACGCCGGTCTTCTGTGAGTTCGTGGTACTTACGCGGACGAGCCTGCCCATTCGGGCCCTACCACCGTCTGTGTCGAGATTTGTTTACTAGTGATAGGTGTTTGACATTAGCTCCATAATACTTACTTCAAAATTCTATCACCAGTAACCAAATCTATCTGTACATATTGAATCCGGCCGTCAGGCTAACTTATGTGCTTAATTGAATTTTATAAGTATTTTTAGCATACCTGTATCTTATATTGTAAACTGATATTTTTTAAAAAGAGCAACTGTTGAGTTTCTATCCTGTTTCTTCTAGCAGAAACTGAATTCCGAACCGGTGGTACCTTACGAACCTATTTATAGCTTTTTATGTAAATTTGTCGATTAATAAGAACGCGCAAGCGTCTATTCGAATAAAGATATTTTTGATGGTTTCATCGATTTCATTCAAAATGGTTTAATCGATTTTTAGGTCTTATATTTCGTTAGATTACTCTTTATTGCACTAGTAATTAAAAAACCAGCCATGTGCGAGTAGGACTCGCGCACGAAGTAGTATTTTTTAGTATTTGTTCTTATATATATAAATACATTATATGTGAAAATCAACTGTCTAACTATCACAGTTCATGACATACAGGCTGGTGACAGACGGACAGACAGACAGATACCGGAGTCTCGTGTAATAGGGTCTTTAGTCGTAGTAATAGGTTCGTTTTACCCTTTGGGTACGGACCTCTAAAAATATATTGGCTTTTTTTTAATTATTTTAACCCTCTAACACTATTTATTAACAAGTACCTACTACTTTTTATGTTTAGTATTTGAAACGATTCGACCTAAATCTTTGTCAATCGGAGACTAGACAAAACTTTTTACGGTGGTAGGACCACGCAGCAGCCTCCGCTGTTGCATGAATGGGCAGGCCCGTCCGGGTAAGTACCACGACCTCGCAGAAGACCGGCGTCAAGTGGAAGTATGACAAATACTTTCGCGTTTCGTCTGGTGAGTGAGGTAGCCGGAGCCCAAACTTCAAAAAGTTGTCAACACATCTGTAACCCTCGGGTGTGGCAGATGTCCATGGGCGGCGGTATTCACTTAACATCAGGTGAACCGCCTGCTCGCTTGGCAACTTTTCACATAAAAAAAAAAACATATTTCAGAGTCTCAGGTCACTTTTATTAATGAGTTGAACTTAGATTTTATTTCTTGGGGAGAAATATGGCAAAAATCTTCATCTCGCCTATTCAAGATACGAATCATTGTAAGCCCTGTTTAACAAAATAACTGTCGTCGTTTTTTTGATCTTATTTTAATTAAAAAAATTGTATGAACCGAATATTGTTTTCACTTTTATACCTTGAAAATGTTTTCATTTTATAATAGCCATTAGAATTGTTACTTATTTTTATAATTACTACTACGGGTATTATGTAAAATCAGTTCAGTTTAAATGCCTCTGACATTGCTCTAAAAAAGTAATCTTCGATCAACGAATAACGGCTAAAAAGTAGTGTAACAAAATTAAGGATTTATTTGTATTTCTTATTTTTTTAATTTTATTTTCTCAACAAAACGTTTGCTTACTATAATCTCATTCCATCTGCTATCACGAGTACCTCGTTTACTATTATTATTTCGATTTCTTCATTGATTTCTTCGAATGTGAAATTTTTACAGTTGAAATCATACGGCTGCCGTCGGGGAAAAATTTGATCATGTCCAACATGGGTTTCACATTCCATAGGAACGGCGCCAGGAGGAGGGGTGGTATTAGGTGGTTCTGCTCATACCGCAATAAGGGGTGCCCGGTGACCTTGATCATGAACGAGGACACGGGTCGGCCCGTAATGACTCCAGGTCCACACCCCCACCAACCGCCGACGTACGTGCAGATGGGAGAGGTGTACATCAAAGTTTAGTTTCATTAGGACGAAGGAAATGACGTGGCTTTCGAAACAATGTTATTGGTCGTAGATTTACACGAGACGAAAGTGGAGTACGTTATTTTCCATCCAACAGTGGCAGAAAACAAGGTAAACTAGGAAGGATTAAAGTTCTAGTATATGCTTAACGCGCTGTATGGGCAAAGGGAAAAAACAGTGGGCCTCCGATTACATTGGAAGAGAGGCAAGAGTTCCCTAAGGCTGAATTATTCCTCTTGAGCCAGTCCATTCAGTTGAGATAACTGAGATTCCATGATAAAGACCCGATGTCTATGTTGTCGTTGGTAAAAGACATAAAAAAGTTTAAATTATACTCAATAAGCGGTATGTGTTAACTGCTTTCAAATGAGTATGTATGCAAAGTTCGACTTAACATCTTACGAATCTATCAGCACTTTAAAACCATTCTCTTTTCGCAAGCCGGTTAATAAAGGATGCACGTTATAAATATCCATAACATAAACTCGCGTATCTATCGTAAAACTGTTAACGTACTACTTTATTAACGAGCATTCTGAAGTTCTGAATGTTTAATTTATAAATTTGCATCAGTTCTGTAGCAGATCCGTCTTCGAATCTATCAGTCTAGATCCCAGAGGATTGCGTATCATGCAAATTGCTGTCATGATGTAGATTTGGCGCTGGTCCAGGGCCCGGTGGCTATGGTTAACCAAGTCGAACAGTTGGCTGTGGCCCAATGTCTGCGTTCAATCGATAAGTGTTCAACCGGCTCCGTTTCTGAATGCAGCAATTTACTCGATGCGACTTTTGCATTTCTTTTGCTGCCATTATATTAAGTGGTGTCAATGTTGTTTTTTGACGAAATTAGCTTTAAAGACAAAACGAACAAGCCCCATGTATAAATTTATTGCACATTGTTAGCAAAATAATTCGTGAATCGTACAAATTTTATTACGTTTCTGTTCAAGAATTACCAAGAAAAGGTAATTTTGGTTAAGCCTTTAATAATAGATCGAGTTGTTTACGCGTACTTAAATATTGTTTTAAAGTTTTACGAATTCGAGATAAATGGGTACAGACTGTTATCAGATATATTATTATTGTTGTTCCATGTGATATGTGCTTTAAGTCAAATTGATTGTAAAGTAATCGTTTAATTGAAAAAGTCGGATGTTATAATACATATAAATATTTTGATAAATGTTGTTATTTAATCGTTTTTTTTTTTCTTGTTTTTGTTTATATTTAGCTGTAAGTCATGGTATGTTAGTGTATGGGCGCTTGCTTTTAATTCAATACGCTTGATCAACCCCACTTCAAATCACGGTGCATCCACGGCACCAATGAAATTTTTAAATGCAATTTTATGTGCTGAATTATCATGTGCCCAGAGATGAAGGAAAACATCGAGAGAAAATCTGCATATTTTCGAAATAATAAAACATATATTTCGAAGATATGTGAAGTCTGCATGGTGGTATGCCCTAACCAGTGGATGCCTTGTCCCAGCACTGGGTGCTATACAGGCTGTCAATACATTATTACTTTACAAAAACTATGTCATTCGAATTTACTCTGACGTCCATTTTTTGGTTTCTTCCAGCCCAATTCGTCAAGACCACAAAAGGTGCAAACCTACTTCTGTATGACGGTTACACGTATAGCAAGAACGGTAGCGTCCGCAACGGTGGCATCAGGTACGCATGCTCGAATATGCTGTCGAAGAAATGCAAGGCCTTCATCCATTTGTCCAAGGACAACGAGGTAATGAAAGCGACGACGGTCCACAGCCACGAACCGCCTCAGTATCTCGTCACAATAGACGGATATTATGTCAAGCGGCCAGGCAGTTACTGTCAACTATAAAACGAACACGCATAAAAAAGTATCGGGCGTAATTTTTCATCTAACTTATTGTGACATTATTATTTCTCAACGCTAATACGTTATTGAGTTTACAAATAAGGTGGTGATAAAAGGCTTAGCGAATATATTTGTAAATTATTATAATACTTTTCAGAGTCAATGTAATGAGATTGTTGTTTTATTTTCTAACGTCCGGAAAACCTCTGAAAAGTTCATTTCATATATTTTTTATCTAAAAAATCTATTTTATCACTCGAAAATTTGAAATTGTAGAGTTTTAAAATGGACACGAAATGTCACAAAGACGGTTAGAAAACAAAAACAGTTGAACTCTTTGTAAAAAATTGGCGGCTTATAAAGAGAAATATAAAAAGTTTTTAATTAAGAGCTTTGGATGTTAAGAAAAAGCAGGGAAACGACTAGTACAACTAGTGTTGTCTACAGTATGGTAGGAAGAGATATCATCTGTATTTCGTAACAGCAAATGAAACAAAATTTCATACGAAAGCCACCAATCCAATCGCATCGAACCATTCTGATGATGATTCAAGATCAATCATATCAATCATGTCTGTTCAATGTTTCAATTTAAAGGTTTCAAAATGTCGAGCGTAAATGAATATAATTAAATTACATAACTTCATAAAACATTTTCACTTCCAAGACTGAATAAGTAAATATGCGAGAACTTCTCTAAAATAATAAATTTAAAAAAAAAAAAGTAAACCGACTATGAGCGATGCAAAAGAATTTGCCTACTAAGTAAAATTGAACGTGTGTAAAATATGTTTGAAAAGGGATGTCTAGTAATTTAATTCGATGAGAGCAATCAGTAGTGTTTTATTTAAATGAAGTTTGTTTTCTATACGGTACATAAATCAAACATCTTTAGTGTAAATAAAAAACAAAAATCATCGTGTTTGGAGCGGTGCCAGAAGCCTCATCTTGTTGAAGAATGAAAGGCACTTTCATATTTTACACTTGAAATGGATGATAGTAGATTCTTTTTCAAGATGTTTTGGTATTTTACTGCACAAACATTCCCTTCTACAAACTGCAAGTGGCACGCACCTTGTGCTTACATGTAACCGCATATTATTACCAACCCAAGAAACTTCACGTTTCTTTACGGGACTTACTTTAAATACTTCACTTTTATCTTTGAATGTTATTTTTCCGTTTATAGCCACCACTTCAAATTTAGATGGCTCCTTACTATTTGATGCAGGTTTCAGTTCAAGTGTTTTGTATTTCTGCAACGACATTAGTAAAGATTTCTCTTTGGCCATGTAAAATCCATAATCCTTTTCAAAACTGTTTTATCAGGTACAGACCAAAACGTCTGTCTGAATCATATCACATCGATGCATATATATCACGCTATTTGACAGTAATTTACCCCGCAAGGGCATGACGATTTCTTATAAACGACGAAAAAGTGCAGAGATTAGCACTATTAAAAATTTTAAAAAAAATTAAACGTCGATTTTCATTAAAACTTTGGATGATCTCTTTTACATCGGAGCTCTTACAGAGACTAACAAAAAGCTTTGTATTGCTTTATCACGTTAAGAATTTACACAAAGTACTACCAAATTAATTTAAAATTCTCATTTGTGGTAGTTACAAAAATTCTACCATATTGAGTAATAAACAAAAGCGAAGAATGACCAAACCGCTTGTAACCTTTAACCGAACGAAGGACGATATCTAGCTAAATATACCAAACATTTATGGTATCGTGTCAGTACGGACAATGAGAACGAAAACAAATCATGGTAAAGGAATATTTAAGCTATTTATTTTAGACTTAAATTATATTTAATTTTAGACCATTCATAATTGACATAGAAACTGTATTGAGTCTATGTATTCACTAGATATTATTTTAGGTTTTTATTAGGAGTAAATAGTAAAGAACGTCTATAGTCGGTTGTCGGATAATTTGCATACTTCTAAAAGCTACGAGTATATTTTGTGAATTATTAAAAAAAAATCTTAAGTGTTGTAGATTATGATGACGCCGTTCATTAGATTGCTGTGCATTTACTGCACATTGCTGTACCTTTTTACATAAATGTTTAGTTTTTTTATTTTTTTATTTTAAGGAATCGCGTTTTTATTACCTGTCTCTCTATATACTTTTCTATTTATCTTTGTACATATATTATTTTAATGGGATATGTCGATTCTTTTTATACCTATATTGAGAAATCGGAACTTTACATGTATTTGAATGCATAATTATTGTGTTCAGAATCTTCACATCCTTCTCACAATAATTTTGCATTAAAATCATACATTGGTCTGAATGTATTACATTTTATATGAAATAAATAAGATACTTAAAAATCAATAACGAAATTTCATTTATTCCTTTCTCGACAAAACATGTTAATATAGTAAGAAGAATAATGTAGTACTTGTCGATTTTCATGTTTTACGCCATTGGGTGTTAAGAAATTCAAACTTCGCCTTTAAGAATATTTTCGTATCAACTTTAATTATCAGATATAAAGTTGGTAAAAAACTAAGCTGAAATGACTATCGGCTCCCAAATCTACGTTGTGTTGAGTAATTAAGGCGTGGAAAATCCGATATTTCAGCGATCCAGTTCATTCATTTGTTCAACGGCAGAAAGCTGCTGATGGTGGACGGTTTCACTTTCCACAAGATCGCCGGGGTGAGTTATACCGGCGGCATCAGATGGCAGTGCTCATCGAGGAAGCTGAAGAGATGCAAGGCCTTCGTGGTCCTCTCGAAGAGTGAAGACGTCGTCCTCAGAGTAGTCGGTTTCCACACGCACGAACCACCCATTTATAAGTTAACCAAACAGGGCACGTATATTAAGGTGTAATTTCTGTAAGTTCACGTACATGGCAGTAACTTATTGTTTATGGACTCTATTTATTACTTTCATTGGCCCCCGACTTTGTTTTATATAGACGGTTGTCTTTGGTACATTAAAGATATCTTCTCACATCAATAAAAAAATGATTAAATCTTTGTATCCTTACTAATGTTATAAAGGCGAAACTTTGTATGTATGTATGGATGTTTGTTACTCTTTCATGCAAATACTACTGAATGGATTATAATGAAACTACAATAAGATAGTTTATACATCAGAATAACACATAGGCTATAATTTATATACATATTTTGTATTTAAATCTGTCTTTCTGTCTGAATGTTACGTTACCTTCAGCCTATTCTACTCAGACCTAGCCGCAGGCAGCAGCTAGTAGTTAAATAAAATCATCTTTTATCGCGTTTTATTTTGATTTTAAATTACCGACGTTTTGATCACTACATCGTTGTTTGTGACGGGCCACACCGTTAAAAATACGTAAAATATTCTTAATCCACGTGTCGTATTTACACAAGACAAATTTAAGATTATATTCAAGGTTATTTGTATATTATTGGATTGTGGAATTTTTGTACGTAATAAATGTATTTGTACTACTATGCTATTATAATAGTCGAAGTCAAAGAAGTCGATCCTTCTTCGCCTTGCAGAATCTTTTCGGTTCAGGCTATAACATGTCCAAATTTAACTAATTAGATATAATTATCAGTAAAAACCTTCTATGAAATGTCTATCGGCTCCAATATCTATGTAGTTTTGTGTAATTAAGGCGTGGTAAATTCAACGTTTCAGCGATCCACTTCATTCGTTTGTTCAACGGCAGAAAGCTTCTGATGGTGGACGGTTTCACTTTCCACAAGGTCGCCGGTGTAAGTTATAGCGGCGGCATCAGATGGCGGTGCTCATCGAGGAAGCTAAAGGGATGCAAGGCTTTCGTGGTCCTCTCGAAGGGTGAAGACGTCGTCCTCCGACTGGTGGGCTACCACACGCACGAACCGCCCATTTATAAGTTAACCAACCAGGGCACGTATATTAAGGTGTAATTTCTGTATGTTCATGGCAGTAAATTATTGTTTATGGCTTCTATTTATTACTTTCATTGAACTCTTAAGACTAAGCCCAAAATGGTCGGTTGTCTTTGATAAATTTTAATTCCCGACGTTTCGAACACTTTACATCGTTCATTGTCATGGGAAAGACCATAAAAAAATGTAACTGTATTTAACACTTTTGTATGGCGATCGTCCTGTTGTAAATAATGTTGTACAAATAGAGGTGAAAACTGTGTGTGTGAGCTATATATTTCAATATATTTAATGTACGAGGACTTGAGATGCGAGTGGATTTGTGGTTGTTTCAAAAGACCTCTGCTCATTGCCATTTCAGAAAAGCCGCGCCTTATCACTCTAGCGATGTCCGGTAAGGTGTTGCTGATGGTGGACGGCTACACGTTCCACAAGGGTAGAGGCGATTGGACATCTGGCGGTATACGGTGGCGCTGCTCCTCAGTAAAGAAGAAATGTACCGCTTACATTGTCCTATCCGAGGACGACAAGGACGTCCTTAAAATGCGTCTCAATCATAATAACCACGAGCGACCCAACTACAAGGAAACGAAAGATGGCACTTACGTCAAACTATAGACTGCTATATAAGAAAATGTGAAACAGCCATTAGCCTTGAGTGACACCTACGTCCAAACAAAAAAATAAAATTCAAATTTTAATGACGTAGATATAAGTGGAAACTTGGTTATTAATGAACGTTACAGAATGGTTGTGGAAATGAAGTATATAGCGGTTATCACGCAGCTGTAAGCGAGAGACAATCCAGAACATACTATGTGAAACAATTTCGTTGACAATTAAAATTTTAAGCAGACAACAAACATTTTTTTGCATTATTTTATTCAAGTTAAATTAAGTTTAATTAGTACAGTTACTATTATCACATAAGATACTTTAATTCAAAGTTTAATTTCATAAACCGACTTTCTGAGCGCCTTTTTAAACTTTATTTCCACCTATTTACCCATAGGCGTTTTTTTTTTAAATTTTGAGATTTGATAGTCAGCAATAATTACGTTAGTAAGGTGAGGTTTCTGCTTTTACTGACTTTTTTGGATTTTACTTATCTTTTTCTTCTTAGCCTTTATTCTGAAATATGTTGTCTGTGATAGAACCTTGTTGCGGTTTCCGCTTATCAAAAGTGAAACGGTTCACCGGGCGAAGTACTACTGTCGTGGGTGGCTTAATGTAAATGTATGAGGATCTCTTTGTCTCTCATTTGCACGCACACTTGAAACTCCGTTTTGTGGGTTTCCATAAGCAGTTGACTTAAGTGAACCGCTTATCATTTTATTTCCTGCTCGTAAAATTATTCAGTTATCCCCAATTTCAGCCTCCTTTACTTCCATATACAAAGCACCCTCTCTCATAATTTTCGTGCTTTTTCAGTCGGTGACCAGATATTTGTAGAACAGATTGTAGGAGGCATATTCGAAACGCGATTCGGCAAAAAAATTTTGTTGTACAAGGACCACGTGTACTTTGAAGACATAAGTGTGTCGAGCAAAACAGATGGCGCAGTAACTTTGTGGAGATGTTCTAAGCGAAACAACCCGCAGCTGTCATGCAAAGCATACATTAGGTTAAAGGAGTACAGTCATATAATGGACATGATGCCAAACCACAACCACCCGGCGATGGACGACCATTTAAAGAAGGCTCTGCTACCCAAATTGCGTTGACCGTGACGTGGCCATATTAATGAGTTAAAAGTAAAGTGATATCTCTTTATATACGCAGTGTATATCGTAGTATTTATAAATGAGCTATTGTGTGTTTTACCGAAACCTGTGATTTGTCTAAAACGGTAAATAGAGATTTATTACACAAATTTCATTAATCGTATGCTTTACATCTCTTGACCATTAATTAATCTATTTCGATCGGGTGTGACTGCCAGACGTGTAACAAAATACGGTATTTTGATTTCATTTTACGTTTGTCTTTTCGAAAGTCTTCACATATTTATGGTAGCTTCAGTTAATCAAGGAGATGATTATATTATATCTTAAATGGAAATTGCGAACGCGACCTATATACTCGTATATGCTGCAAAACGTATGTTGCCTAATTAAAAGCTGTCGTTTGATGTAAAAAGGGTTTGTGTTGAACATCGTTTTTACGTTCAAACCTGTTGTGTTTTGAAATTTGGAAATAGAAGGAATCTGTCACAAAAATTTTAAATTAATTTTAATTTTTAACTCTAAAGATATTTTTTTTAGTTTTTAATTTTAGTCTCGCTGCACTTAAGATGAAACTTGAAATACGACAGTTTTATATACACATTTTAAGCTTTTTATTGTTATTTAGAAATATTTTGGTTTAAATTGTAAATACCGCAAATATTGAGTGGACTGGATTACTTGTGATCATCTTCATCCAATTTATTCAATATTTACTCCTTTTTTTTACTTTGTCTAAAACGAATAGTTTTTGTTTCTAAATTTTGTTTCATTTACTATATCAATTACGTTATATTTTAAAGTTTTTATGCAATGTAGTTATATTTTTAAAGTCGTTAACAAACACGGAAACTTTTGTTTAATGTAGTAAAAGTTATGTTTGTATGTTTTAATAATTTCATTTTTATTTAGTCGCTCTTTTTTCAAAAAAAAACCGTTATACGATTTTCTACCTTAAGTAGCCTTTTAAGAACAGTTTTTTTTTTATATAACGAGATCAGTACATTATATTTAGATCAGATAACACGTCAAAACGTGAAATAAGCATCGACTTTCCGAATGATACAGTTCTTTGTTTTATTTGTAGTGCAAATGATAACCTTGCAAAAGAACGGCAAGCAGTATCTGATGCAGGACGGATTCACTTTCTACCGGCACAAGTCCGTGAAAGGGGGTTTCAGATGGAGCTGCACTCACTCCTCCCGGTGTCGGGCGCACCTCATAGTCGCCGACGGCTGGCGTCTGGTCAGATCGGTCGATCTCCACAACCACGAAAGGCCCAAATACATGGCGCTGGCCGACGGAACTTACATTAAAGTCTGATAGTTAACGGATTTATATATTCAACAGGGTTTCAGGGTAGCACACACAGATGTGCTGTAATATATGTGTATAAAAAAATCATAGCATTGTTGGTATTTATCCCTTAGAATGTCTCTAAAGGTTACACAATATAGTGTACTTATCGTAAGTTATATTTTTCTTATTTGTATCGGATTGTAATTCCAAAATTACGTTACATCAATATTTTATTTGATAAAAGTTTTAAGTTTTCCATGTTCGTTTTCTCTTTTCGAAAGTGTACATAAAAGCCCTCAACACACCATGACACGTAGACATGTAGTATGTAGACTGCTGCTTAATACTTGTAAAGCCTCCAATGGTCTGCCTCGGTGTTTCAGTGGAAATCATCACTATGACGAGCGGCAAAACCTGCGTCCTCTGCGACGGTTTCACATTCTTCCATAGGTACGACGTGAAGAACAGGGGGGAGAAGTGGTGCTGCACCAAGTTCCCGAAGTGCAAGGCGCATCTGTTCATCAGGGACAAAATGGTACGGGAGAGCTCGCTCGACCACACCCACATGAAGAGCGACATGTACAAGTGCTCCGATGGCAGGTACATATCGTTTAAAGGCAGGTACAAATAAGATTAATAAACCCTCGACAGTTAATAAAATTTACGACGGACACTCAGTGGGGGAAAATCAACAATTGTCCATTGTTACTATATTATTGTTAATGTTGAATTACTTAAGTAAAATTAGATATAATACAGAACCAATTAAATGTAATCGGTATGATATTTTTGATGTATTAAATAACTTATATCGGTATCCGGTATTTCATTTCTTTTATTAATATTTTCATAAACCCATCAATGTTTGTGTCAATTGTTTAAGTTGTATTCTGGAGCCGTTGCAACCCACACACTTATTCCCACGCACCCACGAATTTATTTGTTTTTAAAGGTACTACCTAAGATCATTCGGACTGTGACCAAAAATAATTTTAAATTATGAAAACTAGATTAATCCGCATACAACCTGCTTAACTTATTGTTACACTACTCTTCCATACGGTCGGTAATATTATTTTGTTTTTAATTTTTATTACGTTGGGTATAATAATAGCCGGTGTTAATTTAATAAGTATTTATAAACTTATACACAAGAAAGTACTTATACTCATATGATATTCGAGATAAGTAGTTCACGTCGAGTTTATGAGATAACGTCTGCTCGTTTGGCAACTTTTCACATAAAAAAAGTAAGATGCTTCGAGCTTATTTTCAGATGTTTCCATTACATGAAGACATGTCTATATAATGTTTATCTAATGATTAATCACAATAAATCAACTTTACAGTGCAAATGATAACAATGGAGAACGGAAAGAATTATCTTTTGTTCGACGGTTTCACTTTCTTCTATCGATACCAATTGAAGATGGGCCACAAACGGGTCTGCACCAACTATCCCAGGTGCAAGGCCTATCTTTGCGTGGACGATCACTTCGCCCTTAACGACGGCGTAACCGAGCACAACGGTCACACGAAAAGGCGACTGATCCTTCGCCCGAGCGGTAAATACGCCAAAGTTAGAGACGTGGCAGGAACGCAATTTGTGTAGAGTTCACGCTTGGTCGTCATTTGATTGAGAGTTAGTTTTGTGATTGGAACTTTCAATTGCAATGTCACAATCGGATCTCTCGCGCTTCAATCGCAACAGTAGATACGCTATATGATTCTATACAGCTTATAAAGCTGCAAACAGGTCATCTGTGAACCGGTCTTCGTAAACTAAGCCCAGTGAATTCAGTCTAACAATGATTGGTGCACAAGGGAATATTTGAAAAAGGTTCACCGGGATTATCAATCGAAATATGAAGTCTATTTCCACGTCTCAGCTAATTCTACAGTCTGTCGATGTAACAACTTCAATTAAAAGTAAATAACACGCCATGAATATGTAAGTTGAAACTAAAATTGATTTCTGTCTTTACAAGTACTACTAGTCACCGTTGATAACTTATAATTCTATGTTTAAATTTGTTTTAGAAATCAATGGGCAGGGTGTCACAATATTGTTTTGGTTCCATAAAAAAATACAATTAATATTCTCTTGTTTCATTCGTATAATTGTAATCTAAATTGCAACAGAAAAGATAGAGAATTTTACGATAGAAGAAGAAGGTTATTACGAAATTTAAAATTAAAAAATAATTGAACAAATTCAGTTTTTTAATTAAGTAGGACTTACTTTTGATTTGTTCGTCATAGTCTTAGTCATTAAGCTGGCATTTGAGTAATATTTTGTTCATTGTTATTCTTTATATTTAAAAACTGGCTATACATATAAAACTTTATCAATAAGCAGAATGTTAGGTACGATGCACAAAATGTTATTAGAATCACAAAACAAAGAAATGGTAAGCAAGGTAATTTTTGTTTTAACATTGTTTTTATTTATTATTTAATGGTATGTTATGTAAACATTAAAAACTGTATCCGTTATAATTAACTTCTACCTTTCATAACAATCCTTGACACTTCTTAGTACTTACACAGACTTGAATCTTATAAAAATGCAGTACTCGGCGATAAATAGTGCATATCGATCTTTGGAAAAATGTGTCGTTTGTAAATCGTTGTGGCAGTGGACGACGGAGAACACTCTACGAAAACGAAACTAGCCGACAAAAGTCGATGTGCAATATTTATCGCCGACACGCTACGGGAGTACTCAATAATTTTGTCTGACTATTTACTTCCCCAGCCCAACTTATAACAATGCTGAATGGGAAGAGCGTCGTCTTGCACAACGGCTACACCTTCTACAAGCGCTACAGGATGAAGCTCTACGGGAAGTGGAGCTGCACCAGTTTCCCCAATTGCAAGGCGCAACTGAACATCGACGACAACATGATCATCCGCGGGGGCGACGTGACGCACAACCACCCGCCCAGGAAGCTCGTCCTCACTCACAGCGGCAGATACATAAGGATTTGAATGCGTAGAATCGAGCGGAGTGGTCATTTACAAACAATGACCACTCCGATTAATACGAACACACCGAGCAGAAGACTGAAATGGACAAAGCTTCCCAAAGACTTTCGGAGCAGTCGACACTCAGCTATATTGTGATCGATAAATCTTGCGTTGGAAATATATAGGTTTTCCTAATCTTTCGTAATGCGTACTCCTGTGAAATTGAAAATTCCTAGGCGGATTAAGAAAACTTTAAAAAATTGTATTTTTTTTAAAAAAGTATGCCTTATTTAAGAAAAATTCTTTATTACAAGAAAAAGGCTCTCTCTGCCTTTCTGTATTCCATAGGTTGTAGTTTTTTGTGGGCACCGATTTTCACAGCACCGCAACAACTATGCTATTGTATTTATTCAAAATAATGTCATGGTTGTCGTCAATCGTCCCGTTTTTTTTAAATAAATGTCAACTTTTTTAATAAATCTTGGGAATATCCAAATGTTTTAATTATATTTTTAAACTTTGTAAATACAGACCATGTAACGTGTTTTATATTTGATTGTTACACACACACAGTTCACAGTTCGCTTCATAAAGATGAGTTGCGGTAAGACTCGCATGCTCTACAAGAAATATACTTATTACAAGTACTATTCGACGAAGACCTACGACCGTTGGATCTGCACTTTGTACCCCAAATGCAAGTCTTCCTTGAAGATACACGAAAACCAGGAGATATTGTTGAGCAATCTCGACCACAAGCACATGCCTACAGATTTGTACAAGCTATCTAACGGCACCTTCTTGAAAGTCTCGGATAGAAGATAGAACAGTGGATGCAAAAGTTAACTGTGGTAGGGCCACGCAGCAGTATACGCCGTTGCATGAATGGGCAGGTCTGTCCGGGGAAGTACCACGACCTTACAGTAGACCGGCGTAAAGTGGAAGTGTTATACTTCTGCATTTGGTCTGGTATTTTTTTGAATGTTTGCAACGCTCTTGAGATGAGTGAGGTAGCCAGGGCCCATCTTATTAAAAGGCGGCTACGCACCTGCAACTTCTGCCTGCAACGCTATGAAAACTTTCCCCGTCTCGGCACCCATCATAACCTATAAATTTTTCAATAGCAAACTTTGCTTATCTGTTGGCAACATTCCTATCCAGCTTTTTTTTAATGAAAAAAAAAAAAGCTGTATAGGAATAAGTGCCATAATCCAGTAGCCAGATAAGACGTCAAACCTCAATCGCGATCGATCACCACTCAACGTTAGAAGATTTCGAAATGTCCTATCTTTTTTTATGTGAGATAATGACAAACGATCTGGCGGTTCGCCTGATGGTAAGTGATAACCGCTGTCTATTGAAATTTGCAACACCTGGCTAGCTCACTCACCAGACGAAAGACAGAAGCAGAACACTTCCAATTTACGTCGGTCTTGAGTAAGCTTCTAGTACATCCCCAGACGGACCTGCCACACCGTGTCGCAGCAAACGTTTGCATATTGTGTTGGAACATCTATTTACAGGAACATTGAAAAAGGACTTTTATGTTAATGTGCTCTTATAATATGTGGTTTCGCATTTGATTTTAGCTTTTGTGACCGATGTTTTGATGACTTTGACTGCTGCCCTTACTGTGACCTTGAAATTTGGTTTAAAAATAAACGACGACGTTACCTTTAATATTAATTTTTAAGGAAATCATTAAATATAGCAGACAGAAGAACACTGTAAAATGTTGAATTATAATGCAATGTACAAATATACATTACGCACGTAAAGCTGAATTTACACACTTGATGTTTGTTCCTATATCTTTTTAGTATCTTGTCAGTCTAGCTAAATTTAATTTAATTTTAATAAAGTTTAATATTTTTTAACGAAAACTGATAAGTATTTCTCTATTAACTTGTTCACCGAATCTATCACATTAGATATTGCACTATAGAATGCCCAGTTCTTAAATGGTGGCAATAACTTCAATGACGTATTAATGACCTATCAGAATCTGTGACATTTGGAAATTTTATAATATGTAACGTTATAAATAGCTATCTATAAAGACGATACTTATGAGATATTGTTTAAACCAAAAGTTATAAATGATTAATGCTTGCTTTTCTTCGGTTAAAAAAAGAACTAGCTGACCCCGCTGCTTACTAATTCATTTATGATAATTTAAAAAAAATATACCAACAATGATGATGAATAAATGTTTGAAAATAAATATCGTGCGTATAAAACAATTTCATTTAAATAAACAATAAAGTAAATTAAATTTGAGAGAACTTCGTAAAATTATTTTTCCCTTGGCACGATCACGATTCAATAGAAGTTCTATCCCTCAAGTATCTACGAAATACGTTCAAGCACTCGATCCCTTTTTTCTAAAAGAAGACGAAGCAAAGCGCTTTGCGTCGAAGTATAACGACAACAAAAGAACGAGAGTGCATTGAACTTACGTGAAAGATTTCGAAGATATAAGAAGTTCGCCAATCCGCAGTGGGGCCGCGTGGTAGACAATTCCCTAACACCCGTGTTACTGTACAGAGGTGGCCTTCTCGCAGCTGTGGGACGTATGTACTTTACTTTAACCTTGTATGTAGCTGACGTCACGTGTTATTTTAAAGAAAACTAACGACCGGTCTCCCTTCTGATAGCAGGGTGTTCAAACCACAACTCTATTTACCTACATTTTGCAACGTTTTCAGGCAAGCTGATACAATTCCGCGACGGCAAACCGAAGCTGTTGTACAAAGATTACCTGTACTTCAAACATTATAAGGCCCGCTCTCTGGTCCGATGGACTTGTACCAGCTCGTCGACATGCAAGGCCTGTCTCTATGTGAACGAGGAGTTTGTCGTTCAGCAAGTGGTCAGGGAGCACAACCACCCGCCACGCAAGCTGCATTGCGCCCCCGATGGCACGTACTTCAAGGTTTAGCCCTCTTCACGGATCGGATCATTGAAGACGAAATGGGACAGCAATGACGTTGCTTTAGATATTAATTTTGTTGAATTTGTTAGTAATAAGTAGCTATACAAAATTGTCAAAGTGTGGCACTAGCTCGAAAGCAATTAAGTCTTGTAATGTCAATTTGTCAAAGCCTTAATACCTATATTACAAATTTAAATTGTTAATAGTGCTAATCTTACAGGTAAATTAAGAAGCGCTCTAGGAAAAACAGAACTATTACAGATTTTAGTACAATATATGCTTCGCATAATCCTCCTCAAGTGCTGATTTCATTGTTATTTTACTGAACATAAAGTACATTTAAAAGATAACAGTGAACAACTGTCGCTAAATATATGGCGTTTAAATGTTTCTTTTGAATTATCGTGTCTATAAATTACCTTGAAAAAGGAAATATGTAATAGTGTGCCAATTTCATTTCATTATCCTATTCCTTGCATAATGGTAACGTTGATTTATGTAATTTTGTACGTATATTAAATCTGACCTAGTGATATAAAATTGAGAAAAAATATACATATAAATACTCGATTTGGGCACTTTTTTATTTCTTAAAAAGAACTAATTATTTTCAGGCGTGTTATTGAATGATAAGCAGAATTTTGTAGTAAAAAATATGCACGAAAAGTAATTGATAAATCGGCCATTTATACGACACGCTCTGAATTCAAAATTCACTTCAAAAAATTTTCAAACGTGTTATTTTAAAGAAAACCACCGACCGGTCTCCCTTCTGATAGCAGGGTGTTCAAACCACAACTCTATTTACCTACATTTTGCAACGTTTTCAGGCAAGCTGATACAATTCTGCGACGGCAAACCGAAGCTGTTGTACAAAGATTACCTGTACTTCAAACATTATAAGGCCCGCTCTCTGTTCCGATGGACTTGTACCAGCTGGGCGAAATGCAAGGCCTATCTCTACGTGAACGAGGAGTTTGTCATTCAGCAAGTGTTCAGGAAGCACAACCACCCGCCACGCAAGCTGCATTGCGCCCCCGATGGCACGTACTTCAAGGTTTAGCCCTCTTCACGGATCGGATCATTGAAGACGAAATGGGACAGCAATGACGTTGCTTTAGATATTAATTTTGTTGAATTTGTTAGTAATAAGTAGCTATACGAAATTGTCACAGTGTGGTACCAGCTCGAAAGCAATTGTAAGTCTTGTAATGTCAATTTGTCAAAGCCTTAATACCTATATTACAAATTTAAATTGTTAATAGTGCTAATCTTACAGGTAAATTAAGAAGCGCCCTAGGAAAAACAGAACTATTACAGATTTTAGTACAATATATGCTTCGCATAATCCTCCTCAAGTGCTGATTTCATTGTTATTTTACTGAACAGAAAGTACATTTAAAAGATAACAGTGAACAACTGTCGCTAAATATATGGCGTATAAATGTTTCTTTTGAATTATCGTGTCTATAAATTATCTTGAAAAAGGAAATATGTAATAGTGTGCCAATTTGATTTCAATATCCTCTTCCTTGCATAATGGAACGTTGATGTATGTAATTTTGTACGTATAACATATTAAACCTGACGTAGTTTAAAATGGTATTAAACATGATATAAAATTAGAAAAAATATACATATAAATACCTGATTTGGGCACATTTTTATTTCTTAATAAGAACTAATTATTTTCAGGCGTGTTATTGAATGATAAGCTGAATGTTGTAGTAAAAAATATGTACGAAAAGTAATTGATGAATCGGCCATTTATACGACACGCTCTGAATTCAAAATTCACCTCAAAAAGTTTTCAAACAAATGTAGTAACTTTTTTACTTTACTTTTAAATGTAGTAAGTACCAAAAAAAATGGTACATTGATTAAAACCTAAATCACGTTTCAGTTCATTTAATACGGACCCCTGCAGGAAGAGAGCTCATTAGATACAGGGGATATTACTACGCGAGGAATCCATATTCGAAGAGGAGGTGGCGCTGCATTCACACTAATTTCTGTTACGCGTCTATGCTGGTTAATCCGAACATGACCCTTGTCAAGGAGCCCGGTACTCACGTGCACCCTCCAAAGACACCTTGCTTCGTAAACAGTCACACGTCCCATCTCCACGGTGGTATCATTGGCCAACAACTCTCTACTGATTATAAAGTGCAGAGCCTCAAAATATCTCCATTGGCGAATTCGCTTCGCTTCGTTAAATTTTCTGACTTGAAGAGGTGAATAATATTTGTAATCTCGTGCCTTCGATTCATATTTGGGCTTCGTAAATATGATCATGTTTGCAATTTTCTTACATAGTTCAAGTGGCTGCCAATCCGCCTTCGCAGGAATACCCATATTCTCTCTGCTTTGTACAGCGTGCTGTTTAATCCCTCTACTCCTAAATACTTAAAAGATCGATTCGAGTATCTTTCCGTCTCCCATGAAAGGTTCCTTCGTTCTTCTGTCAATCTCTCCCTCAAACTACTGTACATTCATTTTATTTCTTCTATGTTTATCATGCGTTCTTCATTCAAATATCCTTTTACACGCGGATGATATGAAAATAATGAAGGCGGTGCGTTGCCATGAAGATGCAGTACTTTAGCTATTTTATTACTGCAGATCAAATAGACTATTTCTGAATGTGTCCAAATCTAACATGCTCATTTACACGGAAATCTAATTTCTTTAACTTTGCTTACACACTCTTAGGCAATACTATTACAAGGATAAACTCAATTAGGGATCTGGGAGGATTTGATTCAAACATCAATCTTCATCTTTTGTTTGATGCACACATCAATAACATAGCGAATAAAACCTCCAAAGCGTTAGGCTTTATAATAAGAATCTCATTTATAATAAGATATTAAAACCATCAAAACCATGAACATATTGTACTCCTCGTTAGTTCGTAGTAACTTAGAATATGCCTCACAAATCTGGAACCCAAACTACAATATCTACATAACCCGTTTGGAGAGAATACAAAGGAAATTCATGAGGTACATTCAATATCGCTCACAATGTTACCAGCCAACTTATTTAGAATGCTGTAAGAAGTATCATATACTCTCTTTACATGAAAGAAGAAAAATCGTGGATCTGGTTTTTCTATTTCATATTATAAATGGTTCGACTAACATTCCCGAACTGGGAAACAAAATAAGATTACGCGTACCTTCTGCACACTTGCCCTGATACCGTCTTTTACACTTCCCTAAAACAACGAGAACCACATACAGAAAGAACTCAGACATCCGTTGAAATGGATATTTTCAACACAACTTTTGCTATTATCAAAAAAAGGCATGTGCGATAATGTCTTTAACATCATTGTTATTTCATTTAAATAATTTATTAATTATATACAATTACTAAGTTTAGCATTTTTCTGATTGTTAATTTAACACTTCTCTCCTGAAATTATAATTACCAAATTTTAAAATTGTAAAAACTTTTTATTGGCCTTAATTTTGCTACAGCAAATCAAGCTATGAATTTTTCAAAAATATATAAAATTAAATAAATAAATATATGTATAAATGCCTCCGTCCTGTGTTTATTAGTGTTTCATGTACACCTCCGTCTCTTTAGCAAAAATTCTTTTCGACACGGTTGCCTGGAAGAAATCGCTTTCAGAGCGACAAGCCTATTGTACTTCCTTTTACATTCATTTGCAGTTTTCACTTTGTGATTTTAGTGTACAACAAAGTATAAATAAATGTATGATTTACAGACGCGTTTTTATTCGAACTCCGTTTAGATAAGGCCGTCGGTTTTCAGAGAGTTTGTTATATGGATAATTCTACGGTAAGAAGTAACTTGTGCGGCAATCAGTTTAATATATAAAATTGCATATGTTGTTATTTTTTTTTGCTTCATTGCAATCACCTAAATGTACTTTATTTAATAACGTCACGATTAAATGCCTCATTAAAGTATATTTTCCTGAAATTCCTTATAAAGTGTAAAAAAAGTCTAACGTGGCCTGTCCGCTTGTCGTATTCAGTTTAATTTGCAAACGATTCATCCTTCTTCATATCAGTTAATAAACTAAAGTATGTTAAACACAAATTTCAATAAATATATTTCAGTATTGTTAAGGAAATATAGAACAATATTTTTTAAACTTTACTTTTGTCCCACTATTTTTGGGTATCTACACTGGCAAATTCCAATCCACTATTACAAACAAAAATATAAAACGACCATATTCCAAATAGCGCTCAAGGTCATCTATCGACGTGAATGCAAAACACGTGAGCCGTTAAGAGCACCGTCATTTATAAGTTGTTGCGACGCGTTGCTTCAAAGTGGTGGTTTCGTCATTGTGTCTCTCCACTGGTAAGTTATAAAAGTTATATTATTCATATAATTTATTTCCATTTACGGGTCTAATTTAATAATAATGCAATAGTTAAAGTGTGATCCATAATGTACGGAAACATTTCTTATGTCAATTGAAACAATAAAATTTATCATGAAAACGCCTCTTCCCTGTCATATTTCCCTGGCAAAATAACTGTCAAGGGGAGAGACTGTTGACCAGGGGAGATAATGTTAGTGCAAACATACTTAGATATAGCATATTTTAGTTTTGAATAATTTTAATTAATTCTTAAAACTGAAAAATAAAGGTAGTTCTCAGTTCATATTATTATTATATTATTGTATAATATTGTTACAGATCATGATCATGATGCCATGGCATCACGGAAAAAAATAACACGTGAAGAAAGATTACAGAAAAAACGTGAAGCAGAGAGACTACGATATGAAAAGATTAAAAATGATCCCGAAAAATATGAATTGCAAAAGCAAAAAGAAAAGGCAAAATATTTAAAAAAGAAGGAGAAAGGAATTATAAAGAGTGTCGTCCAAATGACTCCTAGAGAGCAACGTAAGGCGCGAAACATATGGAAAACGAAAGCAAGAGAGCGTAGGCAATGACTTTCGCTTCAAAATGTAACAAATCTTTCGGTGACGCCATCGATGTCAGATATTAATGACCAGGCTTTTATTTCTCATAGAAGAGTTATAGCTGCCAAACTTGAATCAGACCGAGCCAGAAGACAAAGATATTTTGTTAATTAGAAAAAGATGAGACTATAAATAAACTTAAGACTAAATTAGCATGTTATAAAAACGGATTACAAAGTTTACGAAATTTTGAAAAACTGACACCTAACAGCAAAGTAGAACAAGTGTTAAATTCTCCAAGTGTAGAGAAACAGTGAAGAAAAATTTATTATTTACAGAAGTGCTCAATCAACAATTAAAAGTAAATTATTCTTTTCTTTCAAATAAGAAAATAGAATTTTCAAAAGAATTATAAGCGGGACACATGATGAAGACAAAAATTTAGAATTTCCTCCAAGATGACTCGAATACGAGGTTATGTGCCGGCAATAGAGATTATATGACGAAGAAAGAAACAAAAGATATTCTTTTTTTTAATATGAAAAGTTGCCAAACGAGCATACGGTGCACCTGATGATAAGTGAATACCGCCGCCCATAGACATCTGCTACACCCGAGGATTTGCAAATGCGTTCACAACCTTTTAGGAAATTGGGCTCCGGCTACCTCACTCACCAGACGAAACGCAAAAGTATTTGTCATACTTCCACTTTACGCCGGTCTTCTGTGAGGTCGTAGTACTTACCTGGATGAGCCTGCCCATTGGTGCAACAGCCGAGGCTGCTGCGTGGTTCTATCACCGTATCTTTTGGATACTCTAAGAAATCTCCATAAATATTTCATGAAAAACTGCAATATCAAGATATATACTCTATTTTGTCGCCTTAAGCCATTTTGGATAGTACAACAGAATTGCGACAAACGTGACACTTGTTTGTTTGTTACACACGCTAATATGGATCTGATGCTCACAGTTCTTCTATTTCAAGCTAAAGTTGTCTCTATATCAAAGCATCAAAATCTGCTTCATATAATTTGTTGCAATAGGTACAACGAACAGTGTATTTCCCGAGAATGCATAACTTGTAAAAGTAAAGGACTCGAATACAAACAATTTGTAGACGCTTGTCTATATTATTAGTATTAATAAAAGAATATATTATTAATTGTTGTATATACACTAAGGACACTTTTGTTTTAAATTTCAGAGTTTCAAGAATTTCAAGTTTAATATGATTGGTAAAAATTAGTCTAATTCTATGTTAAGTACAATGTTTTATTAAAGTTGATTTTACTATTTTTTAACTTTTATTGCCACTTATTCTCTCCCCTGGCCAAATAAGTATCTATCCTGATATTGGTGTTTCTACCCTGCCCAATGTATTTACCCTGGCTTTGTAAAAATTATTAAAATATTCATAAAATGACTTGCCTTTACGTGAAAAGATACATAAATAGGACAAAAATCGTAATGTAAGTGCTTAATGAAAAACAGAAACTTTTCTCCGTGGCCGTATTCTTTATAGATTTAAAACCTCTTATCATAGAATTACCCATATCTTGGTTGATAGATAAATGTAATTTATACAGGGTAATATTTCTTTTGTCCCATTAATGGACAAATGTAAATGATATAATAAATAACAATAAACAGTCTAAAGTCTTAGGGTGTTGTTTGATCACAAGAATGTTTCGAATTTTTCTTTCAAAGAAGCAAACTGTCTTTTGCAGCAGAAATTTAATGATTGCGTCTATATTGTTGCAGCACAACTCATCCGCATGGAAGACGGACGCTATTTGCTGACTTATAAAGGACATTTCTACGCAAAAGTACCCCATGCAAGCACTAGATGGCGCTGTGTGCAGACTGGGAACTGCTTCGTCACATTGATAGTTGATTCTGATCTTACCGTTAAGAAGGAACCCAACAGGCATCAGCATCTACCGCGAAAAATCTGTCGTATGCGAAATAACACATTCAAGTTCATTAAAGTTCGTCGAGATCCGGACTACCGTATCGTCTGGTCATACACCACGCGGAAAAAGTAAAAACAAAACATGTTATCTAAATAAAAACTAAGTTTCTTGACTAATTTTTCATATGACATCTCCTGTGAATAAATAATCGCTAACCTTAAAATGTCTTTTTTTTTTTCGAAACTTTTGAGAATCATTGGTGTCGAAGTTATCGTGAATATCTCTTGCTATCTCTGTAGAAACTTCTTTCGATCCAAACGGTATCTGCGTTGTTCGAAAAGTTTTTGAGGGTCAAAAGAAGTTCTCAAATGTAATTGGCTGTTGTAGTTGTTGTTGAGATTTTCCCTTCAAATCTCTGGCCTCGCTTATATTATAGTGTTTCCCCGCAGATGGCCTGACGCTGATGACTCTAGTTAACGGCAAGCAGTGGTACATGTACAACAGTTACACCTACCGTTACAGCTTCAAGTCGAAGGTGGGCCAGCGATGGCGGTGCACCTATGACTGTAAGGCGTACATTTTGATATCGAACGATGGATGCATCATCAAGTCCATGGCCCATCACTCTCACCCGCCTCCGAGGTACCATGTGACGGCGACGGGCCTTTACGTTAAGATTTGAAACCTTCGTTCAATTTAGCAGCAAAAAGTCAATAGTATGATAAAAATGACGTAGGTCACAGCCTCTCTACGTGGTCTGTGATCAGAACCAGCCCTGATTAACTGTCACGGATCTTTTTCTGAAGCCCCACTGTGCAACCCCCAGCGCTTTGGATTTTTTTTCTTCGTTTCACTGCGTTCTATTTAAGTGTTTTGTATCCTTTGTGTTGATGTATAAAAGTTATCAATTTTGTTATTTGCCTATTAACGTCGCGCAGTGATGTTTTCCTAATCGATAAGGCTTATTTGTTAATTGGTTAAGTTTGAATTAATGCAATAATGTCGGACAAAGGAGAAAAGCAATATACGGATCTAACAAAAATTGCTGTCGTGTTTCTTGTGGCTGAAAAGAAATCTAATTGGAATATGTAACAAATTTTAACAGAATATTTAATTTGTACCAGTCTGTTGTAACCGTATATCTCTTTTTTCCTGTATACCAATAATCCAGTTTTTTTAATTAACCTTTACTTTTAAGATATTTGTGTTAAGAAAAAATACCAATATAATTAAAATTAAAGTAACAATATTACGAAACCATAATGGATTATAGAAAACAGTTCCGACGACTTTTTCCGTATAGATGACTATTCGTATAATTCTAATTATTATGAATTTTGCAAGGCTCCTACTGCTTTGACGAATATTATTTGAACTAATATTTCTTGATCTCATTATTTTTTAGGATTTCGGCCACAATGTCTATACGGATAAAATCATTTTACGAGCATGTTTATAATTAATAATACTTTTAAACAAAGAAAAAAAAAATCAAATATTAATTCATTGAAATAACTTTGTGTTCTTATTCAAAATCTTCCAATTCATTGCCAAACAATTTCCCCTGTTATACCCATGGATTTATCTGAAAACGTGGTAATTTTTAATATGCTACACACTAGCACAGTAATAGTCTATTGAATTTTGTCTTGATGTCTTTGTTTAAAAATAACTTTATAGGTAAATTAATTATTTCCTCCCCTTTATTCCTTCCGTTTATTATTATTATTAATTTAGCACGCATTAAACGCGTGATAGCTCAGTGTTCGGGCGCTGGCCTTTAATTTAATATACTCGACCAACCTGAGTTCGATCCCCTGTGCCGGCTCCAATAAAGCAGCAAGCAAGCGACAACAATTTATAGGCTGCCATTTAACGCATTAAAATTAAAAATAAATGGAAAGCCTAAACTTTTCTGGACCACCCCAAGGTTGACTGGGAGATAATACTGTTGTCATTGAGTCCACTTTTGTACATTCATGTGTGTACATAAAGAGTAAATATATAAATAAATAAATAATGTAGATCTAAAAGCCGGTAATGGCACACTGCATTTTAATTGATTGTAGTACTAAAAGGGTAAGTAAAAATACAACGTATTCTCAATTTTTTAAATTTGTTTGCCGTATTTTAAGGTATCTATGGAGTTTTCGTAAACTGTCATCGGAGACCGATAATTTGCAAAAAATCTGAAATGTGTGTGTTTTCTTATAGATGATTTTAAAGAGATACAGTTGACAAACGGAAAGAAGTTCTACATGTATAGAAATTACACGTACTGTTTCGGGTTCAAATCCCGGATGGGGCAGAGGTGGCGCTGCAGCGCCGGCTGCAGGGCTTACGTCATGGTGTCGGAGAGTGGCAAGTTGATAAAGGACATCGGCGTTCACACCCACATGCCCCAAGTGTACCACGTGACGGCCGATGGGAAATATATCAAAGTTTAGCCTTAGGCAGTGGTGCTATTAGAATCAAGCTATCTGAGATCCTGTGGAGAATCCTGCTGGCTTGCACGGCAGGTGTTAGTTTATAAAAATACTTACGTATAATATTTCCAGGATATGGTGTAATGTTAACGATCGCATCAATCGAAACAAACGCATAGTTTAGTGTCCCATAAGACAGTTTGTGTATTGAATATATTATCTTTTGTGTTATAAATTTCTATTGCATCGTGATTAAAAATAATATTATTCATAATTATTCAATATGGTTTCAAAATTTAGCCCATAATAATTGTTTCACTTTGTTCCGATTGATTTGCTTGGTCGCCAAAAAACTAATGACTATTAATGATAAAACTCCTAATCATGGTGTGACCAAACCGGTTACGTGCGCCCAAAAGTTCGCTCCCCCCTATACAATCTTAAATAAAAACGCACCCTCGTACGAATACGTGTTTAAATTCTTATTATTTTTCGTAGTCAAATAAATAATACAAATATGTGATTTTTTATTGTTATCATAAAATGGTCCTCAATTTGACTATTCCTAGAATATTTCTGACATAACCAATTTTAATAAGCAGGTGAGTGCGTTTGATCGAAAAATCGTTACCCGAATCATTTCAACTGTAATATGTCTTGTTAGAATCTTCTCACCATTACTCTGATGCCATCGAGAAATCTGTATATTTGTTATTTTTAATCGACCATAAATCTTTTACCAATATCGAACATTTTCAGTTTTTTTAGTTTTTAAAAATATTACCCTTACTTTAGGATAACATTATCCTGTGTTGTGAGGACGTTTTACAAACATAAATTTCATATGGACAAACACCCAGATCCGAAACAACGATCTGTGGATCACACAAATCGTTCTCCCGTGTGGGAATCGAACCCACGACCCCCGACGCCGAAGACGATACCTTGGCAACTGTGCCACGGAGTCATCGGTCTATATCAATTAATTCATAACTTCAACGTGGTGCGTGCGAGGCCTAGGACGCCTCCTACACTTATTCCGCATCATCACGCACATGCGTAGACTCAACGCTGTCACTCGCGTCATCAGTACATTGGTTCAATTGCATGCCATTGGTCGCTTTAACGCGTCCGCTTCCCGCAGGCGAATCGGGAATGATCACGCTCGTCAGCGGCAAGCGTTACTTCATGCACGGCGGCTACACCTACTGCTTCCGGTCGAAACAGCGCGCCGGCACCAGATGGCGCTGCACGAACACCTCCGACTGCAAGGCATACATCATCGTCGACTACGACGGCGCCCTGGCGGCCGCCCACGGCTCCCATCCCCACCGCGCCCCCAATTACCACATACTACCCAACGGGCGATACGTGAAATTTTAAAACGACTCGCCCGCGCAATGCCGGTGTTAAAAAAAACGATTTTAAGCCACTCTATCTTTTATGTAGTGCATGTTAACAATCAGATCTTTGATGATACTATGCATTTATACTGAACTCACACTACTAGCAGCAGAAGATAAATGCTATTTAGTATGGCGTACCGCGTGTTTCTCTTTGAGAGTCAGTTCATTTATCACCTTCTTCTTTAAAAGAAAGTAATATTTTTATTATAGAATATATTTTTATTACTATTGTTTATTATTATAATTTAGTGTATTGTCATTTCTCCATGCAGACAATTCATTAGTAGATATGTCGCCAATTTGTTTATCACCAATTATTTTCTAGTATGAGCTCTATGAGTTCTGACACTGTCTGACTGACCGATGAAAAAAAAACTAAATGACGTTTCTGCGCGCGATCATCGGAGTTGCAAAATCACCTATCCGTTTAGGCCAACCCGGCATCTCTAAGTACCCCATAATAATAAACTCGCACTCAAAAAATCGCATTTATATAAAGTAACACCACTGATGGTCATGGTGGCGAATTTCAAATAACAATTAGTTTCAAAGAATTCGTTTATTGGTTTCATTTGGCAATGTTTATTTGCATTATGTAGATACTCGGCCTAATGATAATTAATTAAATTATTGTATTTTCTTCCGCGTTATTGATGATTATGCGATATTTAAATAAAAAATATGTATACGGTGGTAATTTGTTATTGAAATAATGCAAAATTTGTAAAAAACTAAGTAAAGTAACAGCCTATACATGTCCCACTGCTGGGCCTCCTCTACACAGAGGGTATCAGGCCATAGTCCACCACGCGGATTGGCATATCTTCGAAAAATATTTTTTTTTGTTATTATTTTCGAAAATATGCCAGATTTCCTCACGATGTTTTCCTTCACCGCGGAGCACGTGATAAGTCAGCACTTAAAGTTAAAAACTTAATTGGTGCCGGCACCGGGGATCGAACTCAGCTTGCTCGAGTATATTGAATTAAAGGCGAGCGCCCGAACACTGAGCTATCACGGATCAATTGTAAGTATATTTTTTATATATTTGGTATTTATATATCTCTTCTTGCGTTTCCTTAACCGTTTACCACACGTAATTTGATAATATAATGAAATATTACTGTTATTACTGATCTGTTATGAATCCTACCAAGCTGAATGTTTAGACGAGACCCTTAATTATATTATCTATTTAACAGACGAGCTGAAGATGATAACGATGTTCAACGGCAGAAAGTATTACCTGTACAAAGGGTACACTTACTGCCTTGGTTCCAAATCCAGTCTGGGGTGCCGTTGGCGCTGCACGAAGGCCCAGTGCAGAGCCATTATCATTTTGGATGAGGAAGGCAAACTCTTCCTGGAGAACGGGGAGCACAGACACAATCCGAACAAATACCACGTAATGCATAACGGCAAATACGTTAGGATCTAATCAGTCTAACGAGTTCATTGAGAAAAAATCGAATGCGAAGGAGTATTGTTAAGAAGAAATATTGTTTCATTATCATCTTCATCATCATTTCAGTCGGTGTGATGTTCAACTGCTGAACATGTGATGTTCAACTGCTGAACATTCCCTCACCGACTGTCACGTAGCACGATTCTGAGCCATCTGCATCAATCGACATTTGAAAAGGTTGCCACCTCCACCTAGTGGGGGGTCGTCCTTCGCGTCCTATAGAAGATTGCAATTCGAGAAACTTTATTTCCCATCGGTTATCGGTTATGCGAATTGCATGATGCGCTGGCTTAAATAATCAATTTTTCAGTGGGTCTTATTTCAAAATTAGATTTTTTATGAGCATTTATGGCACTTATTTAAGTGGCACGATTCGGTTTGTATTTTCGATTTTCTGCTAACTTTATCCTACCTGGTTTGCGTGCGACCTTGGTTTTCTTATTATGGTTTAATTTACTCATACTAATGATTTTATTGAAAAAGTATTCTCTAATATAATGATAATTATTTCTATTGATTTAAATATATACACTAGTAAAACAGGGCTGGATCACAAATTCACAAATACTCTGAAGTCTGAATGAATATTTTTGTAGTATGAATACATTAAAATACTTTCTCTATTAGAAATACTTTTATTTTAAACATACAGTAGAAAAAAAGTACGTATGTATTTTTGTACGCACGTAAGAATTTTTAATTCTTTATCGTAAAGACATTAAATGCAATTAATAACGTTTTATTTAAATAACTTAGAATTATTGGTATAAGTCAAAAACTTGTTATTGGTCGCCAACATTAAATTGGTTACCAAGCAGCATGTTGCGTTTTGACGGTCGGTGTGCGCCCGCATCGTAAAAATTTTACTCTTATAATTTTTCCCAACGCGTCAAAAGAAGTATAACTTCATAAATTTAAATAAAACTGTTTACTGCTATTAGGCAATAAGTCCGCCCATTGTAGCCCTTAGCTTAAGGTATAGCAATCAAGCTTAAATAAATAAATAAAGTACTCTTTAAAATAATTCCAGCTTTCTCACCTCGGCCTGTTGACGAGACTATTAATTTCATTATCACTTTCCTAGACGAGTTGAAGATGATCACGCTTGTCAACGGTAGAGAGTACTACATGTTCAAAGGATACACATACTGCTTCGGGTTCCAATCCCGTTTGGGGTGCCGCTGGCGCTGCACGAACAAGTCCCTGTGCAAAGCCTACATCATGCTGGACAAAGATGGAAAGCTCCTTGTGGTGAGTGGGGAGCACACCCACAAATCCCAAAAGTACCACGTATTGCCCAACGGCCGATACGTGCGCATCTAATGCGGTTGAGATCACTCCTCGAAACGAGTTAAGAAATAGCCACGTGATGGGTTGGTTTAAAAACCATTTTTACCATTTACCATTTTGCCATTACACCAGTTTGAAATTATAACGCAAGGTTCATGATTATGTATGTTTACTATACATATATGCGTACGGGTTCATGGAACTCATTTACAGTGCACATATGGGAATGGGTGAATCTTGACACATAGCTATCGGCGTGAAAATTTATACAAAACTAAAACATGTTTGGCGTTTACACAGCTTTAGTTTCCTTAAAGCCCTTTTTGTAAAGAAAACGTTGTTGCCTTTGAACAAAGTTTATAATTTCGTCCAAACGAAAACCGAAACGATTTTTAATAACAGACAATGCGTATGAAATACAATTAACTAAAAGAAATATAATTATTGAATAAAAATTAATACCATTTCCTTATAAGCACTTTTTGGGTATAGAATATTAGGGATTCGAGATCCCCTAATCCCAGCCGTTGTCTGGCCCCGAAAATCCCCGGACTTTAAGTATTTGGCTAGTCTCGGGATTTTCGGAATTGCCACAAACAGATCTAGTTTGCATTCCGTAGTCCGTTGCGCCTTGACAATAACCTTGTGTGGATTATATTAATAGCAATTATTACATAACGATAAAAAGAACCCTTAGATACGCCGTATGGTGGATTGCGCCTGTTCAAAAATGGGTGTGATTCGTGGTTTATGTTGGCAATAAACTATGAAGCAAGCATGGAAGTCAAACATTGGATGCTTTGATATTTCTTAAATTCCGAATAGTTTTTTTGTGTTGTCTTTTTGATTTCTTGCTAAAGTACAGTTTTTCTTGTTTTTTCTATTTTATTTTCTTACTATATTATGATTTGTGTTTTGCAACGATATTAAAAAGATTTTTTTGAGAAACTACTCAAGCTTTTTTTTTTTTTCATTTGAACTGGCCAACTGGAAACAACATAGTCAAATCCCGGCATAGCCCCGATATTTAATGTGCAAGAATAAATAAATGTATAAAAGTAATCGAACTGTTGACAAAACTAATAGTTTTTACTATTATCTCTTTCATAGAAGAATTGAAGATGATAACGCTGGTGAACGGGAAGAGATACTACTTGTATAAAGGATATACTTACTGCGTCGGGTCCAAATCCTCTTCAAATTCATGCTGTCGTTGGCGCTGCACGAACACATCCGATTGCTATGCTTCCATCATCCTGGACAGCGACGGCAACCTACTCTTGGCGAAGGGGGAGCACACCCACAAATCCCACAAGTACCACGTTATGGCCAACGGCCGATACGTGCGTATCTAAAGTAGCCAACGCGACCGTTGATATCGGATTCCCAGCGGCAAGGGTAAAAGATTTTTGAGAGACAAATAATTTTTGAAGTTATAGGTACCTACTTCTTTTGAGCCGTGATAGCTCAGTGTCCGGGCGCTCGCCTTTAATTCAATATACTCGAGCAACCTGAGTTCGATCCCCGGTCGATCCCCGGCACCAATGAAGTTTTTAACTTTAAGTGCTGACTTATCACGTGCTCCGCGGTGAAGGAAAACATCGTGAGGCAAACCTGCATATTTTCGAAATAATAACAAAAAAATATATATATTTCGAAAATGTGTGAAGTCCGCCAATCCGCAGTGGGGCCGCGTGGTGGACTATGCCCTGATACCCTCTGTATAGAGGAGGCCTTTGCCCAGCAGTGGGACATGTATAGGCTGTTACTTTACTTTACTTCTTTTGACGCGTTTAGAAAATATTATGGCAGTAAAACTTTTACCCTCTTACTTATAAATCATAGTAGGTAGTACTATGATTTATAATAGCGACATTGTGACATTTCAATTGCATATATTGTCTTTTTCACAAACATAGAGTACTCGCACTGGGATAAAAATTTTAGTTATGTTTATTTTGTTACACTAAAAGAATGTATTTTCTTACGTGCGTTAATAAGTACGCACATACTAGCTGACGGGTGAACTACGTGATAACCGCCGACCACCGATGCAGATGCATTGCCTCCTTTTAATTGAGTCCCGGTTGCCTCAATTACCAGACCATGCGCAAAGCATAACTTCTGTGAGGTCGTGGTACTTCCCCGGAAAGACCTGTCCGTTCGTGCAACAGCGAAGACTGTACTGTGACCCTACCTTGGTTAAAATGTGTTGCCTGATGCTTTGCTTAGTCTGGATAAGTACCACGATCTCACTGAAAGTTGGCGTAAAGTAGAGATATTTGTATAACATCCGATCACTCATTCACCGCAGGCAATTGGAGTCCAACCTCAAAATGTAAATAACCCGCCAACTGAAGAAAAAAATACTCACTACATACGTATATATATATTGATCATTATTCTCAAATCTCTTGAGTTGCAATAAAAATTATAAAAAATGTAAACAGTTCGATTTTTGCGCCAAAATTAAACGAAAAAATGTTGTTGGACCGCAATCGCGTTTTTAGGCTGACTGTAACTCTGTTTAAAATTATCTACGACTCTTCATTAAGTTGCACCCATCGGTTTGCATTTCTTGATTTTCTTTTTTGTTTGGCTTATGGCGAGGCTTATTTCTAGAGGATATGGTTTATGTTTCTCGTATTATTTGCTATTGTGAATGCATTATACTACTCTTTGTACGAATTATTATTTTCTCCTATTAACTTGTCTACTGAGTTTCGAGTATTATCTTCCAAACTAGAATATGTGTGTAAAATTTTATGAGAGAACACAACTACTCCTAATATATTTTAATGCAAAATAAAAATAAAATACCTTTGATTGTAATTTTAAAATCGTTTTATTTGAAAAATAAACCAGGTAACTAAAAATTTACGAAATGTATCTATTGGGATATTATTTCGTTTTTAGGTTTCCTTACCATAAAGGTACCCTTATAAGATCACTCTTTTGTCCTTCTGTCTGTCCGTGTGTCACCACCGATTTCTCAGGAGGGGGTGGACGTAGCAAGTTGAAATTTTAAAATTACAGATATGAGGTTTATAGTCCCTATAAGTTGTACATAAAGCAGTCAACAATCAAGTCAACATGATAAAAAGATATGGGCAAATTTAGATTTTCGCGAAAACTTGTAGATCTCAAAATTGACCTTAATTTTCAACTTTTTTATTTTACGTTGCTTTTAACCAAAATGTGTGTCGAAAACGGTATGTGGTAGTTCCCGTTGACCTAGAATCACAAAACGACTGTTTTCTATCCTCTCTTAAAAAAAGTTAATTGTTCCTGACGCGGCTTCAACTCGGATATAACACTGAAGCTTTCCAGGCAGTTTTGCTCCGTTGCAGAGAGGTGGCAGGCTGCTTGTGTTCAATAGCTCCTATAGACTGCGAAAGTTAATGGCCTAGGTGGCCCAGAGGCAATGCACGATGGTGCAGCCAAGCAATGCAAAGATCTTCACCAGCGCTCCCTTCAAAATAATGGACAGTTGCCACTACCATCCAAAGCCGTGCTCCGTAAAACGCAATGGGATCCTCGTGAAGGAATACTGAGCAAAGATTGGGTTCGATTTCTATCAGCTTCTTGGAACGATGTGACCCATCTGATCTTGTTATTCTGTTTTGAAAAATATGTTCAAAACAACTATACATTTATAAATCAGGTATTAACGTACCTGATTTATATAAAGAAGTTACAAAGGTATAAATAAGGTATAGATACCATGGTAAATCTGATAGCAGAAGTCTCAAAAGGCGATCACGATATCTCTGGAAACATAAGGCATAGACACTTAAAAATTGGTAGGACTTTTCCTTTCGCCGAGTAGAGGTCAGCTAAAAACGGATTTTACCAAATTCCACCCACAAGTGGTGTTGCGGGGATGTTAACAATAATATTTTATACGGGAAAACAACATTTGCCGGATCAGCTAGTATTCATATATATAAGAAAAAAATGTAAAAAGGAGAGTTTTTCTATAATCTGTAAATTCCTAATGTATAAAATAAAGACAAGAACATGGATAAAAAATATGCCTAAATAAAGTTCTTTACTCCATTTCGTTCCATGTGTTTCCAACCTCGTACTGTTAACAAAACTAATTGTTGTATATTTTACAGACGAATTGAAGATGATCACGTTAGTCAACGGAAGGAGATACTACATGTATAAAGGGTATACTTACTGCTTCGGGTTCAAATCCCGTTGGGGTTGTCGCTGGCGCTGCACGAGCACGTCCGAGTGCAAAGCCTATATCATCCTGGACAATGACGGCAATCTCATCACGGTGAAAGGGGTGCACACCCACAAATCCCACAAGTACCACTTAATGCCTAACGGCCGATACGTGCGGATCTAACATTGTCAACGCGATTATTGAAGTACGATGCCCCGCTATAAAAAGTAAAAGAAACAATTTTTTTTTGTGTGAACAAGTGATAAACATTTACAGCAACCATACATATGCAAATGCATTGCCACTTTTCAGTTAAGTGGGCCCCGCCTACGTCACTTAACAGACGAAACGCAGAAGCATAACTCCTGTGAAGACGGAACTACCCATTCGTGCAATAGCGAGACTGTTGCGTGGTCCTACCACGGTTTACAATGTTGCTTGATGCTCTTTTTCGTCTGGAGAAATACCACGTCCACACTGAAAGCTGGCCTAAAGGAGAGATATATGTATTAGAATACGGATCACTCATACAGGTAATTGGAGTCCAACCTCAAAATCGATGTCACGACTAAAACTCTGGCATCGGAATAGAATTTCTCACACAAATCACCACTTCAAGAATACAATAGTTATTACGTATAATAGAATATTCGTTATTATTGCGCGAATGTCTTTGGGTATATTAAAATTATAAAAAAGCTCAATAGCTCGTTTCTTTTGCGCCAGAATGAAACTATAATGAAAAAATGTGATTGGTACCGTAGTCGGATTAGTATTAGAGGATTTTTTTTTTAATTACTGATTTGTTTATAACTATTTACGACTCTTAGTTAAATTGCACTTATCGGTTTGCATTTTTAAAATATTTATAAACTTTATTGATCTAATATTTACAAGATGAAATCTATCTAAAATTACATATAACTTACTAATAAACCTAATCCACGCGGCATGGTGCCAAGAACGCTAGCTGCATTTCCTCGCTGAATAGTTATGCTTAACCTTTGAGCGAGAAAAGAACCAGCTCTCTTGTCATCAGCCGCGGCGTCAAGCCTAGGCCATAAACTTTAAAAAAATTTCGATGTGCGGGGACCCCACGGACCTAAAGTTTCAACAGCAAATGGCACAAATACATAATCTAAACATAAAGACTCATATTTGCGCCAATTACTTAATTCAGCTGCCTCCGATGCCGCCCCGGCCCTGACCGAAGTACCCCTTAGATGAGAGGCAGCCAAAGTGTGTACAAGTGGCGTCCCAAACAAGGGCTTTGCCTCTCTCTCAAGGGATCAATGTTAAACCGTCGGGTATCTTACCATCGTCGCGAAAAATGCCACAGGGTTCTAAAATAGATGGAACAATGACGGAAACAAGAGCCCTACGGATGATGTCGTTCAGGGAACCGTGGCGGGAACATTTACATTTTTCGGTTTTCTAACATGCAAAAACATTAATTTATGTTTGGTTTATCGCGACCTTCATTTCTAAATGATATTGTTTATTGTTATCGTATTGTTGATTTTGCTATTTTGAATGCATTATAGTTTAGTAATTACTAGAATTAATAGTATAATAACCATACTATTCATTCTAGTAATATTATTTTCTCCTATAAGTTTATAGTACTAGTTAGTATATTATATATATATATATGTATACTACTTAGATTGTTCATACAACGGACTGAGTTTAGAGCATTTACCTTAGAAATTTTAATTTATAAGTAGATCATAAAATTTATTTATTTTCATTATGAGCAATTCAACTTTATAGAAGAACACGACTATTTCGACTATTTTTTATTGCAAACATATTAAAATTTATTTTATTGTCATTGTTAAATTTAACAAACAAACCAGAGAACTAAATCGTAGATTTTCATTTAGATCTTCATTTTATGCGATAAGTTAAAGAAATATACATATGCGGACCGGACACACGTTGCCCTGTACACACGAGTTAAATTCGACAATTTAGAAATAAAACAAAATTGTAGTGGACCGAATTTTGAATCTAAACCATTCTAGAATCGAACTGAAGCCACAGAAAAAATTTCATTAAAATCGGTCCAGTCGTTTAGGAGTTCAGTGACATACACACGTATATGTAAAGATTTGCCGTTGAAATTGGAAATATTTTTATTGCACTTATGCATTTACCTAACACTTTATCCGTGTGTAATTTTGGTGCGTTCATGAAATTGGAATTGTAATAGTATCTAAGTATGTATGCGGCGTGCAAAAGTCACGGAGCTGGGCCAGTGTTAAAGGCGGGTTTACTTAAAATACATCACATTTACGTACGAGATTTCTTTCCCTTCCCTCATCACACTTAGGTGAGGTCGGCACATGTGAATCATGTCGTTAATGGTATTCACTGAGTCTTGTCTACGACCGCCTGCCTGACGTCATGCCTCTTTAAGAACAAGCACCCGAGTCCCGAACAAATATCTGAGGGTCACACAAATACTTAGTTCTCTGGGGAAATAAAACTCATAAATGGTTAATAAATCACATGGAATCAAGCAAAAAAAATTAATTTCAGAAAATCAAGTAAAACCTAAGGTCAATGACCATGTCCTTGAGATGAGTGCTAAACGAAGAAATTGTGCAGGGTGCTACGACAGACTGCGGAAAACCTTTAATAGAATCCAAGCAAAAAAAAAAGTTAAGAAAATAAAAAAATATTGCAGGAAATGCAACCAAAACCTTTGCGTAACATGTTTCCAAGACAGGCATAAGTAAATAAAAACATTTTTCAGTTCTTTTACGATAATTCTGTTTTATTTTCGATATCCCCTTATTTTTCTCTGTCCCATCACTACTAAAAATACTTTCTAGTGCGATTCAGGTCGATATCGGCCTGCCGCTTTTCCTGCTTTATTTCTCATTTCCTGTTTGGCAGATCCCGGAGCGAATCAAACCTAAGGAAGTTGGGTTTAAGGTCATTCTAACAATATAAAAAATGTATACATTATGTTTCCACAAAGTTATAGCAATTTAATCTATCCTAGTGCTGGTGGGTCTAGAAAGACCTGCCACGCACTGGCGGAAATATTATAATTAGGAAATATATTGGGGGCGCATTTTGGTACGGTGCCGCACCAGATGAAGAATTATGATTTTACTTGCCGCAGTAAACGTATTAATTAATACCTATAGTATAAACATTGCTTAGTTTGGCAATAGATAGCGTTGTGTAAAAATATGTCGTGAAAATTTATTTATTCAGTAACATATGGCTAAGGCCTGTATCTAATATTTATTTATATATTTATACTCAATTTGTTTCAGGTGCAAACAATAAACAGTCTGAATTGAAAATTAATGATACTAACGGCTTGCAGACTAACGGCGATGAAGACGACTATTTAGATATTTATCTAAGTGACGACACAATTCCGACGAACCTGGTGCGTGACGCTTCGGCTGAACCCGCATGCCCGGCTGACTTGACGCTTCTTCAAGCCGAAGTGTTGCAGGCTGAAGATGACGATAGTGACCGGGCCCTACGCGACATTATGGCAGCTGACAGTGGCTGCTACAACTTTGAGTGGAGCAAAGACAGGCGTACTTTTTGGGGAGGACGCGAAGCATTTACCGGGACATCGGGACCCACTTTTAACGTGACAAACCAGACTTGACCCATCGACATCTTCGACAAGATGTTCGATGTAGATTTCATTGACCATTCATTTCATTGATATACGTACTGAAACGAATCGCTAAGCCGAACAAAGGATCGCTTTCATGCGTGAGCAGAATAAGTTTGCTACTCGACTAAACTATTGGACCTACAGGCAGAGACGAAATGATCACTTTTTTAACGATAATGATCCTTCAAAGCCTACATCCGAGGCCGAATGAAGAGTCATACTGCACCTTCAATGGTGTTGGCACAATGCCATATTTTGCGAAGGTGATGACGTACAACCGACTTTTATTGCTAAACCAGATGCTTCATTTCGTCGACAGCCAAAATTCACCGGACACGACTCAGCTGTTTAAAATACGACCAATAATTAATTACTTTTCTACCAAATTTTCTAGCTTATATATGCCTTCTCAAGAGATAATCATTGACGAATCGCTTCTCAAAGGGCATGGCAGGCTTAGCTTTGCCTAGAAAATTACTTGTAAGGCGTCTAAAGTCGGTGTCAAGCTATGTGAATCGTCCAGTGGCTATCTCTGGAATTTCTTTATATACGGTGAAAAAGATAAATCAACTGACGACCACAAACGTTGCGACTGACAGACCTGGAGTTAGCGATAAAAGCCCCACAACTGCGTCAGTCAAAATAGTTTTTGACTTGATCCAGCCGTTACTTTACCGCGGGCACACATTAATAATGGACAATTTTTATAATAGTCCATTATTATTGCGATCTCTGAAAAAACGCAATACTGATTGTTTCGGAACTCTAAGACTGAACCGGCAATTAGTTCCTGAGTCAGTTAAGACTCTGACGAAGACTGACCTGCGACATAATGAAGTAATGGCCACGTACTGTAGGGACTTGTCGGTTATCGTATGGCGAGATGCCAATATTGTTAGCATGATCTCAACATATCATAATCTGGTGATTGGGACTGCTGAAAAAACAAACGACGGACATGCATACCGAATATAGCACTCGACTATAACAAGATCATGGGAGAAATAGATGGGAAGGACCAATTCTTGTCTGCTCAGCCCATGGAACGTCAGGGAAACAGAGTTTGGTACAAGAAACTCTTCCGCCAACTGTACAATGTGGCTCTTTTTAACAGCTTCGTGATATTTTCCAGTTTTCACCGGAAAATGTCACATCGTAAGTTCCGCAATGTATTAGCAGACGAGTTACTGAAGAGACACCGGCAAATTCACTTCACAGCTGAAACACTACTTTCGAATGTCAGGTCCATTACGACTGGAGCGCTGATGACAACAGGGCATTACGTACGTCGTAAGGTACAAGATAGACCCGTTCTCGAACACAACCATTTCCCGACTAGGACGGGATCGAAGTCCGCGTGTTGCCGCATGTGTACCAAAAAAACTAGGAAAATTTGGTAGTGCGAGGAGTGTGATGTCAATCTCTGCATAGAATTTTGTTTTAAAGCTTATTATAAGCCATAATTTTGTGATAACTTTTTTTCTTTTCTTCTTTTTTTAATACTTTTTTTTTAATTTCTGTAATTGAGTTTTAGAACAATTTACGAAAAACTGTTATTTTTATATTCTTAATTAGGATTAAGGAATAGCCACACCAGTCCCAATGTTGTTAGCCGTAATTCTATAAAAACGCTGTGTCTGTTATTATGTTAAGATATACGCCTGTAATTAAGATTGATATATAAGTAAATTTTTTATGTGTAAGTTCTATGTAATTGGTAGACCATAGTAAATAAACAAAATAATTAAATTGATTTTTCATAATTTTTAAGTTTTATTTTGTTTCGTTCATTTTTTGATGTATTCACTATATGTAAACGTCGTTACCTTCAATTGGTTTTTATTATTGTGAACGAAAGAATGAGAACAAGATTTTTTTTAGAAATCATTTAGTCATAATGGCTACAGAGATATTGTAATTTTTTTTAGCATTTTTAACTATTACCATGGTTAGAGAACGGAACCTGTGCTCAGGTACCCCTGTGTTACAGAGATAGGCTTTATGTATCTTTCGTTTATCTTCTCTGTACAGCCCTTAAACCGACCTAGTGGGGTTGGCACAACATGTTAATCTTGCTTTTAGTGATTTTGGCTAAGTTTTTTACGATTGCCTCACAGCCAATCTCCTCATGAATAAACACCCACATCCGGAAAAATTATCTGTAGGGTACACAATACTTATCCCGTGTGGGGATTGAACGCATGACCCCTAAGCGGAAATAATTTTTGCCAATTGAGTCACTGATATATAAAATAATGAAACAAAATTTTTCACTTTTAAAGAACAATGCCCACTTCCCATACATTTAAAAACCTGATAATGAAAGTGTATGTATAGTTACAAGGTATAGCAGAAAGACTACCTTTAAGTTAATAAATTAATATCATATAGTCATTTTAACGATTGCTGGTCTACGAAGTCCAAAAATTATTAAAAAATGCTACTTTTTAGGTTAGGATTTGCAGTTACCTAATATAACGAAATAAATGTGCTAGAACTAACTATTTACGCTCAAGTTTATTCTAAAATAATGATATTAGCCTATCTAAGGTCTAAAACGTCTTTTTATTTGTGAATTCCTAGAAACCGACTGCCCTTACGTCACTGCTTAGACTCGATTATTGTCACTATAAATTGAAAAAAACGTAAGTTAAAAGTGATCATTTATCTGCCCTACATATTTCATTGGCCTGCACTACAAGACATAAGAATCGATAATTATAATACCTGATGAATAAAACGGGGGAAAAAATAAAACACTATGTTACAGTGGAATAGTTTATTAATTATCATCATCTTCACTTAAATGTCTTATAACTATGTTATCTAGAAATTCTGCTATAACAGAGATATTTTCTTGATAGTTCATCCGAAGTACCGCACTAGTCATAACATCGAGTGCAACATCCTATGGTTCGCCAACCAACTAAACAATTACAACAGTATTCGACTATACTAGCTCTGCCAGACACATTATTTTCTATTAAAATGTAGACATAATATTTTTTTCTTTAAATGTGCCAGGACTTAATTTTTCGTCTTATTAGTGTTATGTCACCACTTCCTCTCAGATTATTCCTAGAAAACTGTGTCCCTACATATTTCTATTCTATATGATCCATGAAAGCGAATATGTTCGCCATAATAGGATTTGGCTTGCCTTATTTGGTACCTAATGCAAATAGTATAAGTTCACTAATAACTTAATCTCAGAAAGATAAAAAATAAATTATCTTCAGTAGTAGAAACACCACAAACTTCAGCAACATGCCTAATATGTGTGGCAGCACTCTAACAACTCATCCAGCATGAATGGCATATTCTATCGGATGATGATATCTACAAAAGAAGTAATAAGGCAATAACTATTATTGATCTTAAAATATATTTTTAAAAAAATCAATATGTATTTATGTGGTTAAAATTATTACAGCATCAGTCAATTAATAACAGATACAATAATTTACATCTAAAATACAAAAGAGAAATAATCTAGAGTAATAGTATCAAGTTTTATACTGGCAAATGATTAACAATGTAGAAACATGAATATGTGATGTTGTGAACTTGTTTGTATAATAGCATTTATCTGTCTTTGCTTTTCTGAAGGATTATCAAAAACTGTTCTTCGACCTGGTTGAGATAATCCTGAAGCTTGAGCAACATCACAGCTTGTTAATTCCTGGTTTATTCTTCTCATAAAGAGTTCATTACAAGATTTACAAATGTAATCTTCCTCAGTAATCTGAAATAAAAAAACATACATTGAGTTTATAATACATATTTTGGATATATAGATCTTTTGAACAGTTGTTTGTGTTATGTTACAGGTATAATTTATAGGAGCTTTGTTAGTTTGATTAGGACATGATTGACATTTTTAGATTAAAAATAATAAACATAAATACTCACAATTACTGGCGAATACCGATGAGTATGAGTCACTCGCAGAACTGTCAAATGTCAAAAAAATCCATTTACGTCAGCCGTGCGAACTTTATTACATGCTGCATTAATAATTATTTTTTTTATTTTTAATAAATTGTACTACTAATAAGATTGATCTTAATTTTTATACAAATACTGTTAATTACGTGCTTACTCACTTCTCTAAAACCTAAAATCACGTACAAAACTCAGAAAAAGTTGAATACAGTCAAGTAGGTAGTGTGAAAAATGGAACGTCCAATGCAAAGGATTGTTAAGGTGCGTTCAAAACATGGTAATATGTTTACCCTTGAAGTAAAATAAGCGTAAAGAAATATCAAAAAATATTTTTTCCCGACCTTCTTTTAACATTGTGATTAGTGTAAATACTAGAAAATAAAATTAGCTAAATTTTAAAATTTATTTCACTTCTATACACAATCGGGTCAAAAATGGGCATTGTTCTTTATTCAATTTGTTTGATTTATTAATTTTTTCTCATATGAAACTTGCCACTTATAGTGTATTCTTATACATGTTAAACGTTCGTTTTCATTAAACACAACTATGTGACGCCGTATTATACTTCCAGATATAGTAGTTCAAGACATAACCCTGACAAATGGGAAGGTGTACAAAATGATGGACGGGTACACATATGGCGCTCCGAGGAAACTGAGGTCAGCGGTCCGCTACCGCTGCACACAAGGGTGCAAGTGCCACCTACTGCTAACGCCCGAAGGTGGCTTCATCAGATTGGTCCACGAGCACAACCACAGCCCACCCCATTTCTATATTAGCTCCAGCGGACTGTACGTTAGAGCCTAAGTAGGCAGTTTCCTTCGTCTGTTCTTGAAATTTCGAGAAAAAATTAATTTCTACATTTGTAGTTTTTTTTTTCTTTTAGTCAATTCGAAGACAGTTTCATACTATGCATATGTTTCTTTTTGGTATGACACGAGTTGTTAAAATCTAATATAAATAAGAAAAAAAAGCTGACTTAATTTTATAATACTTGGTTGGCGTTAACTTGTAGCATAGTTTATCATAAATTTTCTTACTTAAATTACTCATAATTCCAGTGCCGCATCATTAACTTAATGAAGTATATTATGTATTCCTTTAAGATACGCAGCTCCGGCTCTATTGCGACCATAATGAAATTAAATAACTTCTTCTGAATAATACTACCGACTGTTAACTTGACAATTATTCATTTGAGACCGATCCACCTAGTTCGGGCTAACAGGGCCATCAGGTTGTCAAACATCTCAGTCCGATCCGTAACCATGAATGCTGTAAGTATTCTACTTTTGTGTTTTGTCTGATGAAAGATATCACCGGTTGTATTACGTCCACTTTTGCAATGTGGGTGACGCGCTTGCATCTTCTGGGTGTTGTGTGTCCGTGGGTGGCGGAAATAGCTGTCCTCTATCCGCACTTTTAAAAGTACACAGTCCCCGCAAGTTCAACCCGGTTAAGACACTGATGCTTTTCAGTTACTTTTGCCCAGTCGCAGAGGGGCGGCCGGCTGCTCGTGTACAATGGATACTCGTACAGTCTGCAGAAGGTGAAGGAACGGGTGGCCCAGTGGCGGTGCACGATGGTGCAGCCAGGCACCGCGAAGAGGTGCACCGCGAAGGTCTTCACCAGCGTCACGTACGAGATAATGGACGGCTGTGGCCGCCACTGCCATCCGAAGCCGCGCTTCGTGAAACGCAATGGGATCCTCGTGAGGGACTACTGAGCAGAGATCACTGGGTTCCGTCTCTACCGGCTTCTTGCGGCCGGTTTCTATTTTCTATGTACAGTTAGATTTGGTTACTGGAGATAGAATTTTGACGTAAGTGTTATGGAGCCAATGTCAAATACCTATCGCTGGTAACCAAATATGTTTATGTGTAAAATACATTAGACCCGTGCAAAGCCGGGGCGGATCGCTAGTTAATTTTAATAAAAAGTTATGAACGTGGAAAATGCACGCTAATGAAGTATCTTAATTGGTAAAACATCCGAGACCGTTTCCTAGAAGACTCAGGTTAGATTCCTGCTGCGCCCAAAATTTGTATTCATCAACCAACAAAAATTCACTTAAAAGAACAGCAAAACAATCCCCGAACTATTTATACTACAGTATCAATAAATTCCCATGTCTCTAATGGATTCAGATTTCCCTATGTTGTTAGAACAATATCTATAGTTTTGTTTGACACATGTGTAATTTATTATATATATAGTCAGGGAACTATTGTGGTAATATTCCAAAAATTAAATAACGAATTTTTAATATGACTTAACGTATAATATTGACATTTATGAAGTGCTATGTCGTGATAGTTGATTTTGAATTATTGTACTATTTGTTATATTGGATATAATTAGAAAATATTAGATATTAATAAATCTAATTACAATAATGTTACGTTATCAAAAACAGATGAAAATGAGTTACTCCTACGAGTACTTATGTCATGTGAGACGTGTTTTTAATCTTTAAGCGACCAAAAATGTTCCTGTGAGCTAAAATTTGTAAATGTTATATTTATATTTATGGGAGAGTAACTGAAAGATATATTTTTAGATTTTTTTCTATTGAATATATTTTATTATTGAATATATTTTGTGTTGAAACAATTGTAAATTTAAATGATTTTAATAAATGTTATACTATGACGTTGTTTAATTGTGAGTATACGTGGTTTTATTATTAGAACCGTATGCATTTTCCGCGTCCTCTGCTTTGTCCTAAAACCGGTAATGTAACACCTCTGACTCAGCATTGTTTTTTCAGGAACATTCCTCTGGACGAAGCGGGGCGGTAAGCATCCACTGCTCCTCCTCGACGGTTTCACGTACAGCTATCAGAAGCAAAACGCCAATGGACGGATCTCGTGGTACTGCTCCCGCCGTCTGAAGGGTTGCAGGGCGTCCGCGATCAGCTTTGGGAACCGCGCCTACGCTTACAAACCCCACGACCACCCGCCCCCCAAGCGTCCAGACGCCTCCATGGACATAAAACCTCTGCAAAGCTCTTATCTGTTCTTGGGAATGTAGTCCCCTCAGCAAGCAATTGACTTAAGCCCGGTTCCTATATTCAACGAACGGACATTTGTTACATAACTTCGTAAGTTTCATAATGACTTGTAGATTAAACGAACGCTAGTAACTTACTTTCCGTAGTTAATACAATGGCTCGTAAGGAAAACGCCTCGTTTTGTTAATTTGGGAATCGGGCGTACACGCCTTTTATCTACAGGTCGTTATGAAAGTTACCAAGCTATGTAACCAACGGGCGTTCGTTGAATATAACAACTGGGCATTAGTACAACAGTACAATACGTTACTTAGATAAATAGGTATTGAAACGCCAACAGCATTAATTGGCAGTGTTAATTAAGTGTACACTTTTCAAGAGTGACGGTGTAGCGATTTTCGTGTTTATAACTGCTGACGTCCTTTGTTTACGTTTAATTGCGGTGTATGTTCGTCTTCCGTCGTCAAACTGAACGATTTTGGGTCGGGAGACCGTTATTGTCTCAAGACAGTGAGACCCCAAAAACATTTCGGGCTGTCTTATCGGTCATAGCATTACTGTGGGTATAGGAAAACTGTATATTGTGCGTGATATATTATCTTAGTGCCTAGGTCAATTCAGTAGGGACGGGATATTATGAGGTTAGTTATTCTAATGGTCCTGTTAGTTGCAAACCAAAAAAGTACAGATTACAAGCAATCACAGTTATAATCCTGTACTTTTTTTTGATTAATCGGGACTGAAATAACTTAAGCATTTATAAATACTAGTTATAAAATGTTTAGTGCAAATAAATTGGCTGTTATCTTCGCGTGATACATAAATATTGCAATCGGTTAACGTTTCTGTATTATATATGGTGGCATTGAACGCTGTGGAGTTTGTATATCATAGAAACTTTAGAGGCGTTAAAGTAAATTAGATATTAATATAAAATTATGTATTTAGGAAAAATCTGTCCGAATGTAAGTTTTAAAGCGTAATCGAAAACACTTGCAATATTATTTACACAAACCGTTATTCTCATCAACATTATCTTTTTTAATATAATTGTTTTGTCTACACTTAAACAATTACTTACTTCAACAAAAGGAAACAATAATTGTTCGTATTATAATAAATATAATATAATATAATAATAATATAAGATAACCTGAGAAACAATGTTATACAGCGTGTCGTTACCACCACGACAATAAATGAACACACATATAGATGATAACTTTTTAAAATTGTATTAAACATTTACATTCTTTAAACATCAATATTTACCGAGTTATTAAATTTTCCAAAACTAACAATTTTAGAACACCCTTACGTATTAAAGTGTAACGTAAAGTTCATTTGTAAAGGCCACAAAGCATATGAATTGGTTGAATGAATTTAAAAGAGACAAAACATACTGTTAGAAGGAGAGGCTTGTAATGCGACGCTGTGGCGCGAGTTGTATAGGATGTTACAAATTTTGTTTCTTTTTAACTTAATTAGTTTGTTTGAAAAATATTATGGATTTTGTTTAACGTTAATATTTTTTTATGATTATTGGCAAGTAGCGTTAGACGTGTGTTCATTTATTGTCGCGATGGTAACGATACGCTGTATATACTGCTTTGTATATCTTTGTACACGCGTGCAACGATTAACTTTATTTTATCACCATAATTTTGTGTTTAAAAGCAGAAATGTTTACGAGTAATACAATAACAATAAATTGTATAAAAGTCCATAAACTATTCCATATTGCCATTTTGTAGCATATATATCTAATTTACATATTTTCAATGTCATAGTAAATATAGGTATTACGGTTGAATGCTCGTTAAATAGATGACGTATTTTCTACTTCAAAATGGCGTCCTTCTTTTTGGCACCATTATCATTGAGTTGCATTTAAGTCACGTTCGCACGACTACCACGAACGGCGGTTGCACTGCTCTAGTGCCATCTCATTCGCACACTTATAAAACAAACTGATCTGCAGTTGCCCCAATCGCGATGAAATAAGTATTGTTAAATTTCAATTCAATGCAATTAATATTAATTTGGAACTGGAAAGCATAAGATATGCTTATTAAATTATTATGCTCAATCATTACAAATATATTTGAATGTAACACGAAATTAAATAGTTTCGTTATAGTGTTATGTATTTGGTAATTACGTTTATTGTCAATCAAATAGACATAATTACTTGTTTTAAAACATTTGTTATAATATTTTTGAGACTATTCGCTTTAGATTAATTCTTATGTTCTTAAAATTGTTATGTCATCCGTTACGTTATTTGGCAGTCTCAAGTCAAACTGTTCCTCAACAATGCATGCTAAACAAAAACTCTGACAATGGAGTAGCGTTTATTTTTATTTCAAATTAAATATATGACTCCATGATCCAAACTAGTTAAGATTATTTGTTTCTAGTTAAGATTATATCGCATATTTGAAGTGGCAGGGGTATATATACTTTTTAGGGTTTTACAATCTTCATGTAAAAAATTGCACGCTAAGTTATTTTAACGAAATGCTTATACTTTTATTTTAGTTTAATCGAGATTGTATCTTTTTTACAATCGCAAAGTTCTTGTTTGAGAGTCGTTTGTAATTTAATTTTCATTTTAAATTCTTTTAGGATTGTCTATTTTAACATTTTCATTGTTACTATTGGCACCACTGTTAGCGAATCAAATTAGAATGAAGTAAGTGTAGTTATTTCTTTTTAATATTCTACAGTTTTTATGTCAATTGTAATGACGTATTACTAATATATTTAAGTACAATGTTAATATATTTAGCCGCACTGTATTTGCACCCATGTATGTATTTAAGGTTTAAATCATTTCATAATCAACAGTGATCTATTTATTTTTTAATATAACCCATCTTGATTTACTAATGAACATGCTCTCAATGTATGTATGTCGAACGTCTGTTATTTACGAATTTGCAGGCACACTATCGTTGACGTTAATGATATTAACTTGTTAAAAAACTAATCCCCCATTAAATAGATCGAATGTTATCCATTTAATACTCTATAAATTTCTAGAATCTTGATTAACTCCATTTTTTTTTGTCCAAAGGATTTGGAAGTTACGGTGGTTGCTTAACATTTTTAACTAATAGACAAAAATAATTTGGATTAGATCGATTTAAACAATTGAGTTGTATGCAAGGAATAACAATGGTAAAGTCTTAATGTGGGTTGAGGAATCCCCATAATTTTAAAACGCTCAAACGCAACAAACTTACGCAGTCGCCTATTAGTTCGATTAAACTTACCTTTTCCATCTAAACTGATTTCAGCCGTGCTCATCCCGTCAGGGAAGGGCAAGTACCCGTTGCTGAAGTACAATAATCACACGTTCACGTACAAAGTACTTTCGGGCACCGGCGTGTTGTGGCACTGCTCGAAGAGGACGAGGACCGGTTGCAAAGCCTTCATAAAATCCTTACCGGAAAGTTGGGACATCATCAAGACGGTATACGACGAACACTCTCATCTGCCGAGATCGGTACGCGCGAAGATAGGGGATACGAAGTACTACCAATCCAACTCTTAACACTCTAATTCGACTCCAGGACCTTTGAACATGGACTAGTGCTTGACTACTAACACAGGTGATGGTAAGTAGAGATAGATATTACTAACATAGGTGATGGTAATTAGAGATGTTAATGGCAACCGACCGGCTGGAAACTGACAAGTCTTGTCTTAAAACTCAAGCGTTGACGAAGCATCTCAAGATGAACGTCTTGCTGGGAACTGAAGCTTTGTATGACATCATTTATGTATAATTTGTGTGATTGATGTGCATTTTAAAGCTTTTCTAAGAATTAACTAGTTTAAACGAAAACAGTAAACAGCGACTTTTATCTCTATGTGGAATCTACAGATTGAAAATATTAAAAACTTTTTTGAATGTTTTTTTTAAAAACTTCACATTACGTTTATAAGGATTTCTTAATAAATGTTTAAATATTCTTGTTTCTACATTTCTTTTTACTCTCCATTTTTCACCATCAGTCGTATTAATATAACAAGCAATAAAGCTAAAGGGTTTAAATGAAACCTTTCCAATTTTAATTTCCTGCCAAACATTTCAGTTTTTGGTTCAAATCGGGGGCTGCACCTAAAATTGAAATATTTGGTACTGGTACAGTACAAACAGACCAAAGCTGCGTGCACTTATGTACTGAGCGGTTTCGTTCACCTTCCAGGAGTACTGATACCGTCTGGGAAAGGGAAGCATCCACTGTTGATGTACAAGAATCAGACGTACACCTACAAAGTGATGTCCAGTTCTGGCGTGCTGTGGCACTGCTCGCGTCGAATGAGGACCGGTTGTAAAGCCTTCATCAGATCCTTGCCCGATCGTATCGACGTCATTAAAACAGTCTACGACACCCACTGTCATACGCCCAAGCTCGTTTACAAATATGATCCAAATATGATTTAAGTTGTTCGTCGATGAATGTACTACTATAAACAAAATTAAATTAATACCTATGCTCTTATGCTTATCCATCTTAGTAGATATTGCTCTTATGACGGAAATATCTGTCGAAAAATAAACAAAATTAAATTAATATCTATGCTCTTACGCTATCTACTTTGGTAGATATTGCTTCTTATGACGATCTGTCGAACAGCCCTTTATGTATATTCATTTTTGTCGAATTATTGTTACTATATTAATTGATAGTTCCGTAATTGAGTTTGAGTGGGAAAATTGCCTTATTCAAAGTTATAGATAAGATTTCCAGTCTAATACAAAAACAGATATACCTTTACTTATAACAGTAATTTGAAAACAGTTTTTATTTAAGCAGGAATGTTATGAGTAAAGAAAGTGTAAATTTCTATTCGCGTCGAAAGTTTATCTCGCACGTGTTCGTTATTTTTAATTTTCATCAAAGATTAAAAATGACGTAATAGATAAAAATTATTATTATTATACATACTTTATTGTACACCACAAAGAATTTAATACAATTAGTATAAAGTAAGTCTTTAAAGCAATATACAATAAGGCGGTCATATCGCTAAAAAGCGACCTCTGCCACATAACCTTAGGACGAGGAAAAATAAACTAATGAATAGTGGGAGGTGTGCGCTTAAACTTACCTAATAATACCAAAATAGACTAAAATATCATAAACATAAATAATTGAATTGATTGGAATGTACTTTATTGAACACAAGGAAATTCAGAGATCATTCTGGTCAATTCAGAGAGTTAAACCATCCTTTTGGTGACTAAAATGAAATTTGAAAAGCCATTTGAAAGCTGACTAGTTGACATCTACGGTGATAAGTGTTTCAGAAACCGGGGGTTAGTCTTCTCTTTGCATGACTTTATTGTTTTACGCTGTATTTCGTTTTCTTTATTCATAATTTAGGAGAGGACAAGGTTTGTGGTAAGCTGTGTGTGGTAGCGAAATTAGCGGCTCGTGGATAGAGTTAAATTATTGGTCAAATAAGAAAAAAAGATTTTATTGGGCCCTAATCAAGATGTAATTTTATCTAATATGTAATCAATGATGTACTACTGTAACCGATCTTACATGGGATAGAAAAAGTGTAGTTTTTTTAATTGTAGTATAGTACATGCAGTTTATTTCGATGTGATGAGCATTGTTTATAGACAATTTTTAGAAAGTTACTTTATTTTAAGACAAGATCAAATAAAAATGTACAAAAATTTTATAGCTATAAATTTTCTGCAATAAAACAATTCCTAATCAGTCCTTTTATTTTTTAAATTTTTTTAAAATGTTAAGAATTTTTACAATAAAGGGAATAACGAATTAATTAATAATTACTTTATAATATAGATACGGGAAAAATAACATTTATTTTTGTGTTTTAATTTGTACGTAAACTGTTCTCTTAGTGGAGGATAATAGCTTTTTAAATTGACTTATATGTCAAAATATATTTCTTATCTTCCCTCGTTAGCGTAAACGATAGAAGAGTATTATGGAACTTTCGACTTAATAACAATTACCTAAAATGAAACGGTTAGACTGCATTTTTCATTGTAATGTATATTTGGTCATTATTTCGTTTAATCTTCCATAAAACCTTTCAATTTTCGTTTAACGGTGACAATAATAGGGAAATATCGAAGTCCAAATTTAATTTGCGTTTCATAAAATGCATTAAACTTATGCTTAATGAGCTCTTTCCTACAGAGGAATTATTGATAATAAAAATTTCAATACACGGAAAATAAATAAAAATACACATACAAATAAAAATACAGTTCACTTATCCAGTTCATTACATATTTAATAGACCTAGATTACTGTACATGTAACCTGGACCTAGATATAGCATGCTTCAGCCCTATCGTCCCGGGCTTATAGAATAGGGCTAAGGTATCCCCTGCCTGTCGTAAAAGGCGATTAAAAGGGAACACTTCTCCGAGGCGTGCTCAGGCGTAGTACCGAGGGACACCGGTGCGTTCCATGGGAGATCCCGGAGTCCCTCCAAATGTACAGAAGGCGGCCACCGAGGGGGTTTTAGTGGGTAAGAACCCCACATAACCCTGTCATATAAAGTGACAGGGTATCTTTTGAAGATTTCCCCTCCGATACCAAAAAAAAGATATAGCATGCTTTGGAGCCCGAATACATTTTCTAATTCCCCTTCGGCAATCATTCAAAAATCATAAAAAAAATCATATCAAAAAAAAAGAAAACATTAGTTTTAATTTTTACTTACCTCATCAGACGAATGATTCACTGTCTATATAATTGAAAGGTTCAAACAAAAATAATTTAATTTTCGCTATACTGCTTTGTAGGTATTTATAAGTGCACTGACGCAGCCGTCCGAGTCTCGAAGTGCGGGCGGACTGAAAACCGGTGTCGGGATAAGAACGAATCTTAGTTACTGTATCTCTTTTACCGAGTCCCGTCCATTTCACGGTCTTATGCTGCTACACAGACCTTCACTTATTGTTATTATTTTTTTTTTTTTTTTTTTGTTATGTTTACATTTATTTTAAGTTTTTCTAATATTATTATACGTAATGTGTAGTTACATTATTATTTTTAAGTGTACTATGTATCTATTGTGCTTAGACCATTCTTCTTCTTCATTCGGGTAAGGCCGCGGTTAAAAGTTTTTGTATACAGCGTGTCGTTACAACCGCAACAATAAATGAACACACGTCTAACGCTACTTGCCAATAATCATGAAAAAATGTAAACGTTTACAAAAATCCATAATTAAAAAAATATTTTGCAAACTAATTAAATAAAAAAGAAACAAAATTTGTAACACCTATACAACTACAACTGATTGATTTCAGAGACTTTTTCATTCTTTGCCACAGCGACTCATTACAAATCTATCTTTCTAACAGAATGTTTTATCTCTTTTAAATTCATTCAACCCATTCATATGCTTTGTGACCTGTACAAATGAACTTTACGTTACAGTCTTTTTACGTAAGGGTGTTCCAAAATTGTTTGTTTTGGAAAATTTAATAACTCTGTAAATATTGATGTTTAAAGAATGTAAATGTTTAATACAAATTTTAGAAAGTTATCCTCTATATGTGTGCTCATTTATTGTCGCGGCTGTAAGGACACGCTGCAAATTCACATCGGTAATTCCCGTAGATATCGAGACGATGCCGGGCCGGAAGCACGCCTGCCTCGTGTTCCACGGCTACACGTACAAGCGCTACCAGATCCTGGCGAACGGCCAGGTCAAGTGGCGCTGCTCCAAGTGGCACTCCGGCTGCAGGGTCTCCGTGAAGACGAACACTGAGGACCCCAGGGCCGGGATAGTGCTCATCGAGAACCTGCACAACCACGAGAGGCCCAGGCTGATAAGGAACAGCGACGGCTTCCTGGAGAAGGCGTAGATGAATCCGTGCGCTTGGCGAGCCCCGAAGCGCTATATTGATGAATTCAAAACGTACCGTTGCAGAAATTTGAATTTTTTATAGCGCTAATCTCTGCACTTGAGATTAAACATTAAAATTTGTTGAGAAAGTGCGGAAAGTACGTAACGCACGAAATTGTTTGTATGCTGGAAAGGATATAACAATAGATGCGCCAAGCATTGCTTGAAATGCTAAAAAACAATGTAGATAAGGGTGGCAATCAGACGTTTAGCTTAGTGGCTAAAGCGTCAGGCCGCGAATGCGAAAGACGTGGTTTCGATTCCCACAGCGGCGAGAATCTTTTCGTACTTTTTCTACAAATTTTAACATACTGTTGCAGGTCAAATAGAAGCGCCGTTTGAGGATTTTATTTCCATTTCCACTTTGAATACCAATGGCTTGAGATACTGTTTTAACCTCCATAAAGCACAGATGTTATATAAAGTAGACATTAAGAGCACGTTTGAAGTAATAATTAATAGCAGAGATATAAATTTGGTTAATTGAAATAATTTTAAGTTGTTCCTAAAATCTGTATTTTGACTATTATTCGATCGTAGGATTGGCCTCATAAAATTATGTTTTACTAATTATTATAAGTCAATATTGCAGGAATCAATTTTGATATCTCTTACTTGAGTTGTTAAACAGTGGAGATTCTACATTTTATGCTAATTTGAATGAATTTTGTTAAACCCTGTAGTTAAACAATTGAAGCAATAATGTAAGAACTAAAAACCTACCTGAGATTGGTCAAATATATTTAGAGTTACTTATATTTGAAATTCACTTTGCCACTGTTATCTCAATTATGTGTATCTAACAATTAAGTAAGAATAAATATATTTTATAACGTTTGTACAATCTTTATACTTTTCTAATTTCGCTGTTGTCTCCTGGTCCCTCTTAAATCGTCTCAAATGTATAAACCAACTCATATCTTTCCAGAAATCGAATACGTATCGATAGGAAGGAAATATCCTTTGATGGTTTGCAATGGCTACGTCTACAAACGCGTAAGGATCAACAACACGGGGAAGACCTTCTGGAGGTGCTCGATGATCCACAAAGGCTGTATGGCGTACTGTTTGGTCGACAGCGACGAGATCATACTGAGGAACAGCCACAGCCACGCCGCACCAAAGTTCAGGACGCAATCGGGCCGATGGATCATGCCATAGGTCGTCAAGAATCCAATGCGTTAATTTCGATCGCCTATGGCCTTTCTTCTTTTTGTTATTTCAATGGTTTTTAGTTTAAAAAAGGAACATACGATTATTTTAAAGTGTTACTTTATTATAAATAAATAAATAAAAAAATTATATTATCGTTTCAAATTATTATCGCAAAGATTTTTGTGCCCGGCTTGTAACAAACTTTGTGAATCGTGCATAGCAATAACTATCGTCGTGTACCCTGAAAGGTTTATTATAAACGAATGAAACTTGTACAACGCTCCTGCACTGTTCACTGCGGAGAGATTTGTACAAATGAGCGCAATTGAGTGTAATTAAAATACAATTGGTGTGAAAATAGTAATTCCCATTTGGTCCGCAGTCCACCTGCTGCCGTCGGGCAGAGGCAAACACCCGCTGCTGATGTTCAACAAGTACACATTCAGGAGACAGTACGCGCTGACAACGGGCGCGCTGTTGTGGTACTGCTCCAACCGTCACAGCGGCTGCAAGGCTTTCATGCACAGCGTGGACAGTGCCTACACTTACGGCGACAAAGAACACAACCACCCCCCGCCCCACTATGTGAGGCATGACGACGGCACATGGATTAAGATCGGCGGCCGTTGAGCCATTCGTTTCGAAGTTGCTTTATATGCAACTAGTGACCCGCCCAGGCTTGGCACGGGGGCAATACATATAAACCTTCCTCTTAAATCACTCTATTTAGTTAAAAAAACGCATCAAGATCAGTTGCGTAGTTTTAAATACAGCATACTTACATAGGGACAGACAGACAACAGGACGACTTTGTTTTATACTATGTATTGGAAAGGCGGCAAGCGATGGCGAAAGGCGGGGCACCTAATGTTTAATGATAACTGCCCGGTTATCTGTGTGTATTTGCGGATATATGTCGGTATCTGTTATTAAAAGTGTGGGTTCCGATTACCTCACTCACCAGAAGAAACGCAAGAGTATAAAACTTCCATTTCACTTCGGGCTACTGTAAAGCCACCACCCGCAACACCGACACCCGCGCAACACAAAATGCTGGATTGGAATATTGCTTTCTTTTAAACGTTTCGAGATTTCCATTTTAGAAGTTTTAGTTTAGTTTACTTTAACCGCACCTATTGGATATATCCGTCATAGGTCTTTCTTTATTATCTACTCTAGTTAAGAAATATATAATCAAATAATTTGTTTCGTTTTATTTTCCGCTCACAACAAACATTCCGAAAACTCTCTAAGTAACAGCATAATAAGAGTTCCTTATTAGTAAACTTTATTCCATATGAAGGAAGAGTTACATTATCGCATATTAGCATTACTTGAAATCCAAAAAAATACAATGTAGATAAAAGACAAGCAGCCGTTTAGCTTCTCAGTTAAAGCCTCTGGGCGTGAATCCGAAAGACGTGGCTCCCGGAGCCACGAAAAAACTTTTATTCTCGTGGTCCTTTTTACTTCAAACTTTAATAATATTATTGTACAATTATTCAAATTTAGGGATTCATTTAAGAACTGCTGTATTCTATATTAAATTTTATCAATTAACAATTGACTCTAGTAGCAGTAGTAGATTGATTTAAGTAGTAGTTTTAATTAGACTAATTTATCAAACATTTGATAAATTAGTCAATTGAACTACTACTAAATACCAAACGCTGACGTAAAACTGAAATTTTCTCGCATGTTTAGTATGAAACGCAAATTTTAGCGGCGCCTGAGCGAAGTAGGCTCAGTGAATTAAATACTACCATCAAGTGCAAAACTTCTGAAATTCAGAAACGTACACGATTCCTTTTTCGCACTATATAGAGGGAAAATTGAAATGATCACTAAGAATAAATAAGATCATCGTTCACGTTCGCAGCCTTCTTTGTGCCCAGCAAGCGCAAAAACTCACTGCTGATGTTCGAGCAGTACACATTCAGAAAGAAGAACAAGCTGGCTTCGGGCTGGATATTGTGGTACTGCTCCGACCGCCATAACGGCTGCAACGCTAAACTCCACAGCTGTGAGGACGCCTACTCCTTCGGCGATGACGAGCACAACCACCCCCCGCCCCGGTACGAGAAGCGTGAGGGCATCTGGATTAAGATGAAAGCTACGAAATAGGTATCGTATAGACAGAAGTTACGAATAACTTATAGTGTGAACATATTGTAATGCATTTCATTAGAATGCTCAACTCCACAGCTGTGAAGACGCCTACTACTTCGACGATGACGAGTACAACCACCCCCAGTACGAGAAGCGTGAGGGCATCTGGATTAAGATGAAAGCTACAAAATATGTATCATATAGACCGAAGTTACGAATAACTTATAGTGTGAACATATTGTAATGCATTTAATCCACTTTACCTCCCAGGTTAGTGTAACGATGTTGATATTTGTATTCATCGTACTTTTTTCTTTGTGTCCGTTTTTGTTAAGGTTAAATTTACAAATTAATTATCGTACCTATAGACCGAAATTACGAATTGGTTATCATGTAAGCATATTATGATACATTAAATTCGTTCCTGATGATGATGTTGATATGCATCCGTCATACCTTTTGTTTTACTTCCGTTTTTCTTTTATTTTGTTTCACATTTTGTTTCCTATTTTTAAACATTTCATTTCAAACAATTCTCAACTCCATTCATTAAATAAAAGCATAATAATTTAATTTTAATTCTGTAATGTATTGCTTCATTGCTTTGGTCGTTTTATGGGCGTTTCTCTGTAAACTGGGCAACTCATTGTCCCAGGCTAATTTTGTATAAAAAATGTGTGCGTGTACTAGCGTACACTCGTAAGAAGTGAAACTTTTTTTTGACGTTATTTTTCAAAAAATAATTTACTATATTCAACTTTACAGAAATTGGTTAAATAAAGTTAAATTAGATAAAGTTTTTAAGACATAAATACAAATTCTACAATTATTTCATTTTAGCTTTGTATAATATTTAGTTTCTTATTTGTAATACATAGGTGGCGTTAGTAGTAAATTAAAACACAACTATGGTTTAACCGTTGTAATTAGTATGAGGGTCCGCAAAAATTGTTGATTAAAAAACTTGCAACGTGAACCTTGTTTATTTCAATTAACCTCACGGACCCAAAAAACAACCGCTTTTTGTACATGGTCCTTTGTTGCTGAATAGTCAGCCAGTGAGTAGAAGGCAGACATTCGACTAGCGCGCGAGTGTTGTGAGTGAAGTTTTTTTGGAAATCCGAACTTGCGGACGTTGGATCGACGTCGTAACCGCAAGTTCCAGGAGCCGATCGAGGCTTCGAAGAGCATCATCGGTCAGCTTCAGATTGTGTCTTCGGTGGAAGGCGCAGTCAGGTCACGGTGGGCGGTGCCTACACTCTACTACAAATATTATTATTGAATTTCATTAATTGTAATAGAATTATTACTATCATTGATGTCGTTATTATATATTTGTGTTATTAATGGCTTATGGTAACTGAAATACGAAATATATTGTTTACATTTTAGAATTAGAATTAAAATAAACCCTTTGATTTTGCTGATCACTTTAATATAACATATATATATTGTTATGAACAAACAACGGAACTAACGCCATCTAGCGTCAACTATTAAAACCACTAAAGAATAAAGACGGAATAAAACCCCCTATTCAACACTACATGGCGTTAGAGGAACATTTTAAGATAAGAAAAAGATGGCGCGTAACGCAAAAATGTTACACTAAATTTTTTTCCAACCCCGATAAAGAAGTTTCACTTCAAAAAGTAGAAGATATTAAATATTTCGTTGATAATTCCAAAAATCAATACCTTAATCTACCGCTGCTCAACATTAAAAGTCCATTACAATAAACTTTAATATATTAAAAACAATTTTATAGTTCTTAAAAACAGTCCCCTGACATGTCACCAAAGCAGTTTAGTTACTTAAGACCAAAATAATAGAGGCAGTATCTATTGGCATTAATCGTATTGTTGTATTATTAGATCAATATTGTTTGATTGTTAATGAGACCTATTTATTTTACATAAATATTATTTTAGAATTAAAAAAAAGGCAGTGATACTTTGTCTTCGCATTTAGTGAACAGTCCCCTTGTCTATATTTTAAGTTACGTGTCACGTAGCCGATAGGTTAAACAACGTCTTTTATGCGTGTAACGAAACGCAAAAAGTCTGAAGTTTGCGCGGTTGCCGCCAGGACGACCCGGACGACATCTTATTTAGTGGTATGCGATCGTCCTTCCATGGAAGCCGTGTTGTAACCTGACAACCAACAGTCCTCTGGTAAGGATTATTTTACTTCTATTAATGTGTTATGATGATTCCTTCAAACATTTAAATTCTTACAATATATAAATATTTGCTATGTGCAGCAAAATAGCATAGATCAATTATATTTTGTACTACTCATCAATGAAATCAAATTAAACAGTTCCCTGGCAACAGTCCCCCGTCTCTATACGGGACAGGGTACTGTTTCCGCATCCAGGGAAACTACCACTGTTAAACTAAATTATAATTGTTATTGTTTTAGATTTGTTTTGAGAATGACGCCAAGAAAACGCACTAAAGGAGATATTCTAGAAGCAGAGCGAAAGAGATATGATAAAATTAAAAATTACCCTCATAAAACAGAAGAACGTAGAGAAAAAGAACGAACGAAGAAACCTTAATAAGAAAGAAAAGAGCATTGCACCAAGTATCGCAATAAGAAAAAAGTATTAGCAAATACTCGTAGTACTAACTCTTTTATTAAAGAAAATACTCCAGTTTAAAGTTAGCTACATAAAGTTGCTTTTCAGCAACTTCATCAGAATCTGGAGTATTTTCTTTCTATTTTGTCAAAACTTAATATAAAATATGTGTAAAGTGATTCAGAAACTGAGAATGAGGCTGGACCTAGTTCTGCTGTAGTACAGGCAGTCGAAACTGGAGATTATATTGTTGACAAGTCAAAAGTTAATGTAACAGATGTGTACAATGATTCAGAATTTGAGAATGAGGCTGGACCTAGTTCTGCTATAGTTCAAGCATTCAAAACTGGAGATTATATTGTTGTGGAATTGCTTGGCAAAACAAATATTGAATAATGAACAAATATGTGAGCATAATTGACAAGATTGATGAAGAAGATGGCGAAATCCGGGTTACATTCTTAAAACTCTGTTATAATAAAGTTCAATTATTAAGACACGATGATGATGATGTGGCAGATGTTACAAGGGACCAAGTTGTCCAGAATATTCTACAAGTTTGATTCACCTGTAGATATTTTCGACAAAAAATAAAATAAAACATAGCAAAAATAGGTAAAAGAAAATGTTTTAGAAATAACAAATTTTCTTTTACCTATTTTTGCTATATTTTAGAAATAACAAGTTTTATTTTTCGAGGCTGATTCTATAGTGTAAATTTAAAGTACTGAAAGTCCTTTCAATTGTGATTTTAACAAATTAATAAGTAAATATTAAGATTACATTGTTAAGTACGATATTAAATAAAGTAAATTAAATATTTGTTGATTCTTTAATTTTTAACTGTTCAATTACTAAATTATTGAGCTCCAAAGTTTATAATAATATTAAAAACATTTAATTTCTGTACTAAAATTGTATTTTTTATTTAAGTTCACAGTCCCCTGGCTTCGGCAACAGTCCCCTGAACATGTTTTTCAGAAAATGCTTGATATTTTCTAAAGTAAGTTCGGAATATTCGTGGTTCATCTGCCGTATATTAATAAATAGACGGATACTTGTTCCCTCAATAAAATTTATTATATTATGAGCAAAAAAGTTGCCTCGACAGTTTTCTTAAAAAAGTTGCCCAGTTTACAGAGAAACGCCCTTATATAATAAAATTTTTCGTTTTTTCCTGATCCAGTCATATCTTTTCTTTTGAAACATTTTTATTCTATTTTCTTTATATTTTTTTTATTTTCATTTTCGTACAATAATTGCTATTGAGTGTTAACTACGAGGGGAAGATACTGTATCACAGTTCTAAACTATCACAGACTACAGAGCTTCGAATGATTTTTAGTACTTAACTTATTTGTAACAAATAAACTTATTATTATTATTATTAAATATCAGTCCCTTATTCCATATGAAAAAACAGTTACACTCAAACATTGTTGGAGAACTTTAACTTAACTCTTAAAACTTCTTCAAAAGCAGGTCTCATAGAAAAGCCATATTCCATGTGCTAGATATGGCCGTACACGTTGGCCGTCGACATCCGTACGGACCGTGGCCCTAAAGGCCTTCGACTGTATTAAATGGTGCCTAAGGGAGGTGAGAAACGCCCTACAAATCGGGTGTTCCTTGTTTAGCGTTGAATTGATTTAGCCATGCTAAAAAGTGAAGAAGAACTGATAGGTTACCTGTGGGTATAGTGTTTTCAAACGGGACCCCCGGGGAAGTCAACGTTTCAGTGTGGTAGGGCCACGCAACTGTTGCACGAATGGGCAGGTCCGTCCGCGTAAGTACCACGACCTCACAGAAGACTGGCGTGAAATTGAAGTCATCGGCGTTCCGTTTGGTTAGTGACGCAGCCGGCGGCCACTTTATTAAAAGGTGACAACGCATCTGCAACCGCAACTAGGGATGTTGCAAATGTCCACGGGCGGCGGTAATCACTTACCGCTTGCTACCTACTCACAAAAAAACAACGTTTGTAAACGGTTGCGTTTAGTTTGGTAATTCGGTACGTTTACCACTAGAGCCGAAAACCATACCAACGGTTTTCGGATGCAGTTATTTTGAATTACCTGAAGTTTATGTAGTAGTTTGTGGAGCTTACCTTAGTTAGTAAAGGACATACAAGCGTAGGACATAGAGTCGTTCGCAAGCCTTGTTTAACAAAGTCTGTGCATTGAAGGTATTTTACTGGCGGCGTCAGACAACTCACGTGAGTTTGTAACGTGAGCGAACGCCATTCTTGAGTCGAATGTGGCTCCTAGGTAAACCCACGAGTAAAACCGGTCAAGTATGAACTTTTTTGCCAATGGGATCGATTGGCCGATACTATGATTTGCCCTAGCTTCCTGCGCTGGTGAGCTCGGGTCATTGAGAGTTTAGTGTCGGCTACGTGAAACGTACGGCTACAAAACACGACTGAACTGTATTGCACTGTCGTGCTTACACTCTTTATTGGTGTTGAAATCTATTCTTAATTTGCAGAACCAATCACTAACGCGATTGGCGGCGCCTTAGAAGCCAATGGTAATTCGGCCAAGTTATTTATCTAAGTAGTACATGGCTGTGTTTAGGGTTGCCACCTGTACCATAATATGGTACGAAATATACTATATGTTTATTGTTAATTAAATTGTCGTATTTTTTATATTAAATGTTAAGTGGAACATATCCGGAAGAAATTTCAGAAAGAAATTAATGACGTAGTTTTGTTTGTCACAAGCGTCAAGTTTCCTAGTGTCCTATTCTTCACTGGATGCCGCCTGATTCTCGAATGAGTAATAAATGTGTAGGTACTATTTTTCCCCTTAATTTCCTAAAAGTACTTTAGTTACTATATTTTTATAACTTGGAAAAAATAATTCTACATTTGGTTAAAAAAAAGTGGCAACCCTAGCTGTGACATACTGGAATAGCACAAGGTTGCCTTGTGCGTCGCTTGGGATATCGCTCGTGCAGAGCGAAAATAGCTAAGGGGAGAGGAAGAGTGTCTCGTGGAGAGAGCCCTCTAATCAATAACGAAAGAGCGATTCTACAGAAGATCACGGATGGTTTTAACGAGCCCGTCTGGCTTATTGAATGCGAACGATTTGTAAAGCAAGCCGTTGTGCCAGACTCTGCCGAATGGCTTTGCGACATCGAGGAATAGAGTTCTCGTACTAATTTGTTGCGAATTGTCGAGACCTCTCAGGACGTGCTCCGTCAAGAGGTATATAGTACAAGACAGGAGTGTGTGAATTTATTTGTTAAAGAAAGGTTATACGAAGGATGACATAATAAAAAGCAGTTCGCTGTTTCACTTTTAAAATAAACAAAAATGTACAGTACTGTGTAACACCTAACATTTGCAAATTAAATGACATCATATAAGCGCTATTACAAATTTAAATAGTATTATTGAAAAAGTATTGAAATTAAGGAATTATCGATTACTAGCTGTTACCCGCGGCTTCGCCTGCGTGGTAAAAGTAAACAAAATGCCTGCAATTTATCCTTTACGGGGTCTACCGTTGTGTGTTAACATTAATCGATAACAATTTATTAATTGGATGGACGTTCGCAGCCTATTTTCTGCCTGGGAAACGGAGGCACCCGCTGCTGGTGTACAAAAACTACTCATTCAGGAAGGCGTCAAAGCTTACTTCTGGCTGGACACTGTGGTACTGTTCTAACCGACACAACGGCTGCAGGGCTAACCTCCACAGCTGTGACGATAGTTACTCCTTCGGCGACGAAGAGCACAATCACGCCGCACCTCAATACGAGAGGTGTGCAGACGGCACGTGGTTTAGGTATTAGAACAATCGAACTTAAATTACTAATCACTTATTGTTTAGACAAAATATGATACATGAAATATCGAACTTCTTCACCCCCTTTTACCCCGACCGTTTGGGCCTTTCGTTTCAAATGTTTCGCCTAACCCAACAGGTAGTAATTATGGCTTCTTTGTTTTATAAATACATAATCATATAGTATTATGTTTCTTTGTATTAGTCACTCTCAAAAAACATTCATTACAATTCCATACATCCCTTCTTTATGTGACAACATAATAACAGTTTAGAAAAAAAGTCAAGAGCGGCAATGCCGTTGTATTCAAACCCGGAAAGGCTCATTGGTGACCGTGATTTGGTTAAAATAAATCTTACTAACCTCGAGCACAGCCAGACTCCGTTTTCTACAGGATGCATTTTTGAGAGTGTGCGTTGGAGTTGCACGATTTGATTCCTCCCACCTTTCCATCATCGGTCAATTAGATGTTCGGCGGGGTTCCACCCTTTTGCTGTCAACGTTCCACGAAGCGATTCGCATTTACGCGATAGTCATTTATCATCCGTACGACTAAGGAATGGAACAAACTGCCGGCGTCGGTCTTCCCATCCGATTATAACGTAGGCGTCTTTAAGGCAAGAGTTTTACTGAGCTAGCGCGCTTACCATCCACGGCTGCATCGCCACTTACCATCAGGTGGAATGGTAGTTAAGTGCTAGTCAGTTCCATATATAAAAAGAATAGTTTTAGGGAGAAACAAATACACTTTTATTTTTTCACTATCCAAATATATTGAATTGTTAAACATAGGTTACATAATAAAGGATGACATACATAAAATGAATTCGCTTTATTTTTACCCTTTGGGAGTTATCACTTAAAAATTACAATTTAAATGACGTTACCTATTAAATACTAATACAAATTTTATAATAATCTTTCTTGCATTTTCTTGAAATAAGTATTACAATCAATGTAAAAGAAACCCGCATAAGGTCATCCATTGAAACCATTCCAGCGTTCATGGTCACGGGACAGGCCGAACCGACTGACCACGAACGCTGCAAAGGGTTCAAACGTCGGCAATTAAAAATCAAAATGAAAATGCGATATGCTGCGTAAAATAGTTTCATTTAAACCCGTCGCAAGGAAAATGTGAACCTCTTATCAGGTCAACGTCAATCTCTGAAACGCCCTCGAATCGGATTCCCCTCACGGCCGCTTTCCATTGCAGTGCACTTGCTGCCCACGCACGCCGGCAAGCACCCGCTCCTGATGTTCGACGGCTACACGTTCAAGCGGCAGACGCAGTTCGCCTCCGGCAAGGTGCTCTGGTACTGCTCGAACCGCCGCAACGGCTGCAAGGCCTGCGTGAACAGCGTGGGCGACGAGTACACGTTGCGCTGCGCCGAGCACAACCACCCGCCGCCTCGCTACATGCGCGGCTCCGACGGCTCTTGGATCAAGATCAACTGGGTGGAGCGATAGGACGGCGATGGTGATTTTGTAGATAAATAAAGGCTGCGGGGCTTAAACCTGGGTCTTCACTTGTCTTGGCTAACGACCGCACAACGCGAAAATCTCGATGTCTATCTACGTCCGTTATTGCATTTATACCAATGCGCTACACCATCTAGTGTGCGTACTTTACAGTCTTCTTCTTCTACTAACTGGTATTAATCCCGGCTATTCCCAGGGTCTACATTCCTATTTAATCTCCGCCGCTTTGCCCGCTTCGACATCCTCAGGGGTCGGGCCATTGGCTCTCAAGGCCTGCTTCACGACGTTCAGCCAAAAATTCCTTGGGCGTCCAAGAGGTCTAGCTCCACGGACAGGAATATCAAGACATACTTATACTTAGAGTGCATACTTTACAGTATGAAACATTTAATTGAGAATTCGTAACAAGATGTCGCCTCTGCTCTTAAAGTTTTTATGAACAATATTTACTTATACAATCTTTTTGTTTTGAGTGCAGATGCTAGCACAAAAAATATTAATCACGAAATGTTCACAAAGTTTTCTTTGGCGTTGGAGCGATGCGGGCTAGTTTCTCCTATATCCAGATAGTACACTTGTATACTAATTGACTATGTTATGTGACTCGTTGAAGCAATGCTCGCAGAAAGACCGGTTACAGCGGTTGCGGACTGGTCTGGTCTTCTTCACCCTTTTCCTGGCTTCTTTGCTCGACAGCGTACGCCTTAAGTTTCTGTAGCACTGGGCGCAATTCTTCTTTCTTTTGGCGCCCCAAATGTTGAGTACTTGGTCCGGTTTGGTCTTCCCTGAGCCTTCCATGAAAAAATATTCTGAATAATCTGTATATTTGTATCATGTATGATAACTTTATTGTAGAATACCTATATTCAATGGTGTAAATAATTGTTAATTCTTACTATGTTACCAAAATGTATATAATATACGTATCAAATGTGAATAAATATTATTTTTTTTATTTATCTTCTTTGATAATTAAATCTATTTCTTTGGCTCCTATAAACTCAAAATCGCTGCCCGAAAATAATGGAAAATTTATTCAAAAACGCAGCATTACCAACCATTTTTAAAATCTTAATTCAGAACGCTAATTTATTGTTTAACACGCTCACTGCGTAACAGGCCGATATCGGCCTGCCGCGGTAATTGAGCTGGTGCGGACGAAGAAAACTATGTCCCTCTCGCTTGTGCGTAACGATTATCTCAGGTGTTTGTAAAAATTCGACAGAGATAAATATATATTTCTTGTGTTCTCCCAATCAAAACATAACGGCAGGCTTTTATTGACCTACCACGCACTGACGGTGAAAAACATTCGCTGAGTGCAGCAGTGGGCCTATTTCGGCCCGCCCTCCCAACAGGCAGCTGGCGACCCGATACCGCACCGAGCACGCCCCCCGCTTAGTGTTGTGCTATCTAACTGATCTGATAGCGTAGCGTTCGATATAATCAACGATGACAATCAATAAAAGAAAAATACAAATTTTGAAAAATAGAGCAATTCCCCTGCAGTTATTGACAGTGATAGTGACAGCAGTGAAGAAATATTTTCCACTAAGAAAAATAAAAAGAATTTGGAAACAAATGTGCACGGAAAACGAAGCACAAGCGGTTAGTTTTGTTTACTACCTCCACATATCAACATATCTGCCTTAGACTCTTGTCTCTTGGGGGTATTTTTAGACGTATAGGGTTTGGTGCTTTGATACGTAGATATTTAAAAAAAAATAAAAAAATATCTTTGATTTATTATTTTACAGTACCAAACATTTATTTAGATGTAGAGCATAACTCATTAATTATTAACAGCCTCAATTTATTTTGTTCGCTTTGAAAATTTGAAACTTTCGTCCAAACAAATACTTAATGACGAAGCAGAGAGAGAGAGAGAGGAAGAAACAGAAAATTTTGAGGTAGAAGATGTAGAAGAAGAGAGAGAGGAAGAAACGGAAAATACTGAGGAGGAAGATGAAGAGGAGGAAAGTGGTGACACTGAAACGTGACACGGAAAGTGGTGTGGTGGCGATGATGAGAGTGATGAATACTCTGCAAGTGAAGTTGTATCGGATATATATAGTTGGGCCTCCCATACAAAATTGCCGACCAGCTGATTGATTTAGTAGATAAAATTATTTTTTCATATTTCGGCTTATGTTTATTGGGGAAAGTTGTTCAGTTTAATGATTAGAACACGCCCTTAAAATATTTTCACTTAATTTAAAATTACCTTATACACCGTTTAACGGAAGGGGGATATTAACCCTGAATGAGGTGAATATGCTCATGACCTAAACTCATGACCGAAATGTTGGACCTCCCATAGTAATAGTAAATCAATCAGCTGGTTGTCAACTTTGTAAGGGAGGGCCAATTTTTTTTTCATATTTCGACCTATGTTCTCTGGGGAAAGTTGTTCAGTTTCGCGATATCTGTGGTAAAACTCATAAAATGTTAATAAATTACACGGATTTAAGCAAAAAACGTTCATTTCAGAAAATCAAGTAAAACCTAAGGACACTGTTCTTGAGATGAGCGTTAAACGAAGAAATTGTGCGGGGTGATACGACAGACTGCGGAAAACCTTTAATAGTACCCAAGCAAAAAAAAAAGTTATAGAAATGCAACCAAAACCTCTGCGTAACATGTTTCCAAGACAGGCATAAGTAAATAAAAACATTTTTCAGTTCTTTTACGATAATTCTGTTTTATTTTCGATATCGCCTTATTTTCCTCTGTCCCATCACTACTAAAAATACTTTCCAGTGCGGTTCAGGTCGATATCGGCCTGCCGCTTTTCCTGCTTTATTTCTCATTTCCTGTCTGGCAGATCCCGGGACGAATCAAACCTAAGGATACATTATGTTTCCTGCAAAGGTCAATGGACGGCGGTTATGAATGAACATCGTGTACCGCGAGCACGCTTGCCACATTTTCACATAAATGTTACAATTTATTACAATGAACAAAACTAAGAAAACTACGTGATTCCTCACGACGGGGCCAGCTAATAACCGTGAAAACTTTGCAGTCTTCTACCGGACCTCAATGAGGGGCACTCGCCAACTGGTCGTGAACGGGTACTCTTTCATCTGCCGCAGCTACTGTCTCAACCACGTGAAGAAGAATTGGAAGTGCGCCACACACGCCGACTGCACCGCCAAGGTCCACACCGTGAACGACGACATCGTCATACTGAACAACGACCACAACCATCCCGTCACCTCGATAGAATGGAAGCTCTCGCCTTACGTCAATGTCGATTCTTAACTCTGTTTTATCTCTTAGTTACAAATCGCACTGCTATTTCCGTCAGTTCGAATCTGCCGATTGAGCTGTATGCAGTTATTTGTTTTGTAAATCTGATGTGATCTATTTATGGTGAGAAATTATTTGGTGAATAAAATGTTGTATTTATTTTCATGGTTTACTTACTGGATAGGTTCGGTTACTGGTATTTTTAATATCCTATATAGTGTACAGATGTTCTGACCGATAATTTTAAAGCTGTATCATATGTTACGCATACTCGTATGAGGAATATAAATTTCCGTTCTCTAACATATTTTTTCACCTCTAACAAACTCTTACACAAAAATCTTTACTCGGCATAGACAATACGACATCAATATCGCCAGAAGTAATTTATTTTCTCACATTTGTATTCAAGTTGGCTAAATACATTATTAAACCACTTATTTTACTCGTAATTTAGTCGGTTTAAGAGACCAGGGATTTTTTAATAAAAAATGATATGGAATAGAAAATATTGTTAAAATTTTTGATTAATTCTATTGTGTTTTTCATCGTGTCTCAGAGTTTGATTGATCATATTTTGTCTGCTTTACAGATTCTTTTCTATTTTTCTCTGTATCTCAGAGAGGTGGCGACCTCCTCCATTTCAACGGTTACACGTTCAATAAGCGCAACCGTTGCGCCGGTGAGAAGACCACGTGGTGCTGCACCAACTACTACACCGCAGCACCATGCCCCGTCAAGATGAAAACCCTGGGCCTCACCTCTAAGATCCTCGAAATCAAAGGAGAGCACAACCATTAACCTCCTTGGTAATGAGGCCCTAATATGTATATCATGTGACATCTGTTTTGCCTCGACATCTTCATAATCAAAAAAGTTATTCCACGCGTTTTTTTTTGTTACTGGGCTGTTTACTTATTGGAACGGAGTTACTTATCGCACGTTATCGTTCTTTTTTCTTGAGGGCTGAGGGCCTAGACACCAAAAACCGACACCTTTTTGCAGTGATTTTTGAGGGACTTCCCGATCACCTAGGAAATACTTTATTTCAACGTGTTCACCTCGCTGACGATTTTGAGAATATATCAAAAATGTTTATAATTTTGAAGTTTAAACACCCTTTTTTATCAAAATAAATAAATACAAATAATCACTATAAATATAATAATTATGAAGTGGCTTCTGCATTAGTCTTAGATTTCGGGAGAAATAACTTTAGAAACGTAACTGATACCGAAAAAACTATATATTACTTTTGTAATATATATATATTCCCATATTTATTCTCATTCTTGAGATGTTATAACTTGCATCCCTTGCTGCACCTACCATCTCTTTCCATATCCTGGTTGACTGGTAAAGAACGCTTGGGATACGAATATATCTTAAGCGAGTTTTTGTTTATTTTGTCCAGATGTTATTCCAATTATGGCTGTGATAAAAAAAATTTGTCACGTTGTAAATAATTACAAAATAAAGTACCATGTTTATACTGTGTTACTTAATATAAAAAACTTGAAAAGAACAAGTTCAGTCAATTCTAGAATAACCTTCGCGAACCTATCGCGGAGGTTTTTTTTTATCAAAAAAAATAATAATCTTTATTTAAATTACAAAGTTTTTACATTACAAAAATTACTACCACATTTTGTTATAAATAACATATTGAAAATTGAACAGTGATCTGAACGGTTCTGACCTAAGTAGGTCATTACATGATCTGTATTTAGGAGACTTAGTTCCATTCCCCCAGTTTGGTGAACATACGTACTCACATCGTAAGGTACTGAAGTGAAGTGTGTGCTCAAAGTGGTATGTACGTGTGTGTGTGTGTGCGTGTGCGTGTGGCTGCGTTAACCATCAGATTTATGCCAATTTACTTATCATGTTTATGCATACATTTTTTTTTATTTTTTCTTTTATTTAATTGCCCTTAAAAATTCTTCGGTGTCATGATATGTTTGGTTTAAAAGAAAAGAGCTAATAGTAACTTTGCAGTTATAGTAAGATAGGTTATGTACCAGAATATTTGCGTTAATTTTATTATATAGGAAAGGTCCAAGTAAGTATTTGAAAATAAGAACAATTATTATTAGTGAAATTGAAAAATAAAATACTACTATACGTGTTGTACAAAAATAAACTGTAAATAATGTTGGTGAATAAATTTTTATTGTTTATTATTCTTATTATTTAATACTTCTTTCCTTCTATAAGCTTCTTGTGTTCTTTAAAATAAATTAGGTAACAATATTCTTTTAATTACTTTTAATTCATGCGTACATCATGGCGTACATGCGCAAAGTCAATCAACACGTGTGCTCTAATTTATTTTGAGTGGACAGCATTGGCTGTCAACCCTAAAGCTGTCGAGAGTAGACACGGTAAAGAACACTGAACAACCGATGTGTAATTCCTCTTTTTTGTTCTTCGCTTATATCTCGATGGACGTTATTCCAGGTCACTTCGTGACGTCGTCGAAAGGTGGCAGCCTTATCTTAGTCGGTGGGCACACGTTCCACTGTTCGTATGAGCGTATGGGCCGAAGCTATTGGCGCTGCTCGAGACGGATGCGGACATCTTGCAAATGCGCAGTGCGTATTGTGAACGGTCACATAACCGTGACGGGCACGCACAGCCATTAGTGGACGGTCTCCGCAGTGTTTGTGTTCCGAGTTCTTCAGATTTGCAGAGGTGCGAAGGATAGCGCTGGTCTATTTCTGATCATTCCCCACTTGAGAAATAAAGGGAATTATTTTGTGAATTGTGCCTTGTTTCCTTCGATTCGTCATCATCAATACAAAAAATATATAGTTGGTAACGTGATTAAACGAATCATTTAATCATCATATCGTTGATTTACGTTATATAGAAGTGTGTCTACAAAAAAAAAATCTAAAGGATCGCTTTAGTGTACTCTTAGACTAAAACCACTGGTACAGCTGGTATAGTGCATCTTATTTTACAGGCGAAGGTGATGGATGCCTGCATTTGGTGATAGCGTCAGTGACTTCTGAAGCGCTCGTGCAAAACGAGTCCGATGACGATGTCATCGAAGTAGTTAGGGATGAGGCACCGATCGAAATATTATCGGACGGCGAAGAGATGGAAGCTGAGAAATCTAAAGTGAACGTTACACATGAGTTCCATTTTGCAGACCTGGCAGGTGCGGAGAATATGCAAGATACAAACGAGTGTACTAACCTGGATCCTCTTACGAACAGTTCCATTGATGAAGACCGCCCTGTAAACGTTACAGAATGTAATGAAACGACCACCCCTGCTCCAGAGTCATTCAAAGACAACGCCGTGGGTGACCAGGAGAGTGTAGGTTGCAAAAGCGGCGATACATTTATAAACGTAACTGACACCTTGTTGAATGTTGAAACCGAGGAGATAGTTGGAAAAGAATTAACGTCCATAACGCCACTAACTGAACCGAACAACTTTGAGGATGTCAATATTCCTACAGAGACGGAAGATGACACAAATACAAGCGAACCGAAAACTTAAATAGAAACATCTTTAAGCGATAGGTACTGATTAATTTAAAATATATTTTGCGATAAATATTAACATTTTAAATACAGTCAGCGGCTTCAAATTCCTATTCTAAGCGATCCTAAGAGTCATAATTTTCAAGTAAGAGATAATTTGATTTTTGTTCAATATGTTAATTAATATTCCTGTGTTTGAAAAATAAATATTAATATTTTGATGAAGTTTGTCTTTAAATAATAGGCGCTAATTTGGTGTCAATTTTTTGTACATTTTGAGATTTTTCAGGGTATACTCACATTGAAGGCGTGAACTGTGTATTAACTAAGAGTAAACGCGGCACCAGTATTCTGGTCCACGGAATGTACAAATACAGGCAGGATTATTCCCACGGCTCAAGGGTGTCCTAGAGGTGTGTGCGTAGGCACAAAAGATGCAAAGCGTCTGTTGTCACAGTAAACAGTGTTGTTATAAAAATCTCAGGAGAACACTGCCACGGGGAGGATTTGGAAATTTATTAACTACTGTATCAAATAACACAGTGTAATAAGAATACGTCTTAGATGTTTGGTATCTGATGGAGATTTAAAATTCGGTATACCGATTAACAAATTATATACATATATAAATTGTTTTGAAATATTTTCCTACAACTGTTGCATAATTCTGGTTTTCTTGTAACTATTTAAGAAAATAAAATTTTCTTCGTTTGTCGCATACCACTTCGTATACTATTCTTCTGCCTGTAATTAAGTAATGGTGAGTTCCGACACGAGAATGGAGGTTTCGGAGATGGGCGATCACTCCACGGCGCAATTGCCAAGGCGCAATGTCCTTGCCGTCGGGGGTCGTGGGTTCGATTCCCACACGGTACCACCATTTGTGTGATCCACAGATAATTCTTTCGGATCTGGGCGTTTGTCCGCGCGATAATTATGTCTGTTAAACGTCCTCGCAACACAGGATGATATCATACAGTGAGGGCAATGTATTATCAACAACAAAAACCATATTGGCATCTCAAAAAGGAGTTAACAGTGGCGGAACTCGTCTGGACAACGCCAAACAGCAACTACAAGGGCGCTGCGATTTTAGGTTTAGGCAGCGGCGCGACGCTGGTCGAGAAGGACGGCCGCAGCGTTCTGATGATCGGCGGCAACCGCTTCATGAGGCACTACATCAGCCGGCACGGGCGCACGCGGTGGCGCTGCTGCAGGTCGTTCAACAGGTGCCGCGCCATCGCGATCACCTGGCAGAACAGGATCGTCAAGCTCAACAACCAGCACAACCACTGAGCCATCGGGAGGCCGTTGAACCCTTCGGCGGTTTCTACCTAACACTGTTTATTTATTTATTTATTGGACATACCAACGGTGTACATATTAAAAATAAAATTAGTGATGTAACAATAAATGATGTTCTTATATGTACACCAATGACAGGTGTGTACAACTTTTACAAATAATATGGCACTTACCTTAATTAGAAAATAATTTAAAATTACCATAAATACTTAATAGAAAAAATCTTATTATAAAAAAAAAACAATTATGTTGATTTTTTGTTATTTATTACACGTTTCGTGGTCAACAGACGATAACTTTAGTTGTCTAGTAAAATCTAATCTAGGGCCTAGCGACACTTGACGGTTGCACGAATGGACCGGTCCGTCCGGGGAAGTACCACGACCTTAGAAAAGACCTTCGCGAAGTGTGAGTGTTCTCGTACACTTCTACGTTTCGTGAGATGAGGGCCCGACTTTGTTAAAAGGTGGCAACGTATTTGCAACCCCACGGGTGTTGTTTTAATGTTTAATCTGAAGTGCAAAGATTAGCACAATAAAAAATTTAAAATTTATTTCGCAAGTATTGCAATATACAAAAGTAGGCGTATATAACAATATTGTTTGCATGGAAATGGAATATTGGTCAGTTTTATTTATATCTGAAAAACTCTTAGTGTACAGAACTATTTTAAATTTATATTAAATATTCAGAATAAATAGACTTATTCAAAGGCAATTTTTCTTATGCCAACATATAAATTATAAGTGTAATTTATAAATATGTCATATAAGTATATATAAAAAATCACATTTTTTCGTTTTATTTTCGAAAAATCTACATACCAATATAATGATTATAATTCTTTCAGATTTCTTTCAGTTTTCCTATTCCGAACATTTTGGAATAGATACATTTAATTGAAATGAAAATTATCATTTCAATTGAATGTTAATTTATAGTTTAAGGTATGTGACGTAAAGCGTACGATATAAATTATAAACTATGAACTTTTTATACGTTAAGTATAAATTGAGAGTCCTTACCACTGTAATGGTAATTAACTTCATCTCATTTCTTCCGTTCAATTGCGGAGAAAACTCTACACAACGGTAAATAGATTTTTAATAAATAAATATGGAATAATTCATAGATGGAATCGATTTGTAAGTAACACTTGCAAATTTACTTGTTAATAAATTTTAAATGGAATGGCTTCGTCTTTATAGCCCTCAATAAAAATATACATAAATACTCAACTGACCCGCTACCTTTTCTGTTGTATCAAATGAAATAAGTCTTTTAAAAATAATTGCTTTATTACAAAAAATACATCATTTCTCGAGTAAAATTTAAATCAAGTTACAATTGTTACATACGATTGTAGTTTACACTATATTTATTTATTATTGTTAAAGCTCAATTAAAACGCATCAAATACGTTGAACACTCAAAGGCACGAACATTCCTAATTTTAAACAATTAAATGTACTACTGACCTAATATTAAGGCACTTGATATATTGTGACATTTCGTTGGAATGATTAAAATTTCGCTTGAATCGGTTTCCCAAGAGAATCTTAAATGTTCTTCGACCTTAAATTTTATTCCATAATCTCGAATATATGAATCCTAAATTTTCAATAATAACAAGTTTTGAGCCGTGATAATGAAATGTAAACATTCGTAACAAATCCTAATCTACTTTACATTTAAGATTAATAATAACATAATATGCAGATTTAATCAATCATTACCATCTGATCAGTTTATTTATCTAGTTGTATCGAGTCATTATAACAATATTACTGAGGCATAACCCATATACTAAAGTACATATATTTCTGCGAACGTAGTATCAGAGTTAGTAGAATAAATTGAGTTTTATTTTCCGAATTTGCGTACCAGATACCGGAGACTGACTCGAGCTCTAACTAGACAGTTTAGGAATAAAGTCTCTAAGAGAGACCGCTGCTGCAATAGCATGATTGCTGACGCATTGAAAATCGAAAGAGAGTTATCGCTGAGAGCTGTTGTTCTAGAGACAAAATCTGAAGTATCAATATGCTAAGTCTCTGAGAGAGACCGCTGCTGCAATATTATGATTGCAGACGCATTGAAAATCGGCAGAGAGTTATCGTTGAGAGCGGTTGGTCAATAGAAAATGTCTGAAGTATCAATATGCTAGGAATGGTTGTGCTGCAGATGCGATCTCACGATGACGCTGTTGTGCGTGGTGATGCTCGCCTTGCACCCGAGCTGTATGCGCTTGCAGCAGGTCCAGCGGATCTTCTTCTTGTAGCACTCGTGCTTTATGAACTTGTGGTCGTCCACGTGCACCACCACGTGGCCGCGGTTCGACAGCCCGAAGCGCACTGAAACAACGCCGCGCGTTAGTGGTGGCCGAAAGCGTGAATGTTATTACACAGCAAAACCCTCGTTGATCCAAATTATCGACGCAGTGATGTAAATATTCTGCGGTGCTACACTTGGCCACAGGACGTCTGTATAGTTCTGTTCATTCTATCTCATGTATGCTAGTCTGCATTGCTGAAAAAAATCTTAAACCACTTCAAAAAGCTTTGCAAATTTTAACTTATTTCCACATTTTCTTCAAAAATGACATACATAATATTAAAAAAAAATAAAGCTTTATATATTAAGTTATGTAAATATGAATATGTTATGAAGTTGTTAAGTGTATATTTAAATATGTTATACAGTTATAAAGAATGAATTCACTTGAGTTGTATGCAATATAATCCAAATAATTCTTTTTAGTCACCTTATTCAGTTTTTTATCGTTGTTTCATTAGTCGTGTTTATTTAGTTGTATTAATATTGTCATTTATGAATAAACAAGAATATATCGTTATAAAATTAGAACATTTTCTTCGTGGACCATAGTTTTAGATGCGAGTGGTTTCGTTAATCTTAAGAGACATTCACTTCTAACAAATCTGTAAAAAATTAAATAACTGACACCTAATCGTATTTTATTTCTTAGCCTAACTTCATATTGAGAGTATAGTGCCTCTAGAATGAAACGCCATATCAAAGCAAAATCGACGTTGGACCGCAGACATAACGACTTTGCATTGACTAGACTGTAGCATAAGTTTTAGTGGATTAACATCATATTAAGAGTAACGTGCATGTCGAATGAAACGCCATGTCAAAGCAAAATCGACTTTGGCCCGCAGACATTGCGGCGATTTTGCAGTGACTGGAATGTAGCATGAGTTTTAGCGAAGGGCAATCAGATCGGCATGTATCAGGACTTCAACATGCACCTCTGTTCCAGTGGGTTTGATCGGCGCCGGGATCGACTGCTTCGCGTCGTACTGCCTCAGCAAGCAGGGCAAGATGGGCATCAACGTGGACGGCTACAGGTTCCGTTTCAACGGCTGCGCGAGGAACGGCAAGATACGCTGGCGCTGCTCCAGGGGCCCCTGGTGCAAGGCGGCGCTCCACACCTACCGCGGTAGGATCGTCTACATACAGAGCACGCACAACTGCGGCCCGAGACCGCCGGTGGCCTAAGCGACGGATGAACTCGACGGTATATAGTTTAAGAATTGGCCCTATAGCTTAAAACACAAATTATACTATATTTTGCGCTGCTGTTGTACATAATAATAAATAAACAAGTATAACCCAAAACCTCATCAAAACATCGCGGATTTCACGAGACCATATTTCAGGTTTCACGCGATATTTTTGACAATATGTTATTATTACACCGATTGTAGAACTGGTTTGTGTATTTTTTTTTATTTTTTATAGCCTACAGATATTTGACCGTCTTTGTCGTCAGTAAATTTAGATTGTAAGTGTAATAATTACATTATGTCAGCAAATTTTAGGCATTACAACAAATGTATTGGACTATTGTCTTCACACAGATTTTATCGCTTATCTAGCATTTAATTCTTTCATTTGCCAAATGAAGTCTTGTCAATAGGAGTTTAAGACTGAAATTTGCATATAAGAGAATTGAACGCTAGTAACACCTCTCTCAGAGCGGGCTTAGTATGATAAATGCGATAGTACAAACAAATAGCGAGCCGTTTAAAAATGTATTCTGTATATATATATTTATATTATATTACTCCTATGGTGTACATATAGTGATGTGAACGCAATAACCGGAACAGTACAGGAACGGATGACTCGTGATTTAAAAACATTTTTGAGCTGAATCCTTTATTGTAAACTCACCGTCCTTAAAGTGACAACCCTATTCGATGTATTGAAGATGAAATTGATTTCTAACAACAATATTACCTCATAGATGTATACATTTAAGTAACCTCGTGTCTGTAGATTAACTATAAAATGTAGCTGTGCTCACTTTAGGTATTAAAAGTGTTTTTTTTCTTTTAACTTTTCTTTAGACTCTGCTTACGTTGTTCACACAAAATAATATGTTAGTATAAGTTTTGTAACCTTAAAGATTTCATCCGTCATTTGTTACACAGAGAATACAGTAACTATTTATCTATTGGAAATTGACAATTTGTGGCCAGTTTGTGATTTTTGGATGAGCACAAAACCGAATCTAGGATCAAATACAGGGTCTTTAGAACATTTGTAAGCAATTCATATATTCACTTTATCGAATCGAAGGCGAGCATGATGATTACATGTTATATTTGTACCGTATTTATTTTCTTCGTAGCATTAGATTTTAGAACTAGTTTAAGTTCGGATATTTGTTCTGGATATTTTATAAGCGTGTAATAAGTAAGAAACAAATTCATCTGGCATTCGATCGCTGACTATAAAATGTATCCCGCGATAACAATGTAAATATTAAATACTTTTAAAGCCTTAACGAGATCGAAACGATAGAATACAAATTGCATAACAAAATTCAGATCCTGATGCCCGAAACCTTAATTATTAAGACATTTAATATAATCATATATTATATAATTATGATAAATATTGTGTACTAACATTAACCGCAATAGCTGCATTAACTTAGTTCATGATTGTATCGGGGCAAATTTTCGTCTATAACGGTACGGTAAAATACTCAGTACCATGTAATTAAATATTCTGTTACATATACTTTGCAAAATCAAAAAAGATTGAAATGTTCACTGTCAAACAGTATTAAAAGGAAAACGATTAACTTTAAGAAAAAAAAACTGAAGGCAATATTTATATAAACAATCTATTTATTAAGGACAATAACTTTGCTATAGCAATTATTGAAATGGGAATAAAGCAATTAATATCAGTGCAACATATAAGTCAACACGGTTATAAAACTACTTACTTTTTAAATTGCAATGCTGCCAGCATTGTTATAGTTTGGGCTCAAAAGTTTCTAACAAAATTCATAATTTTTGCACAATTATATTTCAATGTCAGTAATCCGAAAACATATCATTTACGTATTTATTGCTGGCAGGTAAAATTTAAAAATACTAACAAATATTTATGGTTGTGTAAGATATCAAGTTACCTGTCACGTTAGTGATACATGTTGTTTGCCAAATTACTGATAATTGATAGGATTTTATCTTTTGATGTGTAATTTGATGTTTATTAAAGAATAAAACTAGTCATAACTGTTCCAATATGTTTTATTTATTTCGACATCGAAACTATGTCGTTTCAGAGTATAACAATTTCACGCATTTTTTTATACCTGTGAAATTCAACACTAAACCCTATGACATTTAAAATGATGCTGTGACAAATCGTAATAGAGCAAGATACAAGGGGCACGACGTTGTGTTTTCTAAATTTTTATGTACCTTGATAATTACCTGATACCTGGAAATTGGCACATTGATTGGTAGGCATGCAATAGTAGTATATACTAACACTACTCAATCATACACATTCGTTCATCAGAAAATACGTGACATCTGGCGGCTCTGGGATCTTGGACTATAAAAGCTCTTGGCCACTAAAACAATTCGAAAAAATAACATAATATATCGGATCACTAAATGTTAACAATTTTTTTAAACCCCTAATCGGCCTACGAACTATATTTACATGAGCCTTCTTAAAACGAAATAGACAATAGAGCGTTAACTGCTTTAGTCAGAATTTCAATAGCTATATACCTAGCTATTGAGAGTGTAAATGTTAAAAGTTATTAATTACTGTTCATATTTACACTTTAAACAATCCTTTTTTATTTACATTATACATACATATATATAGGAAGGTGAATTAAGAAATTGGGAACAAAATCTAAAGTACTGGAAAAATTGAGAAAAAAAAACATTGAATTGTCTACGTTTATTGATAAATTAAAAAAAAAACATAATACATTATGCGTACCTCCGGAAACATTATACGAAAATTATACAGTTTTCCATCATCCTTATGCGTGTAAAAGAGTACTTAAAAGTTAAAACGAAAAAAAAAAATGTGCAAAATATCCCGAACATGAAACGCGTTGATTAAAAAAATGGTTTATAAGAAGTAACATATGTATAATTGCCTATCACGCCGCATCCGCGACGTTACCCTGAATGTGATGACGTCACATTCAATGGAGAATCCGGGCACTTTTCGAGGATCTAAGGCCTTCCCTGAGCTCGGACCCTCGCTTGTACCCCGGACTGTGATCGGCTCGTCACTGCACCTCGTCGCCTTCGTACTCGGAGCCGGTGATGATCTGGTCGCCAGATATCACGCCGTGCTCGCTCTTCAGGTGCTGCAGTATGCACGCGACGCTCCTCTCCAGCTCCTCGAACTTCATGCATCTGAACTGGCATATCCTGCACGAGTAGAAGTCGTCCTCTGCGCACTCGAACACCTTCCACACCCAGCCGTGGTCGTCTGCGAACATTGCGAGGTCGGTGACGCTTATTACACACTAGCTATCCGCCCGCGGCTTCGCTCGCGTTGAAGCCCTTAAAAATATATCTTTCATCCCTTTCAATTACAACACTTTTTTCCCAATTAAAAAATAGCCTATGTCCATTATTAGGTTCTAGACTATCCTTGTACCAAATTTAATTTAAATCGGTTCAGTAGTTTTTGGTGAAAGCGAGACAGACAAAGTTACTTTCACATATATAATATTAGTATGTATTATTTCGAAACCCGTGGGTCCTGGCTAGCCCGCCGGCTCTGCGTTCGATGAAGCTTTATGCCCGGTTCCTATATTCAACGAACGACCGTTAGTTACATAGCTTCGTAACTTTCATAACGACTTTTAGATTAAAGGAACGCAAGTAACTCACTTTCCGCAGGTAATGCAACGGCTCGTAAGGAAAACGCCTTGTTTTATTTAATATAGGAACCGGGCGGCGTACACGCGTTTTATCTTAAAGTCGTTATGTATGTGTCGTGTGGTATGTGTCGTTGAATATAGGAACCGGGCATTAATAGTCTAAGGACTGAACGCGTAACATCAGTTAAACAAAAAAAAAGGATTTCGAAAAAATATCGATATAAAATATTCAATATCGAAATCGTATCAAAAAGGATGTTTTTTTAAATTCGAATCACGCGCAGAGTACTGAGTGTCAAATATTTAATACATGGCAAACCCTTTTGGACAACAGGGCCTAAAGAGAAAATGTCGATATATAGATATTTTCTCTTCGATATACCTAGTCCGATATTGATATTTTTATAAATATCGATATATTTCTGAACTTACGACATCGCTAGTCTAGACCCGATAGAGAACCTCTGATACGTTGAAGTTTTTTACTTTTTTTTAAATATGCAGATATGAGACAGAGATATATTTGAGATAATATGAGAGCTGTGATAGATCTGTGTCGGCGCTCAGTTCAATATTCTCAGACCCGAATTCAAATCCCGGTGCCGGCACCAACGAAATTGTTAATTTTAAGTGCTGACTTACCACGTGAAGGAAAACATCGTGAGGAAGTCTACATATATTCGAAATAATAACAAACAAAAAAATATTTGGAAGATATGTGAAGCGCGTAGTGAACTAACATACCCTAACACCCTCTGTACAGAGAAAGCCTTTGCCTAGTCCAGACATATATAGGCAGTTACATTATTTTACTTTTTTTATATATTGTACAATAAACACAGGATACGAAAAAAAAATTAAAAATATAAGTAATATAATATACAAAAGGTAAGCTTAACTCAATTCATGCAATTACTTATTTAAAATACCTGTCGGAAAATTTTGAGCGTTTGCCAGCTCTAGTCACTAAGGTAAGCAGTAGATAATATAATGTTATATAATAATCTATTATAATAATCGATAGTCACCATGCGAAAATCTCGACGAAATCTATTTTGCTTTTATTGCGTTCTTAGAATGCATGGTGTGTTTTATCCACACATTTTGAGAATTCGAAAGAAAAATACAATTTAATATCAATAAGACGCCAGTTTTTAGGTTTCCGTACCGAATGGGTAAAACGGGACCCTTTTACTAAGATTTTGATGTCTGTCTATCTGTCCGTCTGTCATCGGGCTGTATCTCAGGAGCCGTGATAGTTAGACAATTGACATTTTCCCATATGGTGTATATATATTGCCGCTTTAACAACAAATGCTAAAAAACAGAATAAAAATATTTATGTGGGGTTTTATACATAATGATCGATATAATCGTACGGAACCTATTCAAAAACCTACGGTGGTAGGGCCAAGCAGCAGCCACGACTGTTGCACGAATGGGCAGGCTCGTCCGGGTAAGTACCACGGCCTCACAGAAGACCGGCGTAAAATGGAAGTATGATAAATACTTTCGCGTTTCGTCTGGTGAGTGAGGTAGCCGGAGCCCAATTTTCAAAAGGTTGTCAACGCATCTGTAACCCTCGGGTGTAGCAGATGTCCATGGGTGGCGTTATTCACTTAACATCAGGTGAACCGTCTGCTCGTTTGGCAACTTTTTACATAAAAAAAAGAAAACATATGCGAAAGGCCTTACCTAAGTGAAAAATTGTCAAGCGAGCAGGCGATTAATCTGATGTAAAATGATTTCCTCCGTCGGTGGATGACTACAACACCCGAGGGCTTGCAGATGCGTTGACGTTTGAATAAAGTGGACCCAGGTTACCTCACTCAACAGACGAAACGCGAAAGTGTTGTACTTGCTTTTCGTAGAGACGAGCCTAACCCTTTGGTTGCACGGATGGCCAGCAGCAGTAGCTGAATTGATCGTTCTGATCATTAAGAAGACCATTCTGATCAATTCAGAGAGTTCATCCATCCTTTAAATAAAATAACATTTTAAAAGCCATTTGACAGCTGATCAGTTAACTTCTACGATGATCAATGTTTCAGAAACCGGGCGTTGAACTAAAAATTTTATTTTTTTGTAATTTTTAGTAAACAGTAATATTGATCGCTTTTACTGGCTATTTTTTACACAAAAAAAAAAACGAAACAAAACTGAAAGTGTACACTAGATGACTACATGTGAATGTAATTAAATGTAATTTTTCTTGTAATTTCCTTTTATTCCGTGTGTGCAATAAAGTATATTGTATTATATTCTATATAAACGTAAAGCTTATTTTGTTTTTATCTGTCCTAACGGTCAGGCACAGACTAATTGCATGTGAGGGTAAGTAACAACCACCCATAAACATCTTCAATACCAGTGGTGTTTTAGGTGAGTCGCCAACCTAATATGGGATTCAGTACCTCATTGGAAATATATTTCATTCTAAACTACCACGGCTGCATACTTTACTCATGGGAGAAGCATAAGGAACAGTCGTGCCGCTCGGCCCTACCTAAGTAAAAGAGCTCAACTGAATGTTCTTGATAACAAAGAAACAAAAAAAGTTTTGTCTTCTTGTAGTTTTAAAGTTTTTTTTTTAATGACAATTGAAGGTTGGTTTCCGTTCAAACGCGCTGCGTGGTTTCCGTTGAAACGCACTGCGCTTAACCTCTGTTTTGTTTACAGTCCTACCTCGGCCGCATTATTTTCATGATATGTATAATAGATGGCGCTGATAGCCCGTTAAGTACAGAAATCTTTTGAAACAAGGCTCGAATAATTAAACTCTTTTCACAAATCTAATGATAACCGTATTATAGTTGAAATTATTTACATGTATTAAATTTGTATTCAAATTTAAAAATATTATATTCAATATATTAATGCGCCTGTGCCTGACAAGCGACTCAAAAGAGCGATAATACCTCCAAGGGCAATAGTGAATTTAATCATTTTCTTTAGTTTACTGAAGTGATTATTTACAGCTATATCTATATACTAAAACAATAAATAATGAATAAATAAAGTACGAAAAGTAAGCGATGTCTCATACATATAACGCTCTTTATTCGATGATATTTTCGCTTTCGGAGTAAGAGTTTGTACGGTTAAGCGTTTACCTGAATTCTGGTAAACACAGACGATTTGTTTACAACGCCATCTATCCACTACATCGTGTACTTACCCCCGGTTTTGTGATGTATCATCTTGAGATGCCTGTTCATGTTGCCGGTGGCGTTGCCGCCGTGGCAGATGTTGCGGTTGCAGAGCTTGCATTGCGCGAGCGTGGCAGAGATGCGGTTGAAGTATGACCATATCCAACTGCGGCGCTGCTTCTGGCTCAACGTCTCTGCAAATATTCAAAATTGTAAACCTCCATAATAAGACATTTGCATTAAATATTGAATGATATATTCACGATTAGTCCCAAGTACTATTTACAATCCTATTGATGTTAATGAACAAATGACACATAAGAAAACTAAACGCCCACCCGCCCACAATTATTGTCCTACATATGTGAGGAGTATGAGGAGTGATTGACTCACAATATATTATTAAAGATAAAAAAATTCAATTGATAAAAATAATTGCATTTATAACTTCATTGAAAAATGCACCATGCACTATTAGATAGTTTAGAAATAAATGATGAAATATGCTGTGTAATATTGGTATATTTCCACAAAAAGGTTAATGTTTAATAAATTAAAGTCTCACCATATGCATCATCATAGTCCTTGTCGCTTACTTTTATATCTTCTGTCTTAATATTGTATGGAGTCTCAATTTCACACCCAATATCATTCTGGTCAGAGTCCTTCTTCCTCTCTATTTCTGATTTGTAAACAGTTGGATGACGCGTTCTTACATGTCGATTCATATTATTTGTATTACAACCCTTTATTGATAGAACAACACTACATAGGTTGCAACGGTATATTATATTGCTTAATTTGTTGAAGTATTTCCACACCCAGCTTCTTCTACGATTTTCAGCTGCTGAAACATTCCAAGAAAAATATTTCTGAGTTATTGTTTTATGAGACTCCGCATGTTTTCTGTATAAGAATACAAAAAATTAATGCAATTTACCATAATCTCGCTTCTTTTTTCTTGGTATTAATACATATTGCATATCAACATTACTCTCATCTTCCTTCTTGGTAACTGATTTGGCTATCTCACCTGTAGTTGCCTCACATACCTCTCCTAGTATGACAGGCTCTGTTTTAGGATCTCCATCATCTTTCAAAACATTCAAATGGAGAAACTCAATATGAAATCCAACATTGGCGTCGGTACTGCTACTATGCAACTCATACACTTCTTTATGGCTCTTTTTGATATGTTCTAATAGTTGTAACAATTTCTTGTCAGTCTTTACTACACCTTCACAAATGTTACATTTATATTCTTGTTCTGTAATTTTAATGAAGTATATGGAAGCCCACTCAGGTAACTGATTATCTGTAATTAAATGATTTGATAGAGAATAAATCTACTCAATTGTTTCTTACCTTATTTCCTAATTACTGACAAAATTTATTAACATAGCATTCTTAATAGTAAACATTAAAAAGGTAATAGTATAACTTAAAAACTTGTACTTGTACTAACTTAATACCTTTGATCATAGGTATTGAAATTAGTGGTAGAAATGAAAATCAGTAATTTATTAATAAAACTTTATTTCAAAAATAAAACATGTAACTTGCTTAAAACTCTTTATTAAACATATCTTATGAGTATTACATTAATAAAACTATAATGTTAAAATTAGTTTAAAATTTATTTGTGGTGCAGACATTGATTTTTAAAAAAATTGAGACAATACACTTTCTAATAACACACAAAGTAATTTTTGTATAGGTGACAAAGGCTCAATTATCAGTAAATTCTTAACTAATGTCTTAGTCTTGTGTATTAGACTTCATTACTCTATTTGTAGCCCCCATAAATTATTCACTACTATTGTATTCAATTTCAGTAATAATTTGTTTAAATTCTTGAACAAACATAGGAGATACATATTGATATCAATGCAAAAAGAAGGCATAAAGAATGTACTTCAATATGTTTAAGTAGTCCTTCTATCTTATTTGCTTTATAAACAAATTCTATAGGTATTATGGGCAATTGACACAGTTCTTAAAGCCCATCAGTAAACATTGGTTTTTTGTGATTGTGGAAATCTCTTACCACCTCGACCCCGCATGCTTGCATATTAATCACCGATATGCAACCAGTTTTCTGCCTGTACGAGCAACACCATTGCTCGGCGCCACACTGCAACCTACTTTTGAACACATAAGTGTAACCTTTGAACAAAATGTGATGTCCCTTTTTCGTAGGCACGCATTGCACTAAATCGTCAGCTGAAATTGTAATATTGTATTAATCTTTCTAAATTACTATATTTGCGTAGAACTTTGTTATAGCTAAGATACTTAAAAACAATTCATTTTACACTTGTTTTTATTATGGTCCAACCTTATTTATAGTCAAATAGAAAATTATTTGCTTCACTACCGGAATAGCGACACGTTTTTAAAAATTGTCAAATAAAACTATTCATTAAGTATAATTTCGTATTAAAATACATAAGTAATGAGAACTTTAAAGGGGAAAAATGAAAATACAATCAACTATGACCGTATGACGCACCAGAACTGTCAGTGTGACGTTTACTTGAAGTTTCGTATCAAAAAAAATAATAGATTATTTATTAATTTACGTATAAACTTGGAAATATCACATTATTTGCTTTCTTTTTTAAAAATGTTATATGTCGTATTTCTTAAATTATATTCTATGATGAAATCCTCATTATCGTGACAAACCTTAACAGAATTTAAACCACGACAATTTTGCTATTAAATTTTGTAATATTTTTTTTTCATATTGCATCAAGCTTAAAAAATTGTAAATTAAATTAATGTGTGTATTTTGTACTTTTAAGCATCCTCTTAACTTAAAAAGCTTTTAGATCCCAGATTTTAAGATAAGTAGTACCACTGAAATTACCATAGATGGCGCTATATATGTCTCGTTTAAAATTGAAAATCTTATTAAATTTTTAAATTTCTTTACATTGGAACTATTTGTTTCGTTTTTAATTTTTATTAAAGTCCATTAATAACTCACTTCATCTTACATTGAATATTGATATATTCAATTAAATTATTATTAAAATAAATATATCGGGCGAAATTTTATACCAACCTCGTAATAGTCCACAATGTAGCTCCGGCTTTCGTGTTGGGCCTCTTAACGTGCTAACCGACTACAATTGCTGTGATTCAGGGATAACGATAGTTACACGACAAAAACAAAGTCAATTATTCACACTAACAAATGACTCAACTCACAAAAACTCGATACTGCGAACATGTGAATGAAATATGGGCATGTTTAACTGTCCACGGGCCCCACAAGCCTTCGCTATTGCACAAATGGGCAGGTCCGCCCGGGGCAGTAACACGACCTCGCAGAAGACCAGCCTGGAGGTGTAGTGTTATACTTCTGCATTTCGTCTGGTGAGCAAGGGCCCACTTTACTAAAAGGTGGTTATAGCAATAAAACGAATATTAGGCCCCACCTATATTACATGTTACGGTGGTAGGGCCACGCAGCAGCCTCGGCTGTTGCAGCAGGCAGGCTCGTCCGGGTAAGTACCACGACCTCACAGAAGACCGGCGTAAAATGAAAGTAATACTTTCGCGTTTCGTCTGGTGAGTGAGGTGGCCCGTGCATAATTTTCAAAAGGTTGTCAACGCATCTGAAATCCTCGGGTGTAGCAGATGTCCATGGGCGGCGGTATTCACTTAACACCAGGTGAACCATCTGCTCGCTTGGCAACTTTTCATATAAAAAAAAATTAAAAGGCAGGAACGCATCTAAAACCCTATGGGTGTTCCAGATGTCCATGGGCGGCGCTTACTACTTAACATCAGGCGAACCACCAGATTGCTTGCCACTATCTCACATAAAGAAACCACGGAGTGCATTACACGCGAATTTAAATAAAACTTAGGTTAATTCGATGTCTTTAGATCGAAGCGCCCTTTAGATTTTCCTTAAAAAATCGCTCCCGAGTTGAAATACCTGTACGTAAGACCGAGTTTTGACGACATAAATCTTTTAGGTTTACATTATTATTTAACTTTGACGTATTTCCCATCACACTGGGGATCAGAACAGGCGGGCTGTGGTTGTGTTCTTCGATGATTTCCAAGACATGTGTACCATTACCTAAGAGCGCTGCTTTACAGCCACCTTTAGTTCTAGAAGAACAATAACATCTCTCGACCGTGGCATTACGATTCATACGATTAGTTTTCCAATATGTAAAGCCATCATATTTCAGGAGTTCTGAACCCCGGATCACTTGTATGTACATCGCTGAAACATTAAAAAGTATGGTTATCGAATATAAATATAATTGCACTTTAGTCTATATAAATGGATATTTTTTTATGTGAAGAGTTGTCAAGCGAGCCCAAGTTACCTGATGTTTACCTGATGTTAAGTGAATACCGCCGCCCACAGACTTCTGCTACACCCTGACGGTTGCAGATACGTTGACAACCTTTTGAAAATTGGGCTCTGGCTACCTCACTCACCAGACGAAACGCGAAAGTTTTATACTTCCACTTTACGCCGGTCTCTGTGAGGTCGTGGTACTTATCCGGACGAACCTGGCCATTCGTGCAACAGCCGAGGCTGCTGCGTGGCCCTACCACAGTTAAATTAATTTTCTTAAAAGTAAAACCAAATTATTAATTAATAAATATTTTATTGTTATCATTGGTAAGCAAACATATTTTATACATTTTTTCCGAGACTGTGCATCAAGAAAACGCAGAAGTTAAAAGGAAACACTGGTAAAATAATACCATTTGAATATTATCCATATTTTAAAAGGTGGCGTGTTGATTCTAATTATCTCATCAAAATATGTGTAATGTGCGCATATTTTAAATAACAAACCACAGTCAAATATGACTATTTATAATTATGACAAGATGTAAGCGACGAGCGGTTTAGTCAAATATGTATATATATTTTCAATAAAGTTGTTAACTATTTGACAAATAACAATTAAGTAATCCAATGAAGCGAGATGTTATTATAACTTTTAATACCCATACAGTAAATGTCTACAGTAATGATTAAATAAGGATTGTTCAATGTATGGAGTAATTATCCAAAGACCCAGGTAAAAGACAAATAATTATCTTGATAATTGTGGCAGCCTCTATGTTAAATACAGCACGACAAAATAAAAAAAAAATGGTAGGAAGGACTCCAATATTATATCACTATTTTTTAATTTTTGTCATCAATTGAGACTACCGCTTGCGGCTATGGATTAGGCTCACCGACCGTTTAGATGGACTTTGTACAGAACAAAGGTTTGTTTGACGCGAAGAAGATAACATAATCCAAGTAACGGGAGAAAAAAGAAATTATTATATCGGCAGTTGATAATGGTCTTCATTAAACGGTGAGCTATTACCTAACTGCTTTATAACTAAAGTTCAATGTGGACATAGCATAATAATTCATAAGCCGGTGCCCGGCATCCCTAGTAGGAGGTATATTTCAAAGGGATGCAACTAGATCTGCCTCCTCAATAGCACCATCAAAGTTGTACACTTTGCGGTGAGTGAGGACACATCATCAGAGATGTTGCATGCGTGCTCCATCAACTGTATGAGCGGACTTCTGCTTAGCTCACTAACCGGACGAAAAGCAAAAGTATAATTACTTTGACTTGCGCCGGTCTTCTGTAAAGGCGTGAAACTTCCTCAGTGGAGCGAAGGAAGTTATTGTAGCTGAACAATAAAGTTTGTGTAGGGTAATTTTTTCCTGGCTGTTTAACGGCATTGGCCTCTACAACAGGTCTTATCGTACCTTGGATAAATTAGTTAAAAAAATAAAAAGGGCACATTACCCGCTGAGCCTTTTTAATGTACTGATGATACTTGCAATGCTTGTTGCATGAGATGCATCAACCAATCATGAAACAATCATCCTAAATAATGACTAGATAGGGCGGACTTATGCCCATTCTTTATGAAGTAATTAAGATATTATCATTAAATTATAAAGAGTCAGGAAATAAACGAAGTCATTAGAGACGACAGAGAAATCAGAAAGTATAACCAAATTAATGTTAGACAGGTTCACTTCAGAAAAAGCAAAAGACGCCGCACGTAAACTGTGAAATTCATCACACTTTTGGCATCATCAGCAGTTTTGAAAAACTTTACTTCATTTGTTTTTTGGAAGGACTGGTGAATGGATATGGGGTTCATAAGAAATAAAATAAATATATGATTTTTAGTTCATAGAGGGCGGGCGTTTGTTAACAATCACGCGTTTGTTTTTTTAATTACGTATTATCTTGTGCTTGACGTCTATCTTGCGTGATGGTAACTAACGTAGTCTCAGGTAGAACACGCATTAGCCCACAGAAGAATTTTTTTTACGTTAGTGTCAACCTACGGTAAAATTGCTATTGTACCTGCTGTTTGGCTTACAACTTGACGCGCGAAGACCTGAATGAGCTCGGTGCAGGTTGGTCCCAACCCCATCGTCCCTTGTCTACACTGTCGAGACAATAGTATGTTCGTGAAGTATATGTTTGAGTGTGTGCGATTTTTTAGAAGTTTCTGTAGAAATGTTCTCAATAAACTCAACAAGCCACGTGTAATAAACGTCAAGGCGAGGGAATTTCGGGCGTGTATATACATAGATATGTACGTCTTTTTTGGAATTTACTCGTTTATCCGGATCTTGTTACACACAAATTCCGTATGCTCAAGCACGAGCAACGCTAGACGTTGATCTAACAAACCTAGAACTACACAGAGAAGAAACAAATCCAATTCCGCAAATCCAAAAACGCAACGGCTTTGATTTTTCACCACAGACATCCCTTGAGAGAACTTATCATCGCGCATTTTTCTGAACTTTATTATAATTAAAACAGTGAATTATTTTTATGTATAATTTTGATATTTGATCTGTACGCATTTAAATTTGAGTTTATTTTATGTTTCATACTTTGTTGATTAATTTCAGCCTGTTTGAGTCCACTGCTGAACATAGGCCTCCCCCACAGACTGACACGAAGCACGATCCTGAGTCACCTGCATCCATCGACTTCCCGCACAATTGCACAGGTCGTCACTCCATCTACTGGGGGGT